TGTACTACACACACAAAAAATGATAAATTTACGAGTTTTTCAATTTTTTTTGCTGTGATGTGTGTATTAACACTCACACAAGAAAATTTTATATTTTGAGTTTTTTTTAATTTTCTTGTCAAGATGTTTGTATTTAACATACACACACACAAAAATGTTAAATTTTTGAGTTTTTTTTTTTAATTTTTTGTGAATATATGTGTACTATCACATATCCAAAAACTGTTAAATTTTTGAGTTTTTTAATTTTCTTGCCAAGATGTGTGTATAACACACACATAAAAAATACTTAATTTTGTAGTTTTTTTATTTTCTTGCCAAGATGTATGTACTAACACACACAATAAAATGTTAAATTTTGGAGTTTTTTTAACTTTCTTGCCAAGATGTGTGTATTAACACACAAAAGAAAATGTTAATTTTTTGAGTTTTTTAATTTTCTTGCCAAGATGTATGTATCACACACACACACACACACACACACACACACACACACACACACACACACACACACACACACACACACACACACACACACACACACACACACACACACACACACACACACACACACACACACACACACACACACACACACACACACACACACACACACACACACACACACACACACACACACACACACACACACACACACACACACACACACACACACACACACACACACACACACACACACACACACACACACACACACACACACACACACACACACACACACACACACACACACACACACACACACACACACACACACACACACACACACACACACACACACACACACACACACACACACACACACACACACACACACACACACACACACACACACACACACACACACACACACACACACACACACACACACACACACACACACACACACACACACACACACACATACACACACACACATACACACACACACACACACACGCACACATAAATTGTTAAATTTGCGAATTTAAAAATTTTCTTGCCAAAATGTGTGCATTAACACACACACAAGAAACTTTTTGAGTTTTTTTTAATTTTCTTGTGAATATATGTCTACTATCACATACACACAAAATGTTAAATTTTCGAGTTTTTTTTCTTGCCGAGAAGTGTGTTTAAAACATACCTAAAAATGTTAAATTTTCGAGTTTTTTAATTTTCTTGCGAAGATATGTGTACTAACACACACAAGAAAATGATAAATTTTTGATTTTGTTTTTAATGTTCTTATCAAGATACGTGTATTAACACACATATAAAAAATACTAAATTTTGTAGTATTTTTATTTTCTTTTCAAGATGTGTGTATTTATACACACAAGAAAATGTTAAATTTTCGAGTTTTTTAATTTTCTTGCCAAGATATGTGTATTAACACACACACACACACACACACACAAATTGTTAAATTTGGGAATTTAAAAACTTTCTTGCCAAAATATGTGTATTAACACATACACAAGAAAATATTATATTTTTGAGGTTTTTTTTATCTTCTTGTCTAGATTTGTGTATTAACACACACAAACAAATATTAAATTTGGAATTTTTTTAATTTTCTTACTAAGATGTGTGTATTAACACACACACAAGAAAATATTAAATTTTCGAGTATTTTCTGTGAATTTTTCCTTCTTAAGTTTGCAGGACCAATTTTTTTATGTTCTTGTCAAGATGTGAATTAACAAACACAAAAGAAAATGTTAAATTTTTGAGTTTTTTTTAATTTACTTGTCAAGAAATGTATATTAACACACACAAGAAAATGTTAAATTTCCGAGTTTTTTTTTATAATTTTCTTCTCAAGATATGTGTATTAACACACACAAAAAAAAATATTATGAATTTTTTAATATTTCTTGCCAAGATGTGTGTATACACACAAGAAAATGTTATACTTTTGAATTTTGTTTTTTAATTTTCTTGTCAAGATGTTTGTATTAACACACACACACACAAAAAATGTTAAATTTTCGAGTTTTTTAATTTTCTTGCCAAGAAGGTTGTATTAACACACACACACAAAAATGTTAAATTTTTGAGTTTTTTTTAATATTTTGTCTATATATGTGTACTATCACACACCAAAAAATGTTAAATTTTTGAGTTTTTTAATTTTCTTGCCAAGATGAGTGTACTATCACACACAATAAAATGTTAAATTTTTGAGTTTTTTTTAATTTTCTTGTCAAGATATTTGTATTAACACACACATAGAAAAAATACTAAATCTTGTAGTTTTTTATTTTCTTACCAATATCTGTGTATTAACACACACAAAAAATGTTAAATTTTTGACATTTTTTAATTTTCTTGCCAAGAAGTGTGTATTAACACACACAAAAAATGTTAAATTTTTGAATTTTTATAATTTTCTTGTCAAGATGTGTGTATTAACACACACACAAGAAAATATTAAGTTTTCGAGTTTTTTAATTTTCTTGTCAAGATGTGTGTATTAACACACACTAGAAAATGTTAAATTTTTTATTTGTTTTTTAATTTTCTTGTAAAAATATGTGTACTAACACTCAAAAATACAAACATCTTGACAAGAAAATTAAAAAACTCAAAAATTTAACATTTTTTGTATATGTGATAGTAGACATATATTCACAAGAAATTAAAAAAAAATTAAAAATTTAACATTTTCTTGTGTATTAATACACACATCTTGGCAAAAAAAAATAAAAACTCGAAAATTTTACATTTTGTAAATGTGTGATAGTACGCATATATTCACAAGAAAATTAAAAAAAAAACTTAAAAATTTAACATTTTCTTGTGTGTGTGTTAATACACACATCTTGGCAAGAAAATAAAAAAAAATACAAAATTTAGTATTTTTTGTGCACATATCTTGACAAGAAAATTAAAAAAAATCAAAAAATTAAATATTTTTTTGTGTGTGTTAGTACACACATCTTGGCAAGAAAATTAAAAAACTCAAAAATTTAACATTTTTTTGGTGTGTGATAGTACCCATATATTCACAAAAAATAAAAAAAAAAAACTCAAAAATTTAACATTTTCTTGTGTGTGTGTTAATACACACTTCTTGGCAAGAAAATTAAAAAACACGAAAAAATTATTAAGTGTAATTAAAACATTAAAAGTTAATTTAACAAATTATGTCCAACAAAACAAGTAAATTCAATCTGATTGATCCAAATCAACATATTTATAAGCAAGATTATATTTCTCTAAATCAAATGTATATGTACGTCAAAATTGGATAATTCGATAGGTGTCATTGTTATTATTTTACCTAATAGTTTTTTAAAATTTATAAATAAAATTGAATAAATTACATATTATATATTAAATTATCTTATATAAATAAAACTTTCTATAAATATATATATATATATAATTTTTAATAATTTTAAAGATAGTAGCTAAAAAACATAAACCAAAATATTAATATAGACTCGCACGTAGCGCGAGTTATACGCCTAGTATAATATATAAAAGTTGATGACATAGTGCATTGAGGACATCCACATGGGATTAAGAAACTCAATCTGATTGGTCCACATCAGCACATATATTTTGATGATGTCAAAAATCTCCGCACATTGCGGGACATTTGCTCTACGAAAGAAGAGAGTATCGTCGACAAAGAGGAGATGAGATACTGTGGGGCTGGCTCTTGCTATTGAATCCGTGTCAATACAGGTCTGTGGTATGATCCCCATAGTTTCAAATACTCCACATTTGTGTGGGAAAAAAGATGAAGCCATATTGCATTGCCAATTGCTCTGTCTAGGCGGCATTTGACTTTTCCGGAACTCCGTCTTCCGACCCAAGAGAGGGGGTTCCCTTTGTACAGGAGGTCAAGCATCCCGCAATTATCGAGCATTGTCTGGAACGGGATAAAAGAGGCTTCAACTCGCCTTCTTCCTCCTCGTTTCTCATGGTTCCCTGTAATTTTATTGAAATCTTCTATCATAAACCAAGTTTCATGGCGGGTTTGTCCCATTCTAATTAGTCGCTCCCACACCTCCTCACGGTATTCAACAACCGGATCACCATAAATAAAAGTCATACATATTTTATGTCCTTCAAAAGAAGATACAATGTCGATCATTCGACTATCCGAATAAGAGATAACCACATGCGGTTCATCCATATAAAAAAGGGCTAGACCACCGCTTCTGCATCTTAGCTCCATGATAAAAACATGGTCATAACCGAAAGAAACTTGCAAATTTTGCAGAAAAGGTCGATTGTTTTTTCTCTGATAAAAATAGAAAAACTAGGTTTGAAAATACGGTACAGTTCTTTAAAATGCTCCTTTGTCAGGTCGGCAGCGACGCCTTGACAGTTCCAAACTAGGACGTTCATCTTCATCTTGCGGGTTTGGCAGTGACCTCGTGGCTGGCTGAGCGTAAGGTGCGGTGGGGTTTGTTTGCGTTTTGGGCTGCAACCTTTGTTTTCTGGGGCCCATTTTCAGTTTTCTCATTTTTTTGTGGCCCAGAGATTTTTTCCTTTAGTCCAGCTTCTTTTTTCTGCGGCCCAGCTTCCTTTTTTGGCCCAGGCCCATTTGACCTTACTTTCACCTTTGGCGAGCCTTTCACCAGCCATCTCTTCTTCGACGAGAACCCGATCCTGCTTCTTCCCGGAGAGATTTTTTTCTTCGCCAGCTACGCTAATTCCGCCATATTACTCTTCTTTGGAGGAGACAAGAGATCCCCTTCCAACACCCTTTCAGCCTCTGATTCAAGAACTGCGTTGTCTTCTTCCATTGGAACTGCATCTTTAAACACGGTTCCCATGGCGTCTACCATTGGGTCATCGGCGAAAATCTCACCAAGGGTTAGCTCAGGGAGCTTTGTACTGTAATCGTTGAGGAGGCCATCCTCATCAATCCAATCCTCAACTCCAGTTCCTCATCAGTACTTTTACTTACTAGGAATATTTCTTGAACCGAACATTTCATTCAAAACCAAGTAAGTCTTGGTTGTTTTCCCTGGCAGATGGGTGTAAAATACGGTTGTCCGGTAGAGGATGTAATAACCGGCTTAGCGATTCAGTGCCGTGGATGGAAATCAGCGTACTTGAACCCGAAAAAGAAAGCTTTTGTCGGGGTGGCGCCGACCAATTTGCATCAAATGCTTGTGCAACAGAGGAGATGGTCGGAGGGAGACTTCCAGGTTCTGCTGTCAGAGTATAGTCCGGTTTGGTATGGCCAAGGCAAGATCGGTTTAGGACTGATACATGGTTACTGTTGCTTTTGCCTTTGGGCACCAAGTTCAGTACCTGTGCTGGTTTACTCTGTTTTGACTTCTCTCTGTCTATTCATAGGCATTCCTCTGTTTCCAAAGGTAGGTAATATAACAGCTTTCCTCTGTTTTTTGCTTATGGTATAAAACTCTGGAAAAACAGATCCGCTTTTACCATGGTCATTGAATTCAGGTCTCAAGCTTGTGGTTTGTCCCGTTTGGGTACGTGACTGTCGCAGCTAATGCGTATAGCCTAGCAGAGTTCTTGTGGTGCGGAGGAACGTTCCGTGGATGGTGGAACGAGCAAAGGATGTGGCTTTACAGAAGAACAAGCTCGTTTCTTTTCGGATTCATAGACACGATTCTGAAGAGGCTTGGGGTTTCGGAGTCTGCGTTTGTGATCACAGCGAAAGTAGCAGAAGAAGAAGCAGCAGAGAGATACGAGGAAGAGGTGATGGAGTTTGGAGTGGAGTCTCCGATGTTTCTCCTCCTCGGAACACTCGGGATGCTCTATCTCTTTTCCTTCTCCGCCGCAGCGGTTACGAGACTCATGATGACTTCTAGAGACGGCGGCGGTTTTCAGACCATGGGTTTGCAGTTTGTGATAACAGGAGTACTCGTGGTCTTAAACTGGCCATTATACGAAGGCATGTTGTTGCGGAAGGACAAGGGGAAGATGCCAATGAGCGTGACAGTTCAATCTGTTGTCTTAGCTTTATCTGCCTGCACTTGTATTGCGTTTTTGTGAAAGCCAATGTACTCGAAGAAATTATGTAATTTTTCTTATTGTTATTTAGCCACTGGCAACTAGTAATGTTTGGGAAGTTTGCAACGACACTTCTATTTAAAAGATTTTTGCTTTACAAAATCTAAAGAGAGAAGCAGAAACCCTAATAGTCTAAATACTAAAATATATGGGACAGATAAAAATAGCCTCTCGAGTTTCTTCTATTCATTCTGCAACAAAAGCTCTTCCCCTCATCCTGCCTGAAAATCTTTGACATCTGCCACGAAACCAAAGAAATCGTGAGATTTGTATGCAAACATTACGACGAAAGAATGAAATTGGAAAACCTGATCAAATGTAAGATTAATTAAATCTGCTTTACTTACATGTACAGAGGAGTCGAAAGAATGAAGGATGGATGGGTTTTCACGGGTGCTCTCGACAAGGCTTTTGTTCAAGCAAACCCGAAACCTTCACTGGCTTCGTGAATGGCAAGAAGCAGGCGTTCCTGAAGTTGTTCCTTAGACTGATACTCAGGGAGGTCTAGTTGGTTAAAACTGCAATGGGCAAACATATGTAACCAAAATGAGAATTACGGCTAAGAATTAACCGTTTATATGAGTTAAAAAAAGACTCTGTTGTAATGATTTCGAACCATGTATGAGCTGACGGGAGCCGCTCCGGAGCTCCATACGCTTTGTGGATTTGTAATCTTTGAGGGCCAGAAATGCCTTGCAGTGCCTTGAAACCTTCCAATGGAACCTGAATACGAGAAACACCACTTGTAAGGCAAAACAAAGAGAGGCAACTAGGACATGTATTCCCAAGTGACTTGGACACAAGCTGCTGCTATTATGTTTGGTTTACCTTTGATGTTCCTGTGACAAACTGAAGGAATCTTGCCATTTCTTCTTTGCTAAATGCTTTAACGACCTCCCAGAACCAATGAATAACCGGGGATCCTGCCGTGTAGCTGGTATACTCGGTATTGGCTTTAAGATCATCAACTTCAGGAATAAAAAAACGAAATAACAAAAAGAGTGTTACGATAACTTGATGCATAAGCAAACACATGCAACAATATTGAACAACATGATCCAACTTACAATCAATCTCAGGCAATCCACTGATTAGGAGCTCGAGCTCTTTATCGTTGAAAATGGATACGAGGTCACGAGGTATCAGCTCATTAAAGCCTTCGAGGAATGCGTTGATTTGAGGCCGAATAGCATTGGTAAGTATGTGCCCGGCCACAAGGTCAACATATTCATGTTTTGTTTCTTCGTTTACCCGTATGTTTCGTCCTCCAGGTTTAAGCTCATAGTCCGTCACCTTTTCAATAAAGATAAAATGATCAATTCAATATGATAGGCCTTTTGGGGTAAATGAACAGAAATACAAACATGTATTATCACAAACCTCAGTCTTTTCGTAAAGAATGTGTTTCTCCTCATCTGCGTCCATACTAAACGTAAGGTCGAGTATGTCGTTCACATCATTCTGAATGAACAGGAAAAGGGCATAAAGATAAGTCTCCCATAGGTAACTTCGATATTTGAGCTCTTTTAACAGATAAAAGGTAAATTAAGACTTAGAGGTCCACAAACCTCTAACAGCCACTTCAAATTCTTGTAGTAATCAGGATCTACCGCCTCAATGTCATGATAGGTCACCTTCACACCAAGTATGTGTTTATAGAAGGAGCGAGTGAAATAAACATCCAAAAGCTGCCCATCAAACAACGCCTTCGCTACCTGCAGTGACATCACGAACACATCAGATAGATCCAAAGACAAACAATTGGATCATTGCAATGACAAGGTCCTGATATTACCATGCGACCAACAAATTTGAAGTATGATAGATGCTCAGTTTGGTAAACAGAATTGGGATTCGGCTGGAAGGTGGCATCATTTCCAACGGTAGTGAAAAGCAACGCTCCTTTGTCAAATATAACTCTTGACAATAACTGATACCATTCTCTTGTAAGACCACCAGCATCAATACCTTCCTCACCTTGAAACTGCACATTCAGGCGTCCTTTCAGATCCTGTGGGGAGCGCATACGTAACTGGTTGTACGAATCTTCCAACACATAAGCTCGGCGGACACTTATACGCAATGGCCCAGAAATGTGATGATCATGCTGGTGCCTTATCCTTGACCTGAAGTAAGCTTTCTTGTTGTCAAAATCAATCAGCCTCGGTGCCTTGAGCATCATTGAAAGGGACTTCTCCAGCAAACTCGGATTTTGCCTGACGAATGAATTCAAAAGTCGCCTATGCTTCTCCGCAAACTTTGCAAATGTAACGGAGCCATCAGTTTTTTTCTGAGAATCTACACTGGTTTTAGATGATGAAGATGAACTATGAGCAGACTCCTTTACTTCCCCCGCTGTCACATTCGCATGATCCTGCTGTAATATTGACGGAGTTTGAATTTTCTCAGAGAGAACAAAGAAAGCCTCAATAAGAGGTAGGAATTTCTGAGTTCCTGGAGAAAGAGGGGACGGAGGAGTGACGCCTAGGACATGATCTCCGGGATTTACGTTTGACACGGTTGTTGTCGCTGAAGTATGATCCAGCTGCAGCTCAGTCATGCTGATACACTGGCTAAGTTCCTGCCACAGGGGCTCTAATGCCACGTTCAGTCTCTGCATAATGTTTTGTTCCTCCTGTTCTGTTTCCCTTTCGGTTCCCGCATTGCCATCATCAATATGGGAAGTTAGGGAGCTAAGCACCTGTAAAACACGGAGAATTGAAGCACCTGCCATGGAACCTGTACTGTGGCTCATCTTCTGTGTATTGCTCAGTGTTGCCAGTACACGGACAGTTGAGGCACTCAAACCACTTGCCAATTGTGAGAGCTCTTTCGCGAAAAACTTGCGATGAGCCACATCTACGGCAGCCAGCTTTTTTAGTACTTCTCCCGCTAACGAGTAAATTTTATCTGACAACCTATTAAGGTATCAGAACATGTGAGTCAGTACAAAGCAATTCAGGGATATAATTGACACCAAGGATAAGAAAAGACCTATGTTGTGTATGCTACTACATACATACATAAATATAAGAAGAAAGAGGAAGCTCAGGAAATCACAAAAAAGAAAGCAACGTCTCTTACCCTTCGTATCCAAGAAGAATACAAAGATTTCGTAGATCGGACTGTGGCAATTGCAAGAATATGTTATATATATCAGCACAATTCTTCCTTCTTGCAACAGATAGCTCAGCTTCATCCACTAGCTCAGGTTCAGTATCTTTTCGTGTTTCACTTGAAGCTTCTTCGCCGACTGGTTTATTTTCTGATTTCTCAGGTACTCCGGATGACGGAGACCAACCCTCAATTCGGGATGCTGCTGTGTAGACAACTACTTGCAGTAAACCCATGACCTGAAACATACAGAATACAGATATAATCATACCCAAAACAACTATCCGGAGATTATAGCGAGAAGATTTGCTACTGTTATAAAAATCATGCTAAACATACCAGCGCTAGATGCGATGTACTTTGCAAAAGCTGAGGCCGATTAAGCAGTTTTAGGAAGACAACCAGAGGTATCTCCAGATTCCGGGAGTCTGTCACTTGAGCAACTTTCTCCTTACCCTTCCCTTCACATGCAGAGGGTTTCGAGCTTGACAATTGGGACAGAAGTGACGAATCAAAGTAAAACAACATGTCAGCAACAGCCGAATGATTCGTAGCCAAGTACGTCAAAACCTCAAGCACCCGACGGAACACCAGAGGAGGAAGACCTGTGTTCGGAACAGAAAAAGTCAGACGATGCTCAGGAAGCTGGCAATAATAGCAAACAACGAATTTCGATAGGAAATACTACCATTCAATAGCTGGGATCGTCCATAAACAACATTTGATTGGCAGCCATAAAGTCTTTGCGGATTAGTCATTGCCAACTCACTCGGTGATGTTTCCATCTCTGGCCTAATCATATCCAATAAAAGTTGAACCAAGTTTGCCCTTGTAACACTGTGAGCACATAGATTTAGTAGAAGCCTCTGCAGAAGTCCTTTCCCCAACGGCTGATACAATAAAAATAACATCATTGTAAGAAGCGATAAACAAATACTTATGATACTCCATTGAAAAAGTCAATTAGGCGTTGGCAAATAAGCACCAACATCAATGATTTCTTTCTTTGATAGAAGAAGGTAGGGAAAATACACGAATGCCTCTTACTTGTGCAAGTCGTAGTAGTCTAATTAGTGATTTCAAGGCATCAGCATCCACAAGAGGGTCTCCTTCGATCTCTTTCATTTTCAAGCCATCTGCAGAAGATGAAACACCCCTCTGACCAATAGTGACTCCAACCCCCCTGTCCATCCCAGTCAGCCTATTGTAACCCACACCATTCCTTCGATTATTCAGCCGATGGCTGCTTCCAAAAAGACTACGAGCTTGATAGTGACTCATTGCTCGGTCTCTGAGCATCTGCGCTTCCGCAATCAAAGGTGGAGGCAAAGCTGCTAAAACTGCTTCTGAAGAAGTTAGGAGAACCTAGAAGAAGCATATTTCATAATATTATAACCAGTTCCAAATCCAAATCACCTTGATTAAAATAAAGGTAAGAGATACAAACCTCTTCACGTAAATCAGCAGGTAGAGTAGCAATAATTGAAGCGTTATCCATGTCCACTGGCTGTCCTTGTGACTGCTGTACCATCCTTTGTGCCCTTTGTTGAGCAAGAACTTCTGTTTGGATATCGAGGGGAAGGGCTGCCAAAAATTCAGGATCAATGCCGTCTACTGGAGGTGGTTCATAAGTAGGGGGCTGAACGGACTGCGCTTGTTGAGACGCAAGGACTTCTGCCCGCAAATCTTCAGGGAGCGCCTCCAAAAATGTAGGATCAATGGAATTCGCTTCCGGTGCCCCACCTTCCAAGCTACCTTCGGCAACTTGTTCACTGTTCCTCGCATCTTGTGTAGCTTCCATGGATGATGGCTCATGGATGTCACCGGCCAAAAGTGAAGGTTCCACACTTTGATTTCCCTCAGCACCATCACTACTCATATCTACATCAACACTTGGCTGAAAATTAGAATCAGGATCATCTATTGGAAGAGATGTCGCCCTAGCAGACATATTTTGAATACTGGAAGTATCAGGTTGACCAGTGGAGACAAGATGAACGGCTCCGAGGTCTGGTTGCTCAATAGGTACTCCATCACCTTCACCAACTTCCATTCCGTCAATATCATTTGGTGTACTGTTCAACGGAGGAGGCTGCATAGCTCCATGCTGCTGTGGACATTCACCTGCATCTCGGACGACAGGAGAAGCTAGATCAGCTTGACCTTGAGAGAAACTCCCAGCCGTTACATCAGGTGGGTTATTAACATTGTCATTGTTATTTAACAGTTCCTGGTCTCCACTTTGTTGACCACCATTGTTACCATCCCCCAAAACGGTTTCGCTTTCAACAGAAGGATGAGCATCGGGGTGCTGCTGCTCTTGGACTTCCGTGCTATTAGTTTCTCTTTCGACAACAGTATCAGCTGGAGCAGAAGCGCGCAGGTTGGAAATAAAATGTTCTTCTATCAACTGGGCAACTGAAGCAGACTGGCTACTTGGTTGAGGATGACCTATATCAGTCCACCGACTATCACCAACCCCTCTTCTTGATGAATCCATACCCACAACAGAATAATCGGTCAAAGGAGGAGGTGCCCCACCACCTCCTAGACGATCACTGAAAGGATTACCTGGTACTTGATCAAAGGGTAAAACAGGTGTATCAAACATGTAAAACTGTGCTACATCATAGCTGCCAGATTCTGGATGCCTGGGTATACTGCTAGTACTTGCCGAAACCGGGGCTGTATTGCCAGTTTGCAATGGTCTGGAAAAGAGAGGATGCTGAAAACCGTGTACTTCTGAACCAGATCGATCAACAGAAGATCTGACTGTCTGACGTCTACGCTCAAAGCCCAAGGGTCTCCGCAGAGCAAACAGATCGTTCACATTCACTCCTTCAAACGGCTCAGCTGTAATATCATCAACAAAACCATTTCCACCACCAGATCGCCCAAGAATCTGAAAGTGATCCAGCCCATCAAGAGCTTCCCTCCACCGCACCTCTATTACACGATTCTCGTGGAAATCATCCTCATCTTCGTCAATCATGTCATCATTATATTCATCTCCAAGGCCAGTATCTTCAGGGTCTTCCACATCGGTTCCAGCAAGAGACATAACACCAGCTCCATCTTCCACGAATTCTGCATCCTCATCATCTCCTTCATCATCCACGAATTCTGCATCCTCATCATCTCCTTCATCATCCTCCCCTTCGTCTCCCATGTCATCATCTACATCATCGTCAGCCCTATTTTCAACATGAAAACTCATTCCGATTTGATCACCTTCAATCTCTTCTCCTATGAAATCCATCTGAATAGGTTCGGGCAGTATTGTCTCATTGCTTTCAATGCTCATCTCCTGAGGACTCGAACTCCTTTCACCTTCGCTTCGGGAGGAAACTTGAGGATGCTCCTGTCCATTCTCTACTGCATCTGTTACTTGCTGTAGACTGCTATTATTTTGGTTCAATTCACCAACTTCAGCCTCAGCTGAAGTTCCAAGACTGTCACGTCTCTCATTAGAATCTGTGCTCTTTTTCTCGTTAGGTCCTTCTGATTTTAGCTGCTCGGCAGCATTGGCAGCCCTTGTCAGTGTCTCGAGAGACTTAAGGATAAGAGTGACAAGCTTTGGAGCATCAGGGTGGTCGAGATCAATCACGTGAAGGATGCTGGTCAGACACTGGATAGTTCCCCCATCTATCATGCTCTTTGCAACATCAGGTGAACAACCACTACCAGGTAAGTTGCTGGAAGATAAATTCTTCGTCAAGATCGAATAAACCAGGTCAGCAAAAGCAAGAACTCTTTTATCGGGTAACAGAACACTTTTACTAGAACTCTTTCCCAAGGAAGCAAACACGGATAAAACCCTCGAAACCTCGCTGATTATTCTTTTACGCCCTTCACTGGAACGGCTGCACAAAACGACCAGAAACCAGGAAGCCTTTTCAGACAATTTCTCCTTCCATTCTTCAGGTCCAACCAACTTTTCAAGAGATATAGGAAGTAATCGGTGAATGACATGGTAGATTAAGCCTCCATTGCCAGGTGAATCATCAGGTAAATTGGAACCCCGAAGCTGAGATATATCTGTATCCCGTCTAAGTATGACACTGGTACCATGCAAGTACATAATAACAATATCACTCAACAACTTCAAAATAAATGTTACCCTGGCCAATTCTTCAGATTTTTCAGATCCAAATTTCTCCGGATCACCAACTTTTGATTTACCCTTCACTTTAGTTGTTGGCTCATCAACCTCCATCGAGACTGAATCGTTTCACCATCTTCCTGCCTCTCCACCCTAGGAAAACTCAAGACAATATCAATAAGCTGATCAATAACTTGGATGAAGTTAGCAGGGACTCTTCTGTGGCTCTTTGAACATTTTCCTGACCCATCATGAAGCTTATTTTCGGATATTCCAAGGGGTTCATTCAAAGAAAATCCGTGTTCACTGCCAGAAACTTTCTGCTTTTCTTTTTCCTTTGACAGTATCACAAAGTCCCTTCCTCCTGATGACTCCAGCTGACAAGTGGAAGCCACAGCTTTCATAAAAACCACAGGATCTCTTGATATTACAGGGGCCACTGATGTCAGGAATGTCCGAGGTAATACCCTACCTATGTGTCTTTTCCCACTCAAAGTCTGTCGTATTTCTGATTCCATAGCAATTTGGAGAGTCTGTGGATCTTCAACGAGATGCCGTACAATAACAGATGCAACAGTATCATACCCAGGGAAAAAACATTTTTTCGGAAGATTAAAGAGTGAAGATAACCCTCCATTTTCCAGAAACTGGATAGCTAGAGCATGCGTTTTCGTTAGACGAGCACATAACTGAAGAACAGCCTGCATAATCATTGCTGGTACACACTGCTTTATGAGTCCACATGCGATTAGTAGAGCCTTTTGACCCTCTTCCATGGTCAGATAGCCTGTAGATTTTCCAAACATCGATTCCAAAGCCGTGTTTGAATCCCCTTTAGCAACATCTGAAGATAACGCTTTCTTTAAAGCTGCTGCTGAGTCTTGTGGATAATCGCGCGGCTCCAAAGATCCACCTTGATTTCCTTCCACTAATTCAGACGAGATTCTAGTCTGTGCCTGTAGCAACATACTTAAGATTAGAAGCAGAGCACTGATGCATTTTGGAGCCAGAATCTCATTTTCAGATTCACTCTTAAGCTTGAAATCCATCAAGATATCAATTGCTACGGTCGCAACACCATCCTGTGCAGCAATTTCTCGTGTGTTATCATCCTCTGACAGAAGTAATGCTAGAATGTGAGGTATCATAGTCAAAGCACCAGTATCCTTGGAGAAGTCAAGTTGTACTAGCTTCAGTTGCTGAATAAGATACGACACGATTTTTGGCCGATCTTCCCCTTTGTTTCGGCTACAGAGCGTCACAAACAAATCCATCAGTGGGAAAGCCATAGAGTCATCACTCTGAAATAATTTCACTGATGCAGCAATAACTTCATCAACAGATGGTTCTTTTGGATCTGCTTCTTCCTCCGGAACATCTACAGGCTTTTCTGTATCGTCAAGTTTTGCAGTATCAGATGCATTTCCAAGAGATAGTGCAAGTGCTTGCGCCAGCTCGTCATCTTCCTGCACATGATCCTCAGGATGGCTAACCAACCACTCCATAGCCATTTCAACACTGTTTGTTCCAACTCTTCGTAACGCGTCTTCCGCCCTCGACCTTGAAAATCCCATTTCCACAATCATACCAACAATGGCTTCGTCGGGTTGTAGAGGCAAGGCTCGTTGGTTTGTACCCTGGGTAACACCACTTCGATTTTGCCTAGGATTCACAACACCAGAGTATATATGTGTAACAAGGGAGGTAACTGAAGCCACAAAATTAGGATTGCAACCAGGAAACATAGGGTGGTTCCATATAGGTAGTATGACATCCAGAACCTGAGACTGGAGATTTCGCAAAAAAGTCTCAGGGTCTCTGGGTACGGGAAAAAGTCCGATCGACAAACCAATTGACGCTTGCTGGACAAGAAGCTGCGTTTGAGAAGTGGGGGCTTCAGATAATAGAAATTCATAGTTAACAAAATAGTCCAGTGCTCGGCAATAGTTTTGCAGCGTATCTACCAGCCACGTACTGCGAGACCATATGTTCCTTTCACCTGGCTTCTCATTCTCAGTACCAGATGCAGGAATAGAAAACGGTACTGTCCAAAGCAACTGGCTTGTAGCTTCAAATGTGGTGAGAAGTTCCTTAAATGTTCCATGGACATAAAAACTATTCACCATAGCTGTAAAACAGACCCTCCTTCGAGTATCAAATGTCAGAGTAGCGATGTCATCTACCACTTTTCCAAGGTACCGGCACTTTACTGACAGAGAGATATCATGCCCAGTAGAAGCACCATACCCCTGGAAATTAAGAGCTTCAAGAAATACTTTAGCTAGGCCAGTACCAAGCGTCTTAGATGCTGAACTCAATGGTGCTCCATCAATTCTGCGACGATTAGCAGAGGTGAATCCTTTCACAAGGGCTGTGAAAAACAAACGTAGTGTACAATTCAGCTTGTTTAAAATTTCAACAATAAGAACTTCAGTGCTCTTCTTCTTCAGCTCATGGGAAGTTGACGTTTCTGGTAGATCATGTGGAATCTCATAATCGAAATTAAAAGACTCCAGGTGTCGACGAGTCCTCCCACCCCTCATTCGGACTATTGCATGTCGTGTACGACCATGAATACCTTCGCCAGAACGCACAACAGACAGAAATTCACGATCCCCACGCCAAATAGACTGTGAGCTACTGCTTCTAATGGTTACAGGGTTTGTGTATCTAAGTGCTGAAGCATTGCTTGAATCCTCATCACTCTCTCTTTCAACAGTACTAGATGATGCTGAAACTGAATTATCAGGTCCTTGATCAACACTGGTTTTTTCATCTTCCTTGGTATCACTACACAAAGCCATCTGCCAAATCATTTGCTTGTAAGTTAGACCAAGTTCTTTTAGTACATCGGCATCGGCAGCACTCAATTCCGAGATAACTGAAGCTGTTCCTTTCAACAGAAAGTTGGAGAGGGACAACATGCCTTCTAGGCAGGAAAGAGATCTCAAAATCTTTATCTGGACAGCAGAATCTAATTTCAGAAGCTGCGTGCCTTTAATGGTAACTAAAAGCTCATTTGTGCTCTTCAGATGTTCTCTTAAGTAGGAGCACACTATCCGAGCTAGACCAGCCGAATGCTGAGGGGAGAAGTTCTTAAAAGCGAAAGAAAAACTTTTGACCAAGAGAGGTTGACAGAGGCATCAGTGGTAAAGAGAATAGCTGCAAAACAGCATCAATTCCTTTCTTCTCAACAAACAGGGAACATACTTCTGCATTCTGAAGAACTGTTTCAAGGAGACGAGCAACATTAGACACACAATCTGGAAGAAACAACTCAATGTCTGCTGGAGAAGTATCAGAAGACGGTTCTGCCTCATCTGAAACGGCCAAGCTCTTCTCATCCGCATCAATTTCCATAGGAACGGGAGCAGCATCAGTAGGCACATCTGCTGACATAGAATTGGTGGCCTCCATCCCAGATCCAATAATCAACATGGAATTCAGGATTTCAATGAACATATCAACTCCATAAGAGCGCAACGAAGATTGATGTCTTAAGAGTTCATCAAGCCCACTTGACAAAGAACCAGGTGTATCGCCAGTAAGAGCCCGTAGATAAGACGAAGAAGTAAATATTTTAACAAAACACCTCAACGCATTTCGGTCCTTTACAGCTTGAAGACCGCTGTTGTTGAGACACAGAGCATCCAGACACTGTGGAATGCATGTTATAGCTTCTGCAGAGCAGACGAGCTCATCAGATATAGCATCAAGAAAGGCAGATGTCAAACCAGCCGAGTCTAAAGCATTGAAACAAGTGGGATCTTTATGAATGAGATCACTCATGACGGTGGCAGCAAGCGAGAATATTCCACCACCGAAATATTTTGCTCTACGGAAGATAATGCATAAGCATTCAGGCAGCAAGCTCTCCTCGGAACCATAAAGGTTAGTGTTCCCAGGAGCATAAGTTCCAAGAGATATTGCACGTAACAAGGCTTTTAACAACAATCTCCTGTGGTACGAAATTAATGCTTCAGAATAGGGAAGCGGTTCAATATCAGGACGATTAAGAGAACCACCGAGAACATGTGAATCCCTCCCATTATTATCTGAACTGCAATTATTTTCTTTAACATCGTCTTCGGTACGAGAGACTTCCAGTTTCAACCGAAAGATAGTATCATCTAAGCCACCCAAATCTCTGAACAAAGCAGCAGCTGGGTTGCTGTAATCCATGAAGACTTCTAATATATGCACAGCGGTACTGACCAAATGCAAGTGCTGGGGATCTGTATCTTTGATGAGAGGCACTAGGGTTGGAATAAGACCAGCTTCTCGCATGGCTGAACATCCTGAAGATGATGAAACCAGGACTGTAACGAGGGATAACAGTGCTTCCGCAAAGGCCAGAGACCGCTTAGAAGTATTACAGATAACAGAATCAATAGCTTTCTGCATAAGGCCAGATAGCAAACCACGATGCGCGCCGGAGGTGACTGCAGTTAACACAGTCGGCTGCCGAGTTCGATCTTGCGATAGTGCAACCAAGGAAAGCAAGCATAGTATCCTTATTTTCTCTGGAACAGTCTCCTCATAGCTTACCAGTGTAATTAACTCGTTTACAAACTCAGGCTCTCCATTAAAGAAAGAAACAACATTCTCGGTGTCACCACTTGCTTGAACCAAAACAATGAAAGCATATAAGCGAATGCATGTATACTGCTGCCGGGTTGACAAAGATGAAAACGCCCTTGCAAATCTCAATCTGGTCAGCAACGCGAATCTTAAACTGGGAGGAACATTATGATCAATGACTAATTTGTTCAGAAGTTCAAGGTCAGACTCTGCACGCATGCTGACATTAGGTACATGGATAACTTGTAAACCGCCAGGAAGCTCACTTGAAGATTCATCAGAAGCATAAAACTCAAAATGAAGAGTACAACCTAGCTGGTGAGAGACCTGATCACAACTGTCTTCTGTGGAACATGATGTCAAGCCAAGACCTTCGTCTTTTCCCCCCCAGCCTTGTGCAAGGGAAAATAGTTTAGAATTCAGAGAAGCATCTCTTATGGAGTATTTTCCAACTTGCCTCTTCAAAAAGGCAGCCAACGTCTGCAGACAGGCTTCAACGACATCTGCATCAGTAGATGCAAGCAGGAGAGAAAGATGCTGCTGCAGTTATGAAGGAACAAGGGTGTGAGAATTATTCAGGAAGACGTCTCAACACCAAGCATATAAAGCGACAATTAACCACAAATCCAACACAGAATATGAGTCGATAAACATTAGCACCGCAAATATCAAGTGATATGTAGGGGCATAGATTTACCTCATAAGAACTATAAAAATGTTTGTTTGTGCAATTCTCTAAGACAATTCTGATAACTCGTAGAACTTGAAGAACAGCCTCCTTTGGGAAAGCAGGACAAGTTTCGTCAATGTTCTCCTCAACATTCAGATCCTTCCTTCCTTTTACGTGCTTCTCAAAATATGTGTCAAAATAGTTGAAGAGGTCCACCCAGTGATGGAAGTCACCCTAAATAAAGGACAAAACAGCCATAAATCAAAACGAGAGAAGACAGAATAAAAAGAAAGAGCATCACAAACTGGATTATAAGGTACCTTGTCGAATTCCCAGCGAAAACATGCAAGGGGTTCTTGTATATGCTCGAGTGGAACAGCAGTGACACTATCGATGAAAGATTTGATTTTGGGAGGCTGGTACAAATGAATCAAAGAATGGTTAGCACAGCCAATGGATACAACATAAAATAGAATAGAACCACACACAAGAAAAAACGAATAGTCAAATACAGAGAAACATATAAATGGAAAAGCAACCAAAGTTTGGCTATAACACTCCATCGAAAACCATTACCAACGCCTCCAACCTTTGGCTTAAGAACTCAAACCAAATAATACCAATCAAGGCCTAAAGATCATATCGATCACCGTACACCAAAACTTTGGGCAACAGGGAAACGGAACAAACAACTATAACATAAAAGACAAGTATGAAGATACATCTGGGGTAATCGCTAGTTCCACGAAAGCGAAATCAATAACTAGCAGAGAAGTGAAGGGTAATCTAGAAAGCACATAAACACGAGAATGCACAGACACAGATAGTAATCCACATGATCAAGGGTTCAGTTAAACGGCTTTGGAACACTCACCACTTCCGAAGCCCTCCTCCTTCTGAGCTTCATGATTAGAGACAGGGCATCTCCTGAGGCAAACTAAAGGCTGGGCGCTGATCAATTCTCAACACGGGAGAGAATCGACCAATACACCGATTGAGAACTGGTAATCACGGCAGGAATCGAATCAATATACCAACGGTGATCTGGTCCAGATAGTTGGACGGATGGCGATCGCTGACGCAGACGAACGAGAAGAAGAAGAAGGAGAAGAATTGACGATCCTGGGGATAATTAAGTCCGGAGCGATCCGAAACTAGGGTTTTGAAGAGGATCGCGTATAGAGGGATTTGATAGATAGATAGAGAGAGAGAGAAAAACGGTGACTATGAAGGGCTCTTACTTAATATTTTATTATAAAAATTATTTTAAAAATCCTTATTAAGATAATTTAATTTCTTCTATTCCAATGGTAGAATCACATTAAAAATTCTTTAAAAAAAATTAAAAATTTTGGAGTGTAAGATTGGAATATAAAAACCATGCATTTCAATATAAGATTATCTTTCAATATAAGATTATCTATAAAGACTATTCTGTGATTCTTTTCTTCACATCTCTTTTTTATCTTTCATTTCTTCCTCATGATTATGATTTTTGTAAAACATCATCATAAAAGTTCATTAATATGTAATATTATCAATTTACAAAAGATTTGGCTAGCATACATAGGTTGATAAAGAATCAAATAATCATTTGCACATCTACACAAAGTCACTTGTTCTGCAATGTATCTCTCCCTTAATGACTCAATCCTCAGTATCAGGTATCTGAAAGACGAGAAATTTTGCAAGAGAAGTGACTGTCTTAGCATCTAGAGATCTCTTTCTGCGAGTCTTGCTTCTGAAAATAGATGACGATAGTGAAGAAGACATACGAGACTTCCCTTGCATTTTGATGTTGTTTGCTGCCACAATTAGTTTCTTGCTTATCGTTTCACTTATACTCACAGACGCTCCAGTCTTCCTCTTCGGCGTTTTTGGTATGAAGCTGCGCAAACGTTCGGACTCAGTAGCTCTTGCTGTTGGCAATGAAGATCTTCTTATGGTTTCGGGTACAGATGTGGGAGGATCAAGAAACTCTCTCTTGTTGTCAAAGGATGCAGGATTCCTGGGCAGAGATTTCTTTGTTGTCTTGTTCTGATCATTGATCAGCCCAACGTCTCTTTCAATGGACTTGTTGGACATGCTTGGCTCTTGCCATCTGTTGACAAGTATAGCTTCTGCGTGAATAAACCAGGGCTTTTGGTTATCCCGGAAGATGTACTTTATAGACACAGACTCGGCAAGGTGATAAAACTGAGACTTTCGTTTAACCTATACTAGGAGAGGAGTAAAAGTTAGCATTTGCAGCAATGGATTGAGGTAACCAAAATCAAATACCATGGGTGTGAAAATGAAAATGGCTTGCTCATTTCCATTACCATTAGACCACTAACTCGTATCTCCCCAAAGCTAGGTAAGCAACTTGCGTGTGTTTTCTCAAGTTTTCCTGCAAAAAAAACACATTTCGCATTGATAAATCCTTTGATGGTGTTCCCTAAAGAAATACTGGCAAATTGTTGTAGGTACCAAACCCAAAAGATCATCAAGCCTCAAATTGAAGGCAAATGTGGAAAAAAGAAGACAAGACAACAAATGCATGTGCAATCTCACCTCAAGATATCCTGAAGAAACATATGAACAAGGAACTGTGCAGGTCATCAAGTGTGTAACAACAGACACAACATCAAAGAAACCAATCACCAATGATGCAGAACACAGTTAGAGAAGAATACTGCATAGAAAATCATAACCTGAACGAATAATCGGTAGTATCCAGCAAAGTTTTCATCTTTACATCACAGAAAGACAAAAAAAATTGGGTATGCATATCAGTTTCCTCACGGTACAAAACCATCATAGGACTACGATTCAATTAAAGAATCCCATCTCACTATATCAGTAAAACGTAAAAGCTAAGTTCAAAACTGCTAAAACCATAGTTAATTGACTAAACAGAGAAAGACCAAAACTTTTCTAGAAACATTAACTAGGGAAAACACAATCGAGAGAAAGAGTTTCAACAGAAATCATAGGGAACTAAAAATGAAAATAAAGGTTTTCTTTAGAGCTTACTCTTGAGATCTGCGGATGTGATATTCAGAGGAACCGTCATGACGATTCGAGTTCCCAAGCTAGTCTCAGCAAAGATAGCCACTTCTTCTGCAAAAGCCATTGCCGTTGTGTGAGTGCCGGAACGGAGGCTTCAGTCAAACTTGTTTGACCCTTAACAAATAAGAAAACAAAAAAAAAAAAAACAATTACGCTGTTTCGAGTAATGTAAAGAGAAGTGCTTACCGTTTTTAGTAGCTAAACCCGACGGTCTGTGCAAGTGTAGATTTCGATTTTTAAAACTCGAAAGTGTTGCTTGAGAGAGAGTTGTGAGTCGACACCGTTTTGATCGTCGGTATCATCTTCGTTTGCCTCCACCGAGCAAAACCTAAAAAGGTGCCACTGCCCATTTCTCCGTTCAAAAAAATGCGCCGGCACAAGCGATGGCCTTTGCGGCCTCTCGCCAGTGCTTTGGTTCGTTCGCACTTCTCCTCCTCGGCGGCGGAGACAGTCACTGTTTCGACGGCTACGGCGGCGGCGACGGGGGCTTTCCCGTTGAAGCACGTGACGAGGTCGAACTTCGAGACGACGCTGGACGATCTGCGTTCACATGTGAAGGCTGCTGATTTCGTGGCGATTGACCTTGAGATGACTGGCGTGACGAGCGCTCCGTGGCGAGACTCCTTGGAGTTCGACCGCTACGACGTCCGATACCTCAAAGTCAAAGACTCCGCCGAGAAATTCGCCGTCGTTCAGTTCGGCGTCTGTCCATTTCGCTGGGATTCCAGCACTCAGTCATTCGTTTCTCACCCGTTAGTCTCTCTATCCCTCTCTCTCTCCCTCTCTAGCGTCAGGTTTATGATGGATTTGACTGTATAGGACTCCGTTTTTGGCAGGCACAATTTCTTTATATTTCCTCGTCAAGAGCTCACCTTTGATCCACCAGCTCATGAGTTTCTCTGCCAGACGACATCCATGGATTTCCTTGCAAAGTATCAATTTGATTTCAACGCCTGCATACATGAAGGTGCCTCCTTTCTCCTTTTCTTGTAATTCTTATGCTTTAGATGTCCTCGTGATGAGAAACTCTGGATTCCGAAAGAGTGTGTTAGTCCCAAAGGAATTCACATATTTGAATAATCCCAGGGATATCTTATTTGTCCAGACGACAAGAGGAAGAGGCAAGTAAGCGCCTAGAAACGCTTTACGACGAGGAGGGCGTCGATTCAGTGGTTGAAACAGAGGATCTAAAGTTGGTGCGATTGGCGGATCTTCTTTTCTCTGAAAGGATGAAGAAGAAGCTGAATGCTTGGCGCTCTGAGCTCTTACATGGAGGGAACGCATCCTCTGTTGAGTCTCCGGGGATCTCAAACGGGTCGACACAGAGTGCTGAAACTGTATTCTATCACATGCGTCCAGCTCTCAGTCTAAAGGGTTTCACTTCTCATCAGCTCAAAGTTATTAAATTGGTAAAACCTCTTTCTTCTGCGATTCATTTCATCTCTGGTTTTCATCCTTTCTTCAAACTGTTTCTTTTTTGTTTCTAAAAATAAACTGTTGGCTCCGGATTTGGCTTTGCAGGTTTTAGACAAACATTTTGGAGATCTTGTGTACATACATACGAGTGATAAAAGTTCATGTTCACAGGACTTTGTTGTGTACACTGATTCAGAATCCGACAAGGAAAATCTCATGGTAAGGTACCCCATTTACATTGCTGGAAAGATTTGTTGCTATTCGATACATGTCCTTGGATCTTAACTGAGAGTGATCAAGTGAATAATTTGATGATAGCAAAGCTCATGGCTAGAGAGATGATCTAGGGATATTCTAGTAGGGCAGTCACTGATTTTTCTACTTAGAAGCCTTCTTTGTTCCCGACATTATCTCATATTATTACTGCAAGTGTTCTACAGAAGGAGGCCAAGGATGAACGCAAGAGAGTAGCAGAAACAAAAATACAATCTGCAATCGGGTTCCGTCAAGTGATTGATCTGCTTTCTTCGGAGAAAAAGTTGATTGTTGGTCACAATTGTTTCCTGGGTATGCAAGCAAGTTGCTTCTTTATACGTCTGTGAAAGTTTTGTAAGTTAAAGATGCCTTGCTCTAACCATTTTTTGCTTTATCTGACGCAGATATCGCACATGTATACAGCAAATTCGTGGGTCCTCTTCCTTCAACGCCTGAGAAATTCGTCGCCTCCATTAACAACCACTTCCCTTTCATTGTTGACACGAAAATACTCTTGAACGTGAACCCAATGCTTCATCAGAGGATGAAAAAGTCCAGTACATCACTATCCTCTGCGTTCTCTTCGTTATGTCCACAATTCGAGTCTTCATCGCGAAGATCTGACTCGATTCTTCAGCAGCGTGTCGAGATTGACGTTGAAGTAGACAACGTCAGGTTTGTTATTCCTCTATTCCTGGCATGAACACCTCTGTTACTTTTCTCTGTTTTGACTTGTTTTCTCTGTTTCAGGTGTTCTAACTGGAACGCAGGAGCAAAACACGAAGCCGGTTACGATGCTTTCATGACAGGTTGCATCTTCGCGCAGGCATGTAGTCATCTAGGGTTCGACTTCAAACATCATTCGCAGTCAGAGAACTTTGCCCAGAACGAGAAACTTGACAAGTACATCAACCGTCTTTATCTCAGCTGGGCAAGAGGCGATATCATCGACCTTGGAACAGGCCATAGTAATGCAGAGAACTGGCGAGTCTCGAAGTTTAAATACGAGAACATCGTCCTCATCTGGAACTTCCCACAAAAACTCAAGGCTAGAGAGATAAAAGAATGCCTCTGCAAAGCCTTTGGCTCGACTTCTGTCACTTCTGTTTACCACTTGGACAACACTGCGGTTTTCGTCTTGTTCAAGAATTCGGAGCTTGTTTCGAACTTTCTAAAGCTCAAGCAGCAGCTGGAGTCAGATGATGGTCCGGTCACGATCATACACCCTCTCTCCAAGATCCTTGAAGGAGGGACCACCGGCGCTGCAGACTACGAAGCCTACAAAGAGATTTGCAGCTCAAACATCTCAAAGATCCTATTCTCTGACCAAGCTGAAACAGTTGGTGTCAGATCAAGAACAAGACCCGACCCAATAGGCCCGACAAGCCCTGAGACTGAGAGAATAGAGAAAATGGTCGCTGTGACTAACAGTGCATCCGATTTGATCGATGCTTTTTTGGCAAATAGAGTTGAAGTCGAAGCTGCTAGGACTAGTTAACCAAACTCCCCTTCTTATCAAAGGCATCCAGAGTCTTTTTTCTTGAAAATTTTGTTAACATTAAACGCATATAATTTTCAGACCCAAAAAAAAATATCGAAAAGAAACGCATAGATCTTGTGTATGGCGCAGGTAATAAGAAATCATAATCTCAGACAAAGGATCGGATGTAAGGACAAATACATAGTGTTGTTACAACTATTCTCAGACAATGGATCGGGTGGAGATATCAATCTCTATCAAGTTATCTTCTGCTTCAATTTCTTCCCATATCTCCATGATCGTCATTTCTTCGTAATATTCTTCTTTACTCATCCAAACTTTCTTCACACTCTCCAAATTTTCTTCCTTTGCTTCTCGCACGAGAGAAATCTCTATCAACCCCTCTTCTTCTTCATCATCATCATCAAAGAGATTGATTTTAGTTTCTTGACCTTCAAGCTCCCCCTGACCGTGAAGATAGGACTTGTACTTCTTGTTGAACACGTTACTGGCATGGATAACGTTAGAGAGAAACAAGATTGGGATAGTTATGAGAAAGCGAAGATTCTTCAAGAAAGAGAGTGATGAGATCAATAGTGTTTTATTTACTCCATTACTCGCCATTGTTGGGATCATCAGACCTTACACAATCGATTTATATATGTTCATGAGGACCCTCTCTACCATGAGGCATTCCCGTTGAATGCATTGAACAAAGACAAGATTCTAATGGGCACAAAGACAAATATCTGATTACATGTTCCCCAGTATCTTATAAGGGAGCCCATAAGGTCGGAACTTGTGGACAATAGTTAAGACAGGTGTAAGATGTAGTTATGGGAGTTTCGGAGGTCATACACATGCATTGTTGCTGTGACTTTCTTCCGTTGACTCCAGACATAGCTGTTATCTATAGATCTACAAAGAATATGTTACCCTCACGTCAAAACAAAAATCAACAAGATTCCGACAACGCCGGCTTCATGAATCGAAGCTATTATAATGTAGCAGACATATCGTTTCACTCTATGCCGAGGAATTCTAATCCAGTTGCGGTTGGACTCAACCCGTACAGAGCCAAGTACTCCGGGTCGTGAAACTTGCTAAGATGTCTCATTCCACTATCGCAAAGAATGGTGACAATTGTGTGACCAGGACCAAGGGTTTGAGCCACCCTCACTGCCCCAACACAGTTCATAGCCGAGGAGCTTCCAACAAAGAGCCCATCCTTCTTCAGAAGAAACCTGGTAACATTGATTAAGAAAGATATCAAGATTCGCAACTTTTATCACTAGTTCCTCTCTCTACAACAGGAACGTCAAAACATATAACGTATGAACGTTACCTCGACATCTCAACGGCTTCTTTATCAGTACCACGGAAACCGCCGTCAAGTTTCGCCATCAGGAAATTCCGAGTAAGCCTGTTGATTCCAATCCCTTCCGTTACTGTATCAAATGGGTTTTTCAGTCGACGTCCTTCAGCTTCCTCTCGTGTGTACATCACTCCCCTTGTTACTTTATTGTACAGACCAGACCCAGGAGGATCGATCAGGAAGCATTTCACTCTTTCATTCTTATCCTGTTCAAAGTAACAGAAAATTTATGAGCCTTTCTTTGTTTGTTCATGACATATACAGTTGTGATTAGTATAACCCAACCCCCTAAATAAGCATACCTGAAGAAACCTTGAAACGCCAGCTAACGTACCGCCTGTACCCGCAGCAGCAACAAAGGCGTCGATGTTGCCATCAGTCTGTTGCCAGATTTCAGGGCCAGTACCATCATAATGAGCCCTATAGTTTGCCAAGTTTTCGAATTGATCTGCGAAGAAGCCACCTGTAACTACTGACTCTGAGAATAAGGAAGTCTCTTTCTCTTCCTCAACTCTGCAACCATTACTTTTTTCCTGGTGCATGCCATTTATTCCACTCGCGAGTGTTCTCTTTGATGCTAACTCATTTGCTTCGTCAGCCCGTCGCCTCGCAATGTTGACATAGTGATCTTTGTGGGTTATTGACACCGGCCTCACCCTCTCGACGGTAGCTCCAAGGGCTTCAAGTATTTGAGACTAGAAGAAGTCCAACACGATACAACTTTTTAGTACATGTATAATGCAGACAAGGGAATGTATGTAATCATTCAAGTTGGGTTGAAAGATATAACCTTTTCAATAGCAGCATCATCAGGTATAACAACATGACATTTGCACCCATATGCCGGAGCAACTGTAGCAAGGCTTATGGCAGTACTCCCCGCACTCCCCTCTGTTACAATCCCCCCCGGAAACAGCTTACCAGACTCCAAAGCCTAAACAACAACAAACAAACAGTAAAAACTTAGCCGATGATTGTGAAGAGAGGTTTATGATGAAACCTACGAACTTAAAAAAAAAGGTTGAAACTTGAAAATGCTAATCATTGTTGCAGCAGACAATACGGAAAAACAGAGCTAATAGTATACCTCTTCAATGATCCTCACAGCAACTCTATCTTTAACGCTGCCTCCTGGATTCAGAAACTCGCATTTCCCAAGAATCTGAACACCAGACGATTCAAGTGGAGTAAAAGATTAAGTCTTTAATTCATATTTCACACTATCAGAAACTTAGTTCTCGAGGAAAACCTCACATCCGGTAGCCTCGGAGAGGCTATTGATACGAATCAGAGGAGTATTGCCAATGGCATCGACGAGTCCGTTTCTCCTACTCAGCTTCTCCTTCCTCTTCTTCTTCTTCTTCTTCTTCTCAGACGAGCGCGAATCGAACTTGCCCGAGAAACGAAACAAACCCAAATAGCAGTAGCAAAGCGTCACCATCGTCGCCGCTACAACAACAGCGCCAGTTATCCTAACAGGCGCCATTGAAGCAGGTTTCAACTTTCTCGCCTTCTCCGTAATCAACCGGTGGAAATACTGCAATTAGGTCGTCGGCAAAGCAACACTTTTTCTCTCCGTTTTTATTTTAGAGTTAATCCCTATTTTTTCCTTTAATTACAAATACGTTGTGTATGTTTTTAAATGTTCAGATACATCCTTCCAGAAATGCATCCGAATTTTTAATTTAATCATACGATTGGATATATTGATTTTCAGAAAATCAGCAGTGCATGCACACTCAAAACGATGTCGTCCCTATCTCGCGTTCTCCGTGGCACCTTCCGGCGTTTTTACTCACCCGCTGCCACCGCAGCGTCCGAAACCACGGGGGCAATCTCTTCACCTAAAAAGTCACTCAGCAGCATCGTGAATGACGAGCGAAACCCCAAACGGATCGTGGAGAAGTTCAAGAAGGCATGTGAGTCGGAGCGGTTCCGGGCGAACATAGCCGTGTACGACAGAACCGTGCGCCGTCTCGTCGCCGCAAAGAGATTAAAGTTCGTCGAAGAGATTCTGGAGGAGCAGAAGAAGTACCGCGACATGTCAAAGGAAGGATTCGCGGCGAGGATCATTTCCCTGTACGGAAAAGCCGGCATGTTTGAAAACGCCCAAAAGGTGTTCGACGAAATGCCAGAGAGAAACTGCAAGAGGTCAGTGTTGTCCTTCAACGCCCTGCTTAGTACCTATGGGATTGCCAAGAAATTCGATGTGGTTGAAGAGCTTTTCAATGATTTACCAGGCAAGCTATCAATCAAACCAGACATCGTATCTTACAATACTTTGGTCAAGGCATTGTGTGAGAATGGTTCCTTATCCGAAGCTGTTGCATTGCTTGATGTGATTGAGAACAAGGGCTTAAAACCTGATATAGTCACGTTCAACACACTTTTGTTATCGTCATATCTGAAGGGGCAGTTCGAGCAAGGGGAAGAGATATGGGCGAAAATGGCGGAGAAGAGCGTAGCGTTAGACATCAGGAGTTACAATGCCCGGTTGCTTGGGTTAGCTAACGAGACGAAGTCAAAAGAACTTGTGAATCTCTTTGAAGAACTGAAGGCTAGTGGGATCAAACCGGATGTTTTCAGCTTCAATGCTATGATTAGAGGGTCAATCAACCAAGGAAATATGGACATGGCCAAATCGTGGTACAAAGAAATTGTGAAGCATGGTTATCGTCCTGATAAAGCTACCTTTGGATTACTGCTTCCTGCAATGTGTAAAGCAGGCGACTTTGGGTCTGCGATTGAGCTCTGCAAGGAGACATTCAGTAAGCGTTATCTTGTAGGTCAAGCGACATTGCAGCAGTTAGTAGATGAATTGGTAAAAGGGTCCAAGAGAGGAGAAGCTGAGGAGATTGTGGAGATCGCAAAGACCAATGATTTCTTAAAGTTCAAGCTGGATTTGTCTTCTAAGGAGGAGTAAGTGGTTTATTATTGTCACCAATAGTGTCTTTGTTGCATTTGCGTAAGAGCCCTTAGGCTATGTATTACTGCAGATGCTGTTTTGTGGCTTTTGTAGTTCCTCGAACTCTCTCCTTTGTGGAAGAAAGACTTGCAGATGGTGCTTGTTCGGTTATTTCGCCAAGGCGGAAATGGCATGTAGTCGAGGTTTAAGTTAGTGAAACGCTACGCAATTACGCATCTAGTAAATTTTTGGTTTAATTTATTGGTTTGCCGGGAAAAATTGCGATTTATTTCTTCGGTCAACAAATTGCATTTACTATCTCTTATTAAAAAAAGACTTCAATTAATTAAAAAAAAAATTGGCACTCTTAATTGATCACATTTCTTTGGCCAGAAAAAAGTAATTAACATATTACAAGTCCAAAATACCAGAAACTTCAATAACGTGGACAAAAGATCGGAGCTGATATAAACCGACTTCCAAACAGTCGATATGTGATTAAATAAGAGAAGGCATATATCCTTGTGTCCAAACAGTGGTATTGGCTATTTTCCTTTCTCCGATCATTTCAAAACCCTACTTCAACCCTGCGAGATTCCCAGGGCTTGCAGAAAACGCCGAAATCGGGAATGGCTGCTATTGCTCTTCGATCTCGGCTTGCGCCAAGGTTAGCAAAGCTTGGATCTCGTAACCCGAGGATATTCTCCACCGAAGCATCTCCTTCGAATCCCTCGTCGAAGGTTCCGGGAATCTCCTCCGGCCAGTCGATCTTTTCTGATTTTCCACCGCCAAATCAGCCTCCTCCTCCTCCTCAAGCGGAAGCGGCGGCGGCAGAGACGCTGGGAAAGGAGCGGAAAGGTCTTAAGTTTCTTAGTAACGGACTCTTCTGGGCGCTCACAGCTGCTACCGGTGCTGTTGGTTACACAAGTTATGGTCAGTACTTTGCATTCCTTCTTCCATTTCTTCTTATATCTTCTAGTGCGAGTAAATGCGCTACGGTCTAATCGTTGCCTTGAATCCTAGTTTTGATTTCACTTTGGTAGGAAGAGTGTGTTTTTGACTTTGTTAATTTTGGCTGAAGCGTGAAATGTTCATGTCTTACTCGCCTGCTACAACCGACCGTGACTCTTTGAGATCTGATTGTTCTTGTTTGTGCAGCTTATACATTAGATGAAGTGAATGAAAAGACTAAGGCGTTCCGAGAATCAGCTAAGAAGATACAGCCAGCTGCTGATTCTTCCGGCATTGATGTGAGTTACACTTGACTCGCTTTCAAATTAATTCCGATTTATCATTGTTTCAACTTTTCTTAGGTCACACTGGCTTTAAGTATTCTTCATCTCAACTACTGCTCATGTTTCTTCTCTGGATTATTTACGTTTTCTATATATGCACGCTTCAATTTGCAGAAATATCAAACTATGTTGCACTCTGCTGCGATGACAGGTATGGCCATTTCGCCTCTCTCATCATAACGAATAGTATGTCATTCATTCAGCTTAGCCTGACTTGGTTTTGCTTGGTTTTTTCATCAGTTCCTGTCAAAGCCATCGAAATGTATTTGGAGCTTAGGGAAGTTATAGAGGAACACGTAAAAGTACGTCCTCTCACCAAGACTCCATATCGCTTCTTGTGCATCTTTTTCCTCTTCTGATTTCTTCCACAATTCTTATTACCCCCGCTCCGCTTCCTTACAGGGCTTTACGGAACCTCTCTCGGAGAAGCTTCTTCCAGATTTGCACCCCTCAGAACATCATGTCTTCACCCTCGTTCTTGATTTGAATGAGACACTTCTTTACACTGATTGGAAGGTAGCAATTGCATCGCAGATGTAAAATATTTGGCCAAGCGTATCTATGTCATGGGACAAAGTGGTCCTGGTGAACTAATTCGTTTTCTTTAGAAACATTGTATCTAATATTTCCTGCGTATTTATCTACAATTTTTTTTTAGCGAGACAGAGGGTGGAGAACGTTCAAAAGACCAGGTGTTGACGCGTTCTTGGAGCATCTTGCGAAATTTTATGAGATTGTCGTGTATTCTGACCAGATGGATTTGGTAAAGTCCCCTATTGATTAGTACTAGTTTTTTTTGGTATGTAGTTTCATTACAATGCGGCAATTAACACTTGTTTCATTGCTTCTAGTACGTATATCCGGTCTGTGAGAAGTTAGACCCAAATGGCTACATACGTTATAGGCTAGCAAGAGGCGCTACTAAATATGAGAATGGAAAGCATTATAGGGTGCGTAAGCAGCTTGTCTCTGTGAAAACATACTTTCTCAGTTACCAGCGTAGCTGTTTTCTCAGTGACCAATCTAAAATTTCCTGCTGCAGGATCTGTCAAAGCTGAACAGAGACCCGAAGAAGATTCTGTATATTAGCGCGAATGCTTTTGAAACAAGCCTTCAGCCAGAGAATTCTGTGCCAATCAAGCCTTACAAACTAGAAACTGATGACACGGCACTTGTGGACCTGATACCCTTCCTTGAATGTAAGTATGGTTCAGTTCCAGTCTGGTGAAGTGCTTCTATCAATGTTGGTTGGTTGATCTTTTTTTTGTACGGGTCTGCAGACGTTGCACGTAACAATCCAGCTGATATCAGGCCCGTGCTAGACTCTTACGAGAGAAAAGATGTTGCCAAAGAGTTCCTTGAGAGGTCCCTGGAGTATCAAAAGTGAGTCGAGCAGAACTTTTTCTTTACCCATCGTATCAAATGATGAATCTGTTGCTAGTTGTCGACTAAGAATGTAATATCAATGTGCAGGCGAATGCAAGAACAACGAGGACAAAGACAAAGCCGGTTGTGGAGGCGTTAAAAGGATCCAAACATTTCTGTATAGTGAGAGACGATTATATCCTCATTGATGCACACCATAAAATAGGAACGGGAGCTACTGTTCTTCGCTGTGAGTTTAGGTTAAATTCGAACTAAAATCGTGTCTTTCTCATCAAAGAGTTGTTATGTTCTTTTACCAGATTTTTCTTATTGTGACAAACCTTTTGTCTCCGCTTTACAAAGTAATATTATTTTCCAAAGAGAACCAAAATGAAATCACCATATGGAAAAGTTTCTTTTCTATGAGATGTTATTTGTTGAAACGTCTATTTGTTTGTACCTTTTGTAGTACGCTAAATATCTGTCCGTTTCAATGCGTGTCTTAAGGTGCAATTTGAGGTCTACAATTAGGTCAGTCAACGCCTTTAGGAAAGGGAGAATTATTTCTTGTTAAATCTTAGCCAAAGAATGTAACCTCTGTTTTTTTCCTAAATTTGAATTCATCCAAAGAGGGTCCAGGTCTTAACAACCAATTTCAAAGTTACTTCACAACCGAAAACTACAGATTATTATTATTGTAGTACAAAACTTCATGACTTTAATGTAGTACGACTCTTAAACACCACTTATATATCACACGACATATCTCTTAACTTGGAATCTCAGACACACAAACCCACTAGAGAAGATTCACATGTCTCGTCCTCTTCTCTTCGTCTTTTTCCTCTTTCTTGTCTTGGGCGTCCCTTGTCTCTCCCATGGAACCGGAGGAGACCATGACGACGACGAGGCTCCGCCCGCTAAGAGTTCCGATCTCAAATCAAGATCATTAATCTCCGTCAAAATCGCATGTCTTGTCATCATCTTTGTCCTCACGTTTATCAGCGGCGTATCTCCCTATTTCTTGAAATGGAGCCAAGGGTTTTTGGTTCTGGGGACACAGTTCGCCGGAGGAGTGTTCCTTGCAACCGCGTTGATGCACTTCTTGTCTGATGCTGACGAGACGTTTCGGGATTTGTTGACGGCGGAAGGAGAGTCGGAGCCATCTCCGGCTTACCCATTTGCCTATATGTTGGCTTGTGCTGGTTATATGTTGACCATGTTCGCTGATTCTGTCATCGCTCATGTCTACTCCAAGACCCAATCTTCATCGTCAAACGACTTGGAGCTTCATCAAGGTACCAACCCAAAAGACTCTGATTTCTCAAATCTCAAACAAAGGAGTATGTATGATGAAAGATTGGTGCTTTTTTTTTTTTAATTCCTTTCAGGAGAAGACAAATCGAATCAGAAGAGTTCAGCAACAACGAATACGTCGATAGGAGACAGCATTCTATTGATCGTAGCTCTCTGTTTCCACTCTGTTTTCGAAGGCATAGCCATTGGGATCTCAGAGACGAAATCAGATGCTTGGAGAGCTCTATGGACAATATCACTCCACAAGGTCTTTGCAGCGATCGCCATGGGAATTGCTCTTCTCCGTATGATCCCCGACCGTCCTTTATTCTCCTCAGTCACTTACTCTTTCTCGTTCGCCATCTCGAGCCCGATTGGCGTTGCGATCGGAATAGTCATCGACGCAACGACTCAAGGGTCGGTCGCTGATTGGATATTCGCAGTGTCGATGAGCTTGGCGTGTGGGGTTTTTGTCTATGTGTCTGTGAACCATTTGCTGGCAAAAGGGTATCTTCCAAACAACAAGGTTCATGTCGACGAGCCTCGTTATAAGTTTTTGTCTGTCTTGTTTGGAGTTGTTGTCATCGCCATTGTTATGATATGGGACACTTGATTGTCCTCAAAGTACGGATTTAGAGAATATGTTCGATTTTTTAACGAAACAAAAAAAGGTTGTTGATCTACCTGTACATTGATTTTGGATGTTTATGAATGGAACGGAACAATCGTAGCTCTGAAGAGGAAACAACAATAGGAGATGTTTCTTGGACTCTATAAAACGCAGCGTATTCATAATGGGTCTAGAATTTTTAGGTTAATGGGCCCATTTGTGCTGAGTAGTAATAATAATGGTGTCTTTGTCCCGCCACTCTCCCCATTAGACCAGATTACGCTTTGCAATTCAAAATAACCTTTGAGAGAGGTTTTCGTTACTGTTTCCGTGTCTCTCTCCTTCTCGATTTCCAGGTCCTCGCATCGAAGATCGGGAAGGTCAGATTCGTCTGGTTTGTGAATCGAATCGTTTTTATTTTTTCAATTTTCATCCCAAATAACTCCGTGCGGTTGCTAAGGGTTTTAGTAACCGGGATTCGTCTCGATGAATTTGGGAGATTTAAACAAGGTTTGGGAAATTAAGGCTCTGAAGAAGAAGCCTAGGGAAGATGAAGCCAGGAAGATTCTGGATAAAGTAGCGAAGCAGGTTCAGCCGATTATGACTAGACGGAAATGGCGTGTCAAGCTTCTCTCTGAATTCTGGTAATTAAAGGCTCGTTTTTAAAAAAAAAAATCCAGATTGGGTTGTGGAAGAATCATTGAATTATCTGGCTTTTAGGGTTCGTTCATAATGTTGATGTCAATCTCTGGAAATGGCAGCCCAAAAAACCCAAGGCTTTTGGGGGTGAATGTGAATAGAGGCGTGCAAGTGAAATTGAGGCTTCGGAGGGTAAACCAGGAGGGAGACTTCTTATCGTACCATGAAATACTTGACACCATGCTCCACGAGCTTTGCCACAACGCCCATGCTCCTCACAACGCTTCTTTCTATAAGCTTTGGGATGAACTTCGAAAGGTATTAATGTTTTCGAGCTGATTTGTTCATAGGATGTTGATTATTTATTCTTGTAGCTAGCTTTGCTCAGAGCTCCTGTAGTGTTACCTGAAATCCTCTACCACTGTGGCTTATTTGAGATCAATCAATCGCTGAAATGTTTCATGAATCTTTGGCTACTCTTTTGTTCATGCGTTTGTCCCTTTTTGACTAATTCCAGGAATGCGAGGAGTTGATGGCAAAGGGTATAACAGGGACAGGGCAGGGTTTTGATGTTCCTGGGAAGCGTTTGGGTGGTTTTTCTCGCCAGCCTCCCCTTTCATCTCTTGGGTCAACAGCAGCTACAGCAGCTGAAAAAAGATTGCGTGCGGCTAATCTTTTACCATCAGGACCTCATCGTCTCGGTGGTGATACCAGCATTATGTCAGGTCTTAGCCCAGTTCAGGCTGCTGCAATGGCTGCAGAAAGGCGTCTACTTGATGATATCTGGTGTGGTTCCCAATCCACAGAGGCTTTGGAGGAAGACCAAGAGAATGATGGTGAGGAACCAAGGGAAACTTGTACGAGCTTGAATGCAAGGTCGTTAAAAAGACGTAGCAGCTCCTCAAATGCCATACCATCTTCCAGTCATCATTGTGGATCAGATGTCATTGATTTAACAGAGGAATCATCTGATGCAAGATGTATTAAAAGAAGTTGCAGCCCAGGCGATCAGGGTACTTGTTCTTCCTCCAACTCTGGTGTCATGAAATTATCAGAAACTTCGCCATCGACCGGTTACAATGCAAACCAAGGCAGAGAGGAGGAATCTGCAATGTGGGAGTGTGCAGAATGCACCTTGTTGAACCCGGTAAGTCTTTCAGATATTACTCCCTCGGGGAAACTTGAAGCTCCATTGATTCATTTTTCTGTCGTGTTTTCGTGGAGCAGTTGTTGGCTCCGGTATGCGAGCTATGCACTGCAGCAAAGCCAAAGGAAAAGGAGATGACGCACAAAGTCTGGTCTTGCAAGTTCTGCACGCTTGAAAACGAGGTGAAGCTGGAGAAATGCGAGGCTTGTGGTCAGTGGAGATACTCGTACGGACAACCATTGTCGACTCGTGCTCCTAATGTCGGCACTTGAGGGAGTCTCCAGTCTTAGCCATTTGTTTTTTTTTGTAAATTGTATCGTCTCAGACAATGGGTCATGTATCTACTGCCTTCTCAAGTCTCAGACACACGTCTACAAGGATTCTATTTTGAAATCAGGTCACACCAACGCTATTCTCTACCCGACAGCTCAAACCATCGATTCATTTATGGAACTTGATCTTACTGATGGGCATTGATGTGGTGGAGGTCAGGCTCTGAAGAAAAAAAAAAAAATCACAGTTTCTCTGACCCAAAGCCCATGCATGTCTGCAGTGAAGTACTTTCTATGTTGTCGTGGATCCCATTAAGCTTTAGTTCAATCTAGCTCCCCTTGTCCTCTAAAGTTCCATTCATTTTATGTTTCCTCTTCAAATTCTATTATTTGTATATGTAGTCCTGATTTCATAATCTCCATTTTCTAAGTTCTTTTTCAATTTTGTTTTAGGTATGTTAAAAAAATTGAAAGTGCCATTGTCTAAGTGATAATGATATGATATTTGTTGGGGCAATTTGATAATTGTCACCAAAGTAAAAGGTATAACAATATATTTGGGATTATTCATACTGTTAGATGGTATATCCTTGAGATATCCAACATTTCTTGAAGGAGAGAAGTTCATATATTCTTGGAGAAGCAAATTAAATTATAACTGATAGTGAACAGTAAAGTAGGCTTTTTGAGTGTTTCAAGAGTTTGAAGAGGCAAAGCTACATAAATGGTTGAAATTGAAATGAAAACCAAAACCTTAGATATGGGGGCAATGAAAAGGATTTGATTGGGTCCTGAAACAATGGCTACCACTATTTTACTGCCATTAAAAATACATATCTTTTTGATTTTGATTTGTTGTTGTTTTCTGATGCCAAAGACCCAAAATTCCAACTAGATAAGCTAATTAATTTGCAGTAAGTAAAACGGATAATTTAAATAATTTAACCCATTGAAGATGATAGAAATAATACAATATTATTTTGGGACATTATACGATGTGTCAAAGGATAATGTAGAGAAAAATGGCAATATTACGTTGCCCAATTATTTCAAATTGAATAATCATAACAAGTTTGTTTATGTGACCATAACAATAGTCTTGTCTTTTCTACTTTTTAGTGAACAACTAGCTTTTCATTTCTGTGCAATATATACATGTAGATTTTCTTACGTGAAGAAAAATACCGATGAAGCGTGTAATATATAATAGCCTAGTAAATGTTCAAAAAAAAAAATATATATATATAGTAGAGTTCTTCATGCCAAAAGAAGAAGACGGTAGCAGAATACTTAAAACTTGTCACTGTCACTATTACCGCAATATTATTAAGAACTAATAAAGAATATACTAGTTAATTAAAAGATTCCACGACTCTTAAATCAACTTAATCAGACGATAAATAAACTTTAAAAGGGCGAGAAAATATGATTAAATTCAGATAACCCGAATCTAGGGAGTCTCGGAGTCAGAGGACGATGGCTTCACGTAACTTAACATAGATATATGTATGTCACTACAAACGTCACCTTTCCTTGTACTATTCCTTTCAACCAAATTTCTCCTTTTTGTATTTTAGCTTTACAAACCAAGTCCAATTTCGTTAATTATTGTTTCTGTCATTAATTTACTAATTCCAAAGATACTGCAATTATTGAAATTCGTGTTTACAACTTTTCTAAAAACTAGTACTCCAATTATTTGATTTTTTTCTTTGAATCGTTCAAGTAGATAGATATAAACGATTTAGGAGGTTGATGATATACAAAAGTAGGTGGCACAGAAAAAACATGTGATGAGCCTCTAATGTGTATGTAGATAAGCAGATAATATAAGAGAACAACCTCTACCACCGATCAAGCAAAAGTACAATATTATGACTTTATAGCCTCTTAATTGTGTTTTTGAGTACAAAATTAGCTAACGATTTTTTTTGTACTATATTAAAACATGAAATAATGAAATTAACCCGACTATATTATTCTGGAATCTACTTAGAGCTCTCTCTCTCTCTCTCTCTCTCTCTTCTACCTCTATATAACCTCTGTTCACCATCTTCTCCACACAGCCATCCTCTCTTCTTTTCCTTCCAAAACCAAAAGATTCAATGGCACCGTGCATTGACACTTGCAGAACCGGAAAAACCCAAGACGATGATTCTCGGTTCCATTTCTTCCGACCATGTTTCTCTGATCGGATTTCACGCGGGAACCACACCAAAACCAAAATCGACGATGTCTGGATCAAGATGCGGGAAGAAGCCAAGTCCGATGTTGAGAAAGAACCCATTTTGTCAGGCTACTATTACTCTTCCATTACGACGCACCGATCACTGGATTCCGCTTTGGCGCACATCCTCTCCGTAAAGCTCAGCACTTTAACCTTACCAAGCAACACGCTCTTCGAACTGTTCATCAGCGTTTTAGAGGAAAGCCCAGAGATCATCGGATCGGCGAAGCAAGATCTATTAGCAGCCAAAGAAAGAGACCCAGCTTGCGTAAGCTACATCCATTGTTTCCTTAGCTTCAAAGGTTTCCTCGCTTGTCAAGCCCATCGAATCGCTCACAAGCTCTGGACGCAAGACAGAAAAATCGTAGCTTTATTGATTCAAAACAGAGTTTCAGAGGCTTTCGGCGTCGATGTTCATCCGGGAGCGAAGATCGGAAAAGGCATATTGTTAGACCACGCGACGGCTGTGGTGATCGGAGAAACGTCGGTGATTGGAGACAACGTCTCGATTCTCCACGGCGTGACGCTCGGAGGAACAGGGAAACAGAGCGGCGATCGGCACCCGAAGATTGGTGATGGGGTTTTGATTGGAGCCGGGACTTGTATATTGGGGAATATTACAATCGGTCAAGGAGCTAAGATTGGATCGGGTTCGGTGGTGCTTAAGGATGTGCCGCCGCGTACGACGGCCGTTGGAAACCCGGCGAGATTGATTGGTGGGAAAGAGAATCCGAAAATGCTTGATAAGATTCCCGGTTTGACCATGGACCAGACATCGTATTTAACCGAGTGGTCTGATTATGTCATCTAAAAAACCGTGTAATTATTTTGTCTTTGCTGTGTTATCTCTATCTTGTAAGTTGTAATTAAATCAATCAAGATTAATTTGATTCGAAAAGCTTTTAACTCTTACTTAAACCAACATTTTGTACTGGGTTAGGATAATACTAATCCAATTGAACAGTTAACCAAGAAACTGAGCCGGTCTTGCAACAACAACACGAAGCAAAAACCTTTCTACGCTTCTTCTCCTTTTGGCGTATCACAAATTACACTCTGAGAATTGAAAAGGAGATATCTTTCTCTGGGTTCTTCGCTTCTCCTATATTCATATGGCGCTTGACTCATCGGTTCTTGGTCGATCTATCGTTGCCACTCGACAATATAAAAATTCAGTTTTTTCAGCAAGAAATCTTCAGATAAACAAGCGGAGCACACTCTGTGTATCCTCTAATCCATCCAGTCTGGGTTTTACTAGATTCCGGCAAAGATGTCAATTTAGCCACAGAAGTAGGTTTGTAGTGTATAGCGCGAGTGAAGAAGATGCGGGTAGTAGTCAACAACATCCCAATTCCGGCGGAGAGATCGAGAGTTTACTACTGAAACGAAGAATCGTTTTAGGAGCAGTGGTGTTTGGAGTTTTGTTATATGGATGCGGGAAAGCATTAGCATCATCATCAAGTGTGGTGGATGTGGCTTTTGCTCAGAGCGTATTGTTGTGGAATAAAGCTTGGCCAAAAACTAGTCAGGTTCTTAAGCTTCTTAGAGAGCAAGGTCTAATCTTAGCTGCGCTTCTCGGTCTATCAGCATTCTTCTCCATGGCAGAGACCTCCATTACCACTCTTTGGCCGTGGAAGGTAATGTCAATGATGATAAGCTGTTCGAAAGTCCACTTTCCTCTCTCTAGCCTCTGAGCTTCTTCTGGGTGCAATATGTAAGTGTTGATGGCATTGGTTCTGAAATGTGTTTTTTTTTGTCTCAGGTGCGTGAGTTGGCTGAAAAGGAGCCTGAAAATGGGGTCTTTAGAATGCTGCGTAGTGATGTTACCAGATTCTTGACAACCATACTTATTGGAACAACGTACTGCTTTTCTTTACTAGTTGTTTTTGCAAGTTTGGTTGAAAATAACTGTCTCTAACCTTAGTTCCTTGGCCTCTTGTTAGTGTTGTGAATATTGCTGCAACTGCCTTGGTCACGGAAGCGGCAACAGCTATTTTTGGTGAGGCTGGTGTTAGTGCAGCTACTGGATTGATGACGGTACGTCTAAATCTCACTTACTGCTCCAAGATATCGAAGCCATACAAGTATTGATTCTTGAATCATTATAGGTAGCCATATTACTCCTGACCGAGATAACTCCAAAAAGTGTAGCCGTTCACAATGCTCAAGAAGTTGCAAGGATTGTGGTAAGTTTGAGTTACTTATCATCAGCCAGATTATGCTGATATGTTGAAAAAGAAATACTCTGATTTGTGTTGTCTTACTATGCACCTAGGTCAGACCAGTGGCATGGCTTTCCTTGGTATTATATCCTGTTGGGAGAGTTGTGACATATTTTTCGATGGGAATCCTAAAAATCCTTGGTTTGAAAGGGCGGAGGTATGCATCAGATTGCACTTGTCTATCCAAATCATAATATCTGCCTTTTTCTCTATTGTTGAGAGAGAGTTAACGCAATTTACCTATAGTCCAGTGTTTTTCTTGACTCAGTGAGCCATATGTTACTGAAGATGAACTGAAACTAATGCTACGTGGTGCAGAATTAAGTGGGGCCATAGAAGAGGAAGAGCAGGTATGAGTTTGTTAGATATGGAATTTCGATGAGTCTGTAGCATAAACTTGTGGTAACTCCATTGATACACATTTGCAGGATATGATTGAAAATGTGCTGGAGATAAAAGATACACATGTTCGAGAGGTGATGACTCCCCTTGTTGATGTCGTTGCAATAGATGGCAGCGGCAGCCTAGTGGACTTCCACAACTTTTGGGTGACCCATCAGTACTCGAGGTCTATAAAATTTTCACAGCTTTTTTGTTCCTTAGGATTATTCATTTTGCTCAAAGGTCTTCTTCACAGGGTGCCTGTTTTTGAGCAGAGGATCGATAACATAGTTGGTATTGCATATGCTACGGATCTCCTTGATTATGTCCCCAAGGTCTGTTTGCTTCATTTTGTGCTTCTGGTGTTTGTTGACGACATAATTGTGCACTTGTGTTGAATTGGTTTTATATCTTCTCTTTGGTTTCGAAGGGTGAACTGCTAGAAAGTATAACCGTGGTGGACATGGCACATAAACCTGCATATTTCGTCCCTGGTAATCATCAATGCATTCATTCCTTTGATTTGATACCTAAACCTTGGGCGTTATTATTGTTAACACAGCATAAAATTTGCAGATTCAATGTCGGTTTGGAATCTTCTTAGGGAGTTTAGAATAAGAAAGGTTCACATGGCAGTTGTTCTTAACGAATACGGTGGAACCATTGGAGTATGTTACTGGTCGTTCTCCTCCATACTTTTATTTAGTTTTCTCTGTTGCAAGAAGGTTGTCTAATATCTTATCCATGCAGTTAGTAACTCTTGAAGATGTCGTCGAAGAGATTGTTGGTGAAATATTTGATGAAAACGACTCAAAAGTAAGCGTGTCCTAGTTCTTACTACTTGCTCTGCTGATATAGTTAGACTTGTATGCTTCAAGGGGTTGGGTCTATTTCTTCACGTAATTTCTCACTTGCATTATGCAGGAGGAGATTCAGAAGAAAACGGGTTATATCGTGATGAGAGCTGAGGGTATATATGATGTTGATGCCAATACTTCGATTGACCAGTTATCTGAAGAACTCAACATGAAGATGCCAGAGGTAATCTCTCCCTCTAGAAAACAGAAGAGATTTTTAAGATGGGCTATCCCTAAACTGTTGAATTTGTAAGCAGGGACATCAGTACGAAACGGTCTCTGGTTTTATCTGCGAGGCCTTTGGGTATATACCAAAGACTGGTGAGAGTGTGACGGTAGTCATCGAAAAGGAAAACTGGGAAGAGCATGATGAACAAGATGAGGGTAAACAGGCGCGTCAAGATCAGAAGGAGAAGCACCAAATCTATAGACTAGAGGTACTTAGACTCATAATAGCACTTCCCTTTGCACCAAAAAAGCATATTTGATCCTCTAACTGCCTTTTGTGGACAGATTCTAGCAGGAAACGCCAGAAAAGTGAGTGCAGTCCGGTTTGAAAGAGTTAATGATATGAACCAAGTTTCAGAGGCGCGCGATGTAAGAAACATGGTTCCCAAATTCGTAAGAAAATGGAGCAGTGAGGAAGAATCTGAGCACGACCGGAACTCGTTGTACCAAGAAGACAAAGCCAAGAGGGCCGTCTCTGATGAATTTTTAATTGCTGAAAATGAAAATGTGAGAAAAGAGTAATGATCGATCATTGGGAAGTGGCAGAGGAAGAGACTATTATCACTCTTGTATATTTTAGTTTCTTTTTACATCCATCACTTGCTTTACCAACACTCAGATTTGAATCCATTACACAATATCAAAGAGACCTAGAGATACCTATGCGTATAGGCTTGGAGAATCGAAGTAGTGGTGCCCGAGTGATATCAGGTTTATCGATCAGAGAGAAGTCATAACTTGTGATTACATGATGGAGAAAGATAGCCATTTGAAGCCTAGCAAACTCTGCTCCTGCACAGAGTCTTCCACCACCTCCAAACGCCATAAACGTTTTAGAGCCAAAAAGCGATTCTTTCCCCTCCCATCTCCATGGATTGAACTCAAACGGGTTTTCATAGATTTGCGAGTCATGATGAACAACAGATGGGACAATCAACACAGTCCAACCTGCTGGAATGATATACCCTGCAACCAAAGAACGTACGTTTTAAAATTTTTTGACCATGCATTGGTTACAAGTTTGCAGTGTATGATGCAAAAAGAAAGAATCAGACTTGCCTTTGATCTCCACATCACTCACCGCCTTTCTAAACATAGCTGGTGCCAAACTTCCCAGACGAAGAGACTCATTGATGACCTGCAATTTGCAACAACCAAATGATTTTAACCACTGATGGATGCGCAACAGGTTTGAAACTTCATTTTGTATCATATGTAAGTAATAACAAGTAAAATAATAAGAAAACAAAAAGCTACCATATGGGTAAAAGTCATCATAGATCTGTATTCTTTCCAAGTAACTCCAGACTCCTTATCAACCCTGTTTTGGAGGATGGTTTCATGCTCACTCTGTTTAAAACAATTAACCTTAAGCACCTCATTCTAGAAACAAAAAGAAAAATCAAAACTTCTCAACTGCTTATTATTCATCACAGAGCTGTTCTCAATTACCTTCAACTCCACAAGAACTTTGGGGTTTTCAGCTATGAATTTGACAGTTATTGCGGTCATAGTAGAAGTAGTTTCATAGGAAGCAATGAGTAAACTTAGTATTAGCTCCACAGATCTTTCCTTGTTCACCGTATCACCTTCTTTCTCCACCTCATCTATCATTATCTCCATGAAGTCTCCATATCTTAATTCACTCGATGATGCTTCTTCTCTCCTCTCTTCAAACATTCCCTTTATCATCTTCATCGCATTTCTGCGTGACTTTTTAGTTGGAAAATGGATTCAGAGTGTTAATGACCACACCAAATCCTTGAGCAAAAAAAAAAAAGTTATGGACATCAAGAGATCTTACCACAAGACCAGTGTAAAGAGCCTTCCAAAAAGAAGGATCAAAAGGGGACCTAACCATATCAAAACTGAAATCTCTAAAGTTTTCTATAAGTTTGTTTTTGTTCTCAGGTTTGATGTCACTTATGATCATCTGGATCATTTGTTCCAGTATCAACTGAAATACAACAAAAAATATAAACCCCATCAAAACAGAGTAAGACAGATATTTGAACATTGATAAGAGTTAGGGCTTTATTGTAGTACTCTTCCAACGGCATCTTTGACGTCTAAGACGCTTTGGGAGGAGTCAGATTTTAGATGCTGGCGTGTTGCTATGTCGATTTCGTGTATAAATTTTTGCTTTAAACACTCGGGACCGAGAAGCTGCAGAGCAATCTGTCTCATGTACCTGTGGAAGTCCTTGCCTTGCTTGAAGAACAAGTTATCTTTCCCGAAGATTCTGACAAGAGCTTCTGGATAGCTCATGATGAAACACTTGTTCTCTTGTTTGAATATCTCAAAGTTCACTTCCGGGTCTGTCGAAACAATCGTCTTAGAGCCGAGGATACTCGTCCGGAACAACGAACCGTGCCTGAAGCACAAATCAGACAGAATCACTCAGAGAAGAAACAAGAGATATGAGACAGAATGTTTGAAACCTGCAGATTTAATATTAAAACCAACTTTGACATTCGTTTCTTGACAAATGGATGGATTTCATCGAAACTGTAAGGTTTGAAGAACTGGGCGGTTTCTCCGATCACCGGAAACCCCATGGAACCGGGAGGTAACTTGCCAGCGCGGCTATGGTTTGACCATTTATAGAGCAAGAGACTGATCTTGAGGATCAATAAAGCTATAACAACACTCAATACAACACCCCACATTTTTTTTTCTTGAGTTTCCTAATATCTTAATTAGCTATGTATATGTAAACACTGATTCTGTTCATATATATATGTATACAGCTTCAGGTTTCTTAGGAAGCAATCTGGCAATCTGCAAAAGAAAAATCAAATCTTAAAAGTTAGTAACATAAATCTATTACAATATCCTCAAAGTACAAGATTGACTATAATATAGACTAATACAATACAAATAAGTAAAAGTAAATGCATAACTTAAAATAGAAGTTTTCTAGTTAATCTTGTGTTTGCTGTAGATCAAATTTAATATCTTGACGACTACTAAAGCTATAACAACACACAATGTAACAACCCATATTTCTTTATACATTTATTGATTACCTATTAATAAACACTGATTTTGTTCACAAGTAAAAGGTTCAGACTTTTTAGGAAGCAATTTGCAAGAAAGCCAAATTCGTAACACTTTTAGATTGTGTCGTCATATTTGATAAATGGATATCATAGAGTCTGAAGATTTGAAACTTTCAGGATTTTGTGATCTCACAGAGAATTACCAAAGGAAATAATCCTAATTGCGTTTGTTTATTAATATATGTCAAAGGAGGTTTTTGCCTTGTTTGGACCATTGATAGTATAAGTAGTTTCATAAGAACCAATCAGTAAATTTAGGACGAAGAATCATTGAACGTTATCTATCTATATTATGCGTTGTGGTCAAGGAAATAATCAAACATTCCATCTAAAAGACTTTTTACTGTGCCACTTTATCACAAGGGGAACATTTGATGTCCAATTATAAAAAAACAAACCTTTTAATACGTAAGCTTTTACATCCATATGAACATAAAACGCAAATCTTTTAGCTAAATGTACAACACTTTGAAGACCAAGAGCTCATGTGCTAAAGCATAAACACCTCTTGACTAACCCAATGATAAGGGGAGTCTTACTTAAACACTGGTGTTCTGGATGCTCTGCTTCAGAGGAGTTCCACGTTTGTTCAGCATTGTCAAGAGGTAAGCCAATGCTACTTTAGCACCCAAGGCTGAGTGACCACGTGACAAGCAGATGACACCTCCCACAAGAACCAGACCTTTCGCTATCAGTTTCTTTGAAGGCTTTCTCAATATTTTCTTCTGTTTGGCGGCTACATGAGGCAACACTTCTTCACCGCCACTAGTTCCCATGGAGGCTGTGACATCCTCTGTCTGACTTTCTAACTCTGATGGAACCTTTTTGATTAAGCTGAGAGCAGACAAAACGGGACCTTGGGGTCTATGACTGATTGCGATGTATTTACGAAGTGCATTTTCCATCTTGCAAACGTAACTCCATATGCCTTTAGAGAAAGCCAGCTTGGCCATCTCAACATTCAACCCAGCGTTTTCCTGGTGGAACATTTGAATCTCACAAGCATCTCTACCGGGAACTGCAGCAGTTTTAATGGTTAGCAGTTAGACAGAAATGATGAACAAAGGATAAACAAACCAACTTGCCTCTCCTGATCCGCCAACCAGATCTAAAATAACTTGCACGTACATACTTCCTCTGTCGCGGTACCATACTGTGATCGCATTCCTAGCAAATAACCAAGTTAAACTGTTAGTTAAACTGTTAGAGACAAGTTTAAGTTCCGTGACAGAGACAAGTTTAAAGTTGTTTTTTTCTCTTAAACCTTTGTGAAACAGTAGAACTTGTCCTTTCCTTCCCACAACTTCCAAGCTAGTACGTACTCCCTTGATGTCAGCAAGGGGAATTTTTTAACAGTGCGACCAATCTCAATCCCACTATTAGTGTCAACCTGCAGTTGCTCATGCGCAACCACAGTCTTATCCCATTGTTTCCTATAATCGTTGTCCATGTAAAAGTCCTTCAAAATCTCTGCGGAGCAATCCTCAAACACCGTTACACTTAAGTACTTCATAGGACCACCATCCTAATAAAACAAAACAGCCAAAGGTTTATACTTTGGGGTACATATTAGGATAAGCAACAAAAACAAAAAAAAGATCAGCTCTGATGATTTACTTTGGGTTTGCAGCGCTTAGCAGTGTAGGAAATGCGATCGCTGCTTTTGTGAATAACATTCTCCCATATCTCATCAGCAGCCTCATCTCTTTCCTCCAAATTCTGGATCAGGCATTTTAAATCTTCATCAGAAACTAGTCCGGATATCCTGCAGAGCAGATACAACAATCTCACACATCAAGGAGACGATATTAAGTTGAGTCGTGTGTTACTAATGGCTTCCTCAATGAAATTCGACACAGAGCCTAAATATTAGAAGCATTCTCAAGCAGGATTCTTCAAAGAAAAGAGCCTTCAAGTTTGAAAATTTGAAAGCAAAACGCTTACAAAACCAGCAAAGCAAACAAAGTGTGTGTTTTTCTTTTCCATTGTAAAAGTATTTCCGGAAGAAAACGATATCAAGTGAGAATCTAACAGAGAGAAGAGGAAACGTAAAGGGAAAGTAGCAAGCAAGCAAAAAAAATCAAACTTTTTACCTTGATTGGGCATGGGAAACTGAGTCGGCATGGGAAGGAGGAGGAGAAGAAGGAGAAGAAGAAGAAGCAAAATCGAAGAAGCGAAATCGTTTGCTGGAAAAGAAGATATGAAGGAGAAGAATCAAGAGAAGCGAAACCGCGGTGGCCCAGAAATAGCAAGCAGCTCCACCGCCATGAGAAGAAGCCCAGTCGGGTACGGTGTTCATCGAATCCCAAATCGATCTCGACGCTTGGGCGAAACCGAAGGGATTTATGAAAGCTCAATGGTTCATGGTGGCGTGTACAATTCCCGATTCCGGGAGGCAAGTCATCCCAGTTGCGGAGCGACCAAGCCAAACGGATCCCACACTCTTTGCTTTTCTATTTTCCTTCTCTTTCCCGCAATTTTTGTTTCTTCTTCTGTTTCACCCTTTGTTTTCTCTCCTTACAGTTTCGCCCTCTCCAACTAGTTTGTGGTTCTGATTGCTCTGTTTAGGAGTAGTATTTATACCCAAAAATAAATTAAAACCGTTAGTAATCTATCTATCTATTATATAAAGATTCAATTGAGTCTCACAAGGTGTTGACACCTCAGCATCCCTCTCCATGACACATCATCATTGATTTTTATTTTTTATAAATAAATTCTCAATCTTCCATAATTTTTCGTTTCCTCTCTTCAATATCAAAACCGGTCAACATTCCAAAACCTTTTCGTTTACGACCACTACAGTTCCAATAAACCATTGAAGGTAAATTAATATTTTGGGTTTCAGTGATTTTCTTAAAATCATATAATGTAAACAATCTCTTCTCATTCATTCCAAGTTAGCTTACAAAACCGGATTTGGGTTTATCTCATCTCTCTGATTCAATTCCGATTTGAGTTTCTCTTCTGTTTCGGTAGACCTTATTTCATGTAATGAATTCTCATCCTTCCAGCTATTAATTTATCGCTTTCTCAGAAAATATTATAAGAATAAAAAGAAGAAGAAGACTAAGTGGATGATGATGACTTGGCAATAGAATAAGATTGGTTCTCCGGCGGATGAGATAATGAAGGTTTGACGGCTGTTTAATACCTGCAAGGAACTGTTCTCTGACGGCGGTCTTGGATCTGTTCCGTCTGAAGATATCCAACAACTACAGAGATCTTTGGTATGAAATTTGATTCAAATGTCATTGGGTTTTTGCATTTGATGTTCTGGGTTTCCATAAAGTTTTCGTTTTGATTGGACTCTGTATGCATCAGTGAAGTCTTACAGTTGATTGTAGCGATCGATCTATCAAGATGTTGCAGACAATTATAAAAAAATAGTTTCATTTCACTGATGTAAGCGAATGTGACGACGAAGAGTTTACTGTGTGTGCAGACAACAGAAGGCTGTGCTTCACTATTATATGAGTGTTCTTCTCTTTTATTTTATTTTTTCACATGGATATTGATTTTGTTTTGTCTTTCTCTGAATTCAGTTTCTACTAAAGAAATCATTATGGGCACTGAGCACGAGCAACTATTTGAGAAGGACAAGAGAGAGAGAAGTACATCAAGTTTTTATTTGAGCTACAAAAACTTCCCATGGCTTTCATGGTTTTGCAGGTACTACTGTTTTATATTAATTTGAACCTATATGTTACAGAGTTGCTGATTTATATAGCTATTAAATTGCATTGGTGTGGTAGTTCCTTTGTTCGATTCAATGGGTTTGAGAAGCCTGAATGGCGTTTTGATAGGTTTATCCCTAATAAAAATTAGTCTTTTAGATCAAACCTTGTTTCTTAAGTGAAAAAATTGTCCAAATCAGTGTTTTATTGAAACGTTTAGAAAATTGTGTAAATGTAAGCAGCGAGCATAAGCAAACCAAAGGTTCATTCCCTCCTCGTATGAGCTGTCTCCTTCCTGCGGCACGTACCAAGCTGAGCCTGTTGCGCACATTCTTGTCAATAAGCTTGATCACTCGAAGATACGGCAATGGCTCATCTCCATGGCATCGTCCGTTTCTTTCCCGCCAAAGATGGTATAAAGTAGACTGAAATACAAATCTGAGTAAAAAAGTTGTGATTCGGTCAAAGATTGAGTTATGGAGGATGTCAAGAAGCTGACCCCAATGTGTCGTGTAATGTGGTCCTAGCAGCCGTTGTGTGAGAGATTTCCATGTCTCTTTCGAGTAGTTGCAATCGAAAGACAGATGATACCGATTTTCCTATGATTGTTTGCACAAAACGAAGGTCGTCATGTGCCCCCTGGTATTATCTCTTAAGGTCTTTCTATGGTGGTCTTTTAATTTAAAATAAAAAAATATGATTCGAGTATATTGGCTAACCGTTGGGGTGGATCCAAGGTCCTTAAAGTTTAAGAAGAATTTGTACGGGAAACCTGAGGTGGATTTGGAGATTTACACAACTAATAATCCAAAATTGCAATTCAACATCTCCCACACAGATTCATTGATAGCTTGTGAAGTGACAGTAAATGCTCCGGTTGATGTTGAAGACAAGAGAAGGAAGATGCATGATGTGTTGGCTTGCAAAGAGATTTTACTCATCTCAAGATGTCAACTTTTTCCAACTGTACGCTATACATACACTGACGCTCGGCGAGAGGTATTTATTAAGCATTGGACTTACAAAGAAGCATATGTGAAGGCGGAAAAGGCTTCTCTGCTTCACATTTTAACCCCTTTTCAATCATCCAAGCCGAGGCTGGATACAATCTTTGCGAGGCAGGGAGAGAATGGTAGTTTAGGCGTATTGCTTCATCTCATTTACGCTGCAATCTGCATTGAAGATGATGATGACGCTTATGGAGTTGAAGCTCTTATGAATGTGATTATTCACAGAACCATCCCTTACTTAGATGGATTTATCTATGATTATGAAAATACTGTTTCTAGATTGTAGAACAGAGGATCTGATTTAATGTTGAAACACATACCAAAAACAGACCTTTTTTTTTCACAAATAAGAATACTACGATAAATTATTTACACACAATTACGAAATGAGATTACAGAATGTGTTCTTGCGAACCATTGATTATTATTCAACTATCTTTATAGTTAAAATAGAGAACACTATTTTGGGTTTAATGATTATAGAAAAAAATTAAGATTTTATATTAATTTATATAAATTTTACATCACAAAATAAAAAAAAAATTATATGGAAGCAATCCGCGCAAATCTACTTATATTAACAGGTCAGGCTCTATCTGATTTTAAACCACAAACTCAGCCAGACCACATATATCATGAGAATGAGGAGGCATCACATAAATAAAACATTGAAGAATATATCATTTTCACTCACTTCTTTTTTTTATGAAGAATATGGAGAAATGAAGTGTCACAGAATCTTGAATTCTCTTATGGATAAGGGCCATAAGGCAACAATTGACTATTGAGTCAATCACCATACTTACTCCTAAAGTTAATACAATATTTGGAGAAAACCAGAAGAAAATAAATAAAACATGATATGTAAGTGTCTTTCTTTTTTTAAGATCTTACTGTCTTTCTTTCATACATATTCTTCTGTTGTCAAAAGTAGAATATAATATTAATGAAGGAAATATATTGTCATGTTCCCATCGTTATTTACAAAAAGAATCGATAGACAAATAAGATGAAAGTTCGCAGCGAATACAAAGAACATGAATATAGATGTCAAAATCAAAGATTCACCAAAAAACCTACATCTTTCATTTGGGAAATCTATACCTTAATTCCATAGATATATATATATGTACCTCCTCTAATCTAACTTATAATTAGCAGCTCTGCTCAAGAGACGACTAAGCTCCTTGTTTGCTTCTACTTCTTGCTTATACACCCCAAAGCCAACAAAAGAACCTTTTCTTGTTTATCAGATTGAGGAGCAAGCATGTCTTGATCAGATGGCTTCAGGAACAAGTTTGGGTGGCTTCAGCAGCCCTTTTCTGCATCATCTCCATTACAGCGGCTCTACGCCTTTTGTCTGACTGCCGCTGCTGTCTACTACTAATCGCTCTGAAGTCTCTGTTGGAGAAAAAGAGATACAAGAGTAAGCTATATATACATAATAGGGTAAGTGGTTTCATCAGTGTGTTCAACTCTTTATGTACCTGCATTTAGGGACAGTGCACTGAGGATCTCTACAGCAGCGGGCATGGAGTTTGAGGAGTCTCCCAAAACTCTTACAATGGCGGCAATTTGCAGCACCAATCTTACATGCTACACAATGTCTGAACAGTCTTTTCATATCTTGACACCTTCCATATAGACACTTTGGAGAGCGGCATGCAATTGCGTGTACCAGCAGTTCTCTTGCCTGCATTATCAACAAAACCAAGCTTTTTATTACTCGTTTCAAGCAGCAAACAATCTAAATGATGCCCTGTTCAGACAATAATACCTTCTCAAGCTCGGTTTGGTTAGCTTGCCCGTTCTGTTGTACACTAGTTTCCGTAGCAGACGAACGGCTTATCAGCTTATGTGAATGGTTTGTAGACGCCTTAGGGTAACATGCATTGCAGACATCATAGCCCGTACAAACTTGGCAGTGCCAGATTTGAGAATTTTCAACTTCTTGTTGGCAGATGGTGCATGTCGTTGCGAATGCAGGGGCACTTGGGTTGTGAAGATGATAGAGTATCATCATGGATGAATGTTTCGCCCGCCTTAGTGTGTCGTACTGATAGTTGTTGCCTTGGCAAAGACTCAGGAAAGCTTGTCTGTTATCAAAGAACTCGCTCTCGATGTTGCCATCTTCGTCTTCAATCTCAAAGGGAACGCCTTTGATGGCCACCTGCAACGATCCACACCCCCCTTGTCATTTTCCAAGATACACACAGAGAGAGAGAGAGAAAAGAGAGAATGAAAAAGAAACTTACAGGAGACAGTGTGTGCTTCACTTTCTGATTGATTGGATGTCTCTCTTTTTCTGCGCGCTTCTGTTCCATTTGGTTACACCTGCGGTCAAAAGACAGTTGAATAAATAAACCAAGTATCAGATAACCTGAATATAATATGATCATGTAGCAGAGATCTTACTTGTCACAGATCTGAAAGTTCTTGCAGTGATTGCACACCCAGCGATTCCCAGATACCATGAGAGAGCAACAGTGCTTGCAGGAATGTTGCAAATGAACCATGATAAAATCTTCCTTCATCGGACAGATGATCTGACCGAGCTACATTGAACAAAACAAAACAAACAAGTAACAGCAATGAGTAGGACAAGACGAAAGAAACCTTTGGTTAGAATTGAAAAGGAGAAGTTACTTTTTGCATCATCAGCAGATCCTTGGAGGCATTAACAGAGAGGTCCAACTGGCCAACTGCTCTAAGGGCTCTCTTGGAAATGACCTTTTTGGTTCGATTTAACTTAGTCCCACTCCCACCATCACCTTCTTGGCTCATTTGTTTGATCAAATCCTCAGCAGCACCTGGCCAGTAGTCCCCATCAAAATACGGCAACCTTGCAGCAGTTACGTCAGCTCTACACTCGCCAGGCTGCACAAAGAAGTGATCATAGAGGTTTGTACATTCGACCACCACATCTTCCTCTGAAGCTTTCCTTAGCATTGCTAAATACCTGCAAAATGAAAGAGAGGAGAGCGAGTGAGTGATTATTGATTAAAGGCCAAAAAATATATGTACCTCGCACATGAGGGTCCATCATCTCATACCATTCCCTTAGTTTGTCAGTCTTGGGCGTCTTCTGGATTTCAGGATGACAGTATAGAATATAATCTTCACCCTTGAGTGGGGGGCATGCCCATATGTAGCAGCTTGTAAAACCACGCTTCTTACAATAGTCGAGATAACCAATCTGCATGCAGATCGTGACAAGTCAATGGCTGCATGGACCATTGAAGCGAAACATGAAACCCAAACGAGTTAGAGGCTTACCAGAATCTCATGGTACACAAACGTGCGAAGGGCTTCTCCAGACACTGTTCGAACCTCAGGTCTGAAATACTTAACCGAGTCCAGATACGAAAGGTATACCCGCCGCTGATTCGGAGGTCCACATTTTGCTCCAAATTCCTGGACGAACATGCCAAATAAGCATACTTCCACACTCTCAATCTTCTGAAACAACAATATGGCCTGAAATATATATGTATAGAATTATTAATGCGTGTTCAACAAGCATCATAAAAAACGAACAAGAGAAGCAATCATGGACCATGTATATATCTACCTTGGACTTATAAGGGAATTCAGATGGATAGTTTTCTTCTCGGAAAAGCTCAAGGAAATGCTCCTTCACTTCTAATACTTTGTCAACCGATGCCACAACTCTGACAGATAGTGATTCGGCTCCAGGGACCTGATATATCAATTATGAAGGTATAGATAGTTATCATTATTGCTCCAAAGTTGTTCACAGCAAACATAAGATTCATCAAAAGAGTGAGAGATTACCTCCTCGTAACTTTTTCCTTCAAGTCTAGCCCTCTCTTGTCTTTCCTTCTTTAAGTTTTTGAATAAGCGCTGCTCTATGTGGTTGCTAAGACTAGTAACTGGTAAACTTTTTGCCCCTGGAATGGTACTCTGTGGCAAAGGTCTTCTTTCTCCCTGTTCCACCTCTTGTATATAGCAACTAGGACAAGTGTACTTGGTGGCTTCGCCATGATTTCTTCGGCTGTTGAATAAAGCACAAATTTGATGCTGCCACGCTTGACACTTATCACATTGCACCCACTGCATTCAAACCGTTGATTCAGACACACAGATAGCAAAAACAAAAGAAGCAAACTTTCAAAAAAAACAATGATCAGTCATGAGGCATACGTACCCCTTCTCCAACTTGTTCATCATTTTTCTTCTTCTCAAGCCTTGCTTTTGGTATACAAGTTCCATCAACAGAAACAGAGTTTTCACGGGATTCATTGTAGCAAGTAGCGCAGACATAATGCCATGACTCACCAGCCGCAACACTATAGTGAAAGGCATTTCTCTTGATGCGTACACCACAGGGTGAGCAGTAAATAGGCAGTGGCTCAAATACGAGCCTCTCAACAGCACATAACTGGCAAGCATTCGCAGATATGGATCCCCCCATTGCTTTGTTTTTCTCAGCCTTGGTTTTACTCTGAAAGTAGAATTACAAAAGAAAGAAAATAGCATCAGCCATTACCATTTGCAAAGGATAATTAAACTCAAAGTGAAACAAAAGCCGATGTTCACTATTTACCTGGCCTACCCATTGACGAAGGCCGCGGATATGCTCCTTGACTTGCTCTGGAGTAAACAATTCAACGAGTGAGGAGATTTCCATCTTGGACGCGTCCACATTCTCTTCCTTTGGTAAACAAGCGTTTTTTTCATCACCATCACTGCCCTTGGGAAGATCTTCAGCAACATCTCTGTCCATAGGCCTAACCTCAGCTCTGACACTTTTGTTGGGAATATCTTCAGCAACATCTACGTCCGTAGGCCTAACCTCAACTCTGTCTTTTTTGTCATCCATAGCAGATTCACCATCATCCCTGCCCTTGGGAATATCTTCAGCAGCAGCATCTACGTCCATAGGCCTAACCTCAACTCTGACACTTTTGTAGTCATCACTTTGCAGACCATCTCTTTCTTGCTTACCGATTGAACTAGCATGACCACATACTGACACCGAAATGCTCTCTGTCTCCGTCTCAGGTTGCTCTATTTTCAGGCGCTTAACTGGGGGTTGCAGATCCTCATCAACAGATATAGATTCACTGGGTCGACGTTTATGCTTCATTATGAATTTTTTGACGCGTACACAGACAGGGCACGATTTGTTCCTGCACTCGGTGGTGTAATGAATAAGCAATCTCCGAGTTTTAGGACAGCGTGGATATGTGCAGTCAGGGACCTTGCAGCGTTTCATATGTTCCCATAGCTTTTGGACAGGTAAGCAGAACTCGCTCTTACACTTACCTTGTTCTGCGCTGCAATAACGTGCATGGATCAGCAACAGAAGCCACCGAATCTGTTGCATATCGTCTCCGTTGACCTGTTTACAGCTTGATGCATCCGGAAGACGTTTGCTCTCAGCAGTTTGGGCGATTATAGGGGCTCTTGCAGAAGAGCAGGGATGGACAACTTGGGGCTGCATAGGACATAAGCTAGCCCCAGTATCTTGTTGTCGTCTCTCTCCATGATTGTTCGTCGAGTTCTGTAGAGCTGGCTGCGTTGGAACCAGGACTGATGCCGAGGGAGGATGCGGCAGCTGAGTAGATGCAATTTGGGCACCAGGATTCAACTTGGATGGTATGAATCCATTAATGGCCTGTTTCTGGAGAGCTTCTTTGTATACGTCCAAGCTTAATCCATGCTTGAGAGGAGGAGCAAGCTGAGTCTGATCGTATTGTAATTGATGTTGATTTTGCAGTTGAGCAGGATAGAAGAGCGGTTGTTGAGAATGTTGCCTTTGGGCTTGCTGGTGAAAGAGTGGTGGCCTCGCCTGAGCGAAATTACCTTGATTCCCGAGATGATGATGATGATGATTTAGCAATGGAGTGTGTGGCATTGGTTGCGGATTCGAGAGATTACTAGTGAAGGTAGGGTCAAGAGTCAGCACAGGATTGGGATTGGGGTGCATTGATGAGGATACAACTCCGTAGGGATTAGCAGAAGCAGCGAAAGGTAGAGATGAAGTAGGCAAGTGGTGAGTAAAATTGTTGGGCCTAGAAACGTCAACCATCTGGTAATTGGGTGATGAAGCAGGAAAAGCTGCATCAGAAGAAGAAAGAGTGAGAAGAGGATATATATATATATATATATATATGTGTATTCATAAACAAGTGTCACTCCAAAAACAGTCACCTCCAGTGAGTGGGACAGCACTTGCAGCACGCTGCTGCTGCTGGTGCCGTATAGCTGATCTGAGAAGAGAATCAATGCGGGGTTCAAGATCTTCCAGGTTTGCGTAGTCCCTCTACAAAGACAAAAGAGTGAGCCCCCAAGGACACAACATATATGAGTATATACACAAGAGTGGCAAAGGGGCAGGGGAACCTCTGATTTGGCCACCATGACCAGCTTAGCGTCTACCCAGTTTGTGAAAAGCAACAACTTTTGTTGCAGTTGAGAGACACCATCACCACTCCTTGGAGCTATCTTCTTCGCCAAGATTGCATAACTGGGGAAAGGAGAGAGAATGAGCAAAAAAAAACCATTATGATCATTAGTTAAGCAGAGAAATCCAATTAGGAGTCCTTACATCCTTACTCGCGTAGCATTCCGTAATTGGCGATTCTGCACAATCATATTCTCACCATGCGCCATCATCCCCACATATATTATAATGGGAGAGTTGCTCCAACCTGACAGTGAAACGCATCATCATCATCAGCTAATTAAATTAACTTGAGTCAAACCAAGGTCAAACTTCTAATCCTTTATAGTATATTTATTATCAATTGTTACACCCCGAAATATATATGAATATTTAATCGTCAAATCAAATACGAAGCCGCGCACGGTCGAATCAAACAAACCCTAGAGATCAGAAAATTAGACAACCGCAAAAAACCTGAGGAAATTCAATTGGCAGCAGCAACGACGACCGGAAACAAGTATGGTCGGTGGCACGTGCGATTGGTGACGCCAAAAAGCCGCGGGGGGGGGGAGGAGACTCTACTTTGGTTATTTTTGTCTCTGTCCGTCTTCCGGGAACGTGACAATATTGGTCTTTTTTTTTATTATTTACCACAAAACAAGAACAATTTACTACTCAGTTTCTTTCTCTTTTGACTAGTTTCACTAGAAAAGCAGCATGTGTTTGTTATCCTGTAATATATATAAGCACAGCTCCTCCTCTATGCAATCAAAATCTTACACGTGGCTCGTCTTTCATCTTTTTATTATAAAAAAATTAAAGAAGAATTTGAAACCGGGACGGAGTTTCGTATCCAAATCAGTAAACGACACGTAGTCTTTCTCGAGGATGAGGCAACAACAAGACTCTTGCAAGGGATCCACAATACCGCCGGCGATTGCGAGGAGGAGCAAATGAGCAGCGTTTCCGTCGCAATGAAGGTCGCCATCATCGGAAGTGGAAGTGTGTTTTCTCACTCTGTTTAATTTCGGTTTCTTTTGTTCCATTTCTGGGAATAAGTTTCCGTGGTTTGCAGTTTCCGGAGCGGTGTGCGCCTCGACTCTGGCAAGGAATGGATTCTCCGTCACAATCTTCGATTCCGGTCGTGGTCCCGGTGGACGCATGTCTCAAAGAAGGTTCCTTTTTTATAGTCTCTGTTCGGTTTGTTTATACTCTTTGTGATTCTAATTGGGAAATTTTGAAGCAGAGAGATTGGCCAAGATGGGGAGGAGTTGACCTTCGACCATGGAGCTCCCTTTTTCTGTGTGAGCAACTCTGATGCATTGGCCCTTGTCCACGAGTGGGAGTCCAGAGGTCTTGTTTCTCAATGGAAACAAGCTTTCGGGAGTTTCGATTGTGCCTCCAACAAGTTTCTTGGCATCCAAAAGGTACAATTTTTACGATTCATCTGAAGAGAGTTTTTGCTACATTCAACTGTGCCTTACTTCTGTTTAGGAAGGGGATGGGAACAAGTATGTGGGTGTTCCGGGCATGAACTCTATATCAAAGGCCTTGTGCCAAGAATCTGGTAATCTTTCTAGTCTCAGAGAGAGATTCAGCTCAATGCTCTGAAACATAAGTAGTATGTGATCCTCATCGTTAGGTGTTCAGAGCATGTTTGGAACTGGTATTGCCAAGCTGGAATGGTTGGAGGAAGAGATCCCATGGCTGTTGAAAGATTCTAAAGGACAAAACGTGGGTCGTTTCCATGGAGTGGTTGCATCAGATAAGAACATTGTCTCTCCAAGGTTTACTCAACTCCCACCGCCTCTGGGTGGGTACCCAACACTTCCACGGAACTCACTAACTTACCGTTTTCAGTGTGATATTACATTTGTCTCTAATTTGTTTTCCTTACACAGACCTAAATCTAGTCCCCGAGTTGGCGACTAAGCTGCAGCAACATATTCCTGTTCTACCATGCTTCTCTCTTATGCTAGCTTTCAAGGAGCCATTGTCTTTGGTAAGATATTTGCTTGTCCATTCTACAAATCAATCTACTAGCCAAAGTAACAGTGCCTCTGTCGTTTTCATATTCTATGGTTCTTGAATCAGATACCAGCAAAAGGCTTATCTTTCAAAAATTCAGAGATCTTGAGCTGGGCTCATTGTGATAGCGCTAAGCCAGGGCGGTCTACGGATAGGTACATCACTTCACTAACCGAAACAAAAGTGTAAAAGATTGCTTCAGCTCAGTTGTTCGAAAATCTTGGGTTTCATATCTTGATCTTTTCCAGTGAAAGATGGATACTGCATTCTACTCCAGACTATGCCAAGAGCGTAATTGCCAAGACCGGTCTGCAAAAGCTATCGAATGAAACACTGAACCAAATATCTGAAGAGATGTTCAAAGAGTTTCAGCGCTCAGGCCTAGTTACGTGTCTGCCCTTTTTCATGAAAGCCCACAGATGGTAAGCATCCCTGACTCGTAGTCCTTGCGTGCGTAAACTCTTGTCGGCTTAATGATAATGTTGTCTCTAGGGGAAGTGCGTTTCCAGCGAAAAGCATAGCCGTAGAGGAGAGGTGCCTGTGGGATAGAAAGAGGAACCTAGCAATCTGTGGAGATTTCTGTGTGAGCCCAAACGTCGAAGGTGCCATACTCAGTGGCTTAGCTGCCGCTTCAAAGCTTTTGCAGACTTCCAGCTGCTTATAGCTATCCGATTGAGTGTATCCCAATAATACGAAACAGAGTTATATAAAGATTCTAGGAGAATCACTTGTGGAGCGTATCAACATTCAAGATCAGACATCATGTAAAAAATAAAGAAGGTTGACACTGGTTAATGAAAATAGTAAATTAACTTGATAGTCTCTGCTTATGTGATGTACAAAACCAGACAATGCATTTGCGTTGATGAATCTAAGTGCACTGGTTGACTCAATATATTTTCTTACCGAGGAAGCTTGTGATTCTAAGGTTTTTGTTCTGAAAATTGATTCTGATTATTGCAGAGGCACTGCCTTGCCATGCAATCAATTTATCCCACCATGTTTCATATTCAGTTTTCAATCAATCGTTCTAGAGGACACTAAGAACCAGGTCTTACATATGGAACTGTGATGTAATTCATATGTATAACGTCTTAAGTGGTATTTTACATGAATCTAGTGGGTACAAGAGTGAGAAAATGTTTGTACAATCAGACACGCACACCCTGAAGAATTGTTCCAATCGTGAATATGTATATATAAATGATAACTCACGTTACACTCGACAATCAGCAATTCCAGGCACTACCAATGTCGGTCAAGAGGCTCCTCCCGGAGCTGCCTTCTGCATAACTATCCCCGATGGTTCCATCGATCTTTGTGAGCTGACTCAGCAGAGCTCTGAGAACCATCTGATCGGAAGAACAGAATGAGTCTAGCCCCGGGAGCGTAGCTAAGGCTGAACCACCAGGAAACAAGTGGTTAGGGTTCTTGCAAGGAGTTTTGAGTTCATTGGTCAGGTTTGCGTTTAGGGTTTGGTTCTGTGACAAATTGGAGAAGCAGGGCACCTGCTCATTGATGATCAAGTGTTGATCATCAGAGAGGTAAGAAGAGGGTTCTTCTTGTTGGTCAAAGTTGATGTAAGAATCCATCAACGGAGGAAGAGAGGAAGAGGCTGTCTCACCAACAAAACAGCTTCCCATGTTGTTGTCTCTACATGACACTCCTTCTGTATTCTTGTGGAACACTCTACACAAGACCCAGTCTTCCTGATTCCCTCAACAGCACATTAAGAAAAACACAACAGATTTGGTAAGAGGACGGACATTGATTGATGATAAAGAGCTGCAATGATTAGGGCTGCGTACCTTTGGAGAATCCACGGGAGGATCAAAGGATCCCTGGAGACGAAACTCGTGCATGACCCATTCGGTTTTGCGACCTCGGGGAGCTCGACCTTGATAGAACACCAATGTCTTCCTCATCCCAACAAGCTTACCCTTTCTTTGAATGGCTCTGTCTTTCCCTGTCGCTTTCCAGTATCCGGTGGCCGTTGCTCTGTTTGTTCTCAGCCCCGTCGCGTATTTCCGATCTCTTTGGCTGTAGAAGTACCAATCTTTCCCTCCCACACATGCCATTTCTGATCATTTGAAACATAATACACCAAAACATTTTCAGTTAAATGCCATTATCTGGTTAATGAATCTCATTTTGAATAATGTTAGAGCCAACTTTTTGTTTCGAAAAAGGCTCCTTGTTGTAAAGCATTTAACTACCAAAAACATAACTCGGTTCGGTTAATATAGGATAAATGGATAACGTTGACATTAAATTACAAGAAAAAAATTATTATATAGCCCATAATCAATAATATCGGCTATTAGTATTTACGAATAACACTAGAGAATATACATCCGTGCGGGATTGAACTAAGCATGTCAACATGTGATTCTTCAACCAAAACATCGAATAGGAATCCAACGCGTGTGCCTGAGTTGGATGAATGGATATTTTTTTTTTCTTTCTTTTAAAGTTAAAATTTAAAAATATGGTTTTTGTTTGAATAAAGAAAAATATCTGTATTCAATAATCATGCAGTTGAAGAGTCAATATCTTGATTTCAAAATAATCAAGGAGGACCCATTAGAGGACGTAAGCGAAGGAGAGGAAGAATACTAATTATGATGAAACAGAGCAAAAAATGATTCTTTTAAAAAACTAAACAAAAATGTCACACTCCATACTCCAAAGGCTATAAACCCAACAAAATCCAGGAATGGACTTATTATCTTATTTTGTTTTATCCAAAGCGTTTTGGTTGAGGACAAGGCCAAGAGTGTCAACTTCTCACATAATTTATGTGTCTCTAGAAATTTCGCAATTATTATTATTGCCTCAACATATGTTTGAAAGAATTATATGTGTATTTTTTCACAGACCATAATACATAACATAATTATAATCAAGAATTTGTACTACATTGTAAAAAAATTGAAGTAAAAGAATTAGGTGACATCATCTAATAATAATGGTTGTTCAACGATATGGGTCCGTGCTTGTATTCAGGCAAAATGGATTAGCTAGGATGAATCTTTTGTTTATAGACCACCATGAACACGATCGAACAACAAATCTCATATAAATGATTAAAGGCAATTCGCTAATACTAACCATATACGTGTACAGTATATATAAGCAACAATAAAAAAAAAAAAAGAACAATTTTGAGAACATGTATGTAAGTAAAAAAGAAGAGAGTAGTAGTAAACGTACTGGGGATGTCCCAGGGCTCGCACTTGTTGAGATCGACTTGGATCAAGAAGAGAGGAGGAGGAGTGTGAAGCAATCGTCTCATAAGGTAATCGCAGACAAGCTCGTCGTCTTTCGGGTGAAATCTGAATCCAGGCGGCAACTTTGCCTCCACCATGCTTATACTACTTTCCTTCTTCTCTTCCTCTGTCTCCATATTTGAATATGATCCCCTCACTAGGTTTTAATATTTGATGAGGATGGTCTTTCTTGATTAATTAAGAGGAAAAGAGAGAGAGAGAGAGAAGAATGATTATTGGTATCATTTGGGTGTGTCCGAGGAGGAAGACCCGTGATTTAAGTAGTAATTTCCCAATTAGCCGTCAGCTTCTATGTATTTTTATTCCCGAATAATTTTCTTATGAACAAACAACTAGTACGCATTATTATTTTAAAACTACAACCAAAATCTCGTTGTAAATTTTAATATGTTGGCAGTTCTATGAAAGACCATTTTTTCATAATTGTAGTTTCATACCCTGTTAAAACATAGTTTAATTTAGAGCAAAAAAAAAGTCACCTCTTTTTTGCCTAGACGATATGAGAGGTCACACACATTTGTTGATATTCTCTTTGATGTATTATATATTTGTTAAACCATAAAGGACCCTAATAAAAACTTGGAGTATAATATGAACTTTGCAAGTGAAAAAGAAAAATGTTTTTGGTCAATTGGTTTAAACCTTTAATCTGTGTCTGTTTACATTAAACAGTGGGATGGCTGCCAAGAAACAGGAGACAACAATTAAAGAATTGCAACAGCGTCCATTTGATTAACTTACTACTAATGGATTTAATTTATTTTGCCGTCTGTGGATGGTTTAATTATTTTAAAATAGTTTTTAGTTGTTTATGAAACACATGTCCCCTCAGTCTTTCTGATTATTTTGTTTGCTTTAGTCATTGTAAGATGGTCTCGCATTGTAATCTCCGTCTTTAAATTTAAATACGTAGCCCAATTATATAATTTGTCCTAGTCATATACACAATTGCGTCTGCTTTTTTGGTGTCAACATAAAATAAAATAAATTAAACACAACTCATTCGTTTTTTTTAAAAAACAACAATGTAATCCGAGTAAAATCAAATGAAATTCATGGGAACAGCTGGATCTGAAAGGGCCCGTGTGGCCCAGAGACGTGGACCATTCATCTCGCCCTGTGCAAAATTAATCTACAACTTAATATTTATAATAGAAACGGTGAATAATTTAATTAATTAACCAATGGTCATCAGTCATCACATGTGTGTAATTAAAAAGCAGGCATTTAAATGTGGACGCGTATAAACAACAAAGCTAGTAATCGTTTTGATAACAAAGAAATTTAGGAAGATATTGATCAGCCGTTACACTAACGATATGGTCACTGAACGTTTGAAGACAAAAATGAGAATAATGAATAATAATGAAGAAGAAGAAGAAGAAGAAGCTGGTGGTCCATAGATAACAATAGAGATATGTGTAAGATTCATTCAATGAAAGCATGGAGAAGGCATTGGGTTCGATGTTGTCGTTTGTGACCTTGGAGAAGTGCAAGTGATGGCCACAACAACAACAATAAAGTTGGACTTTGGTCAAACTTCAGTTCTTTTGATATTTGGATGGAGACAAAAGCTATTTGAGTTCATCTTTAGTTTTCAATGTACTTTCGGAATTATCTCTATTCTATTGGATAGTAGAACCAAAATCCTTGGAGTATTATTATGCATTTTCACTGTGATACAATATTGTATATTTCAGCCCATGCATACGACGAATTATTCTTTTTTTTTTTTTTTTTTTTTTTTAAAAGGTTTTTCTGCTGAGCCGTGAGGGATTGAGGGATGTAAGTTTAAACTATCACGGATCTTATACAACCTAACCTTTTGTAATAGAAAATCAAATGGCGAATTTGTTGTAGTAACAAAAGTATAAAATAAGGCATACCAAAAGGTTAATCGTATTTGATTTCCAACAATAAGAAAACACATCTTATTAATAGGTGAAGCATCAATATTTTTTTTTTTTAAGTGTACATATTTTGTGAGTGGATGATTTTAAAATTGTCATTATCTGATGATGTATATCAGTGTATGGAGCCAATGGTTGAATTTTGAATCAAGACAAATACTCGACCGGTGGGTGGATAATGGATATTAGCTAGATTTTGTGTTAGATCTCAAGTTTCATTCCAAGAGTCACTTCAGATATTTTTGTTGGCATTGAAACTGATATACATTTGGTGATTTTTATCCGCAAAGAAACATGTAACGAGACAAATGTTACCTAATCCTAACGAAATAATCTGAGGTCGACTCCCATTGTTGCTTCTTCTTCGCTGAGGTTTCCAATGACTCTGACGTGCCATATGTCTTTCTATGGTTGGTTCTATTTTCTTAAAATGCACTCATGGTTGGATACAGTTACACAAAGCGTGTACTTATGATCAGACTCAATTATTGGTAACTGACCACAATATGATCAAACTCATATTATTATTAGTTTACTACATTGTGGTCACTTACCAATAATATCTTGTGTCTCTTTAATCATCCTTGAAACCACGCAAGTTATTGGATTAAACGATCGGCTTTGTGTATTCATGAGTGATTCCCAATAAAATCATATGTGAACGCCAATTACATCCCCAATAAAATCATAGGCCAATCATATGTGAACGTCAATTATATCTCAAAATACATTCATATATATACACAAAGCGTGTACTAATGATCAGACTCAATTATTTGTACGTGCCCACAATGTGAGCAATTACACGGAAAAAAATATAAAAGAACTAAACCCATCAGCAACGTATATGACGTAGTTTTTTAAAAAGTGTAATTAAGAAGGAGAATGAATATCAATGATTTCAGGCCCATTACAAAGTTAAACCCGGCCCACTGACAAATGACCGACCCGGTAAATGAAACGAGTGTGCGCGTACGGGTTGTACCTGAAGAGATGAGGTGTATATAATGCTTGTCTCTGTCACTCCCACTCCTCTCCAAACCCTCACAGAATCTCTCGAAAGATTCTTCTTTTCCTTCCCTTCCTTGTTATGGCTTCCGCCTGTGTTAACAACGCCGGTGTTTCGCCGGCGGGATACTCTTCGTACGGTTGGTCGAGCCGAGAAGACAGGCGCTCTGAATCTGAAACTGAAAGCCAAGATCCAGTCGTGGATTTTGAGTTTTGCCTCGAAGATCCGGTCACAATGCTCTCCGCCGACGAGCTCTTCTCCGACGGGAAACTCGTTCCTTTGAAGTTCTCTGGCCCAAAGACGAACCCACAGACGTCGACCACTCCCGAATCGCCGGAGGTGCTTAAATCATGCCGGAGACTAGAGATGGAGATCTCCGACCTCTTCTCCCCGAAAGCTCCTCGTTGCACGACACGGTGGCGAGAGCTTCTAGGCCTCAAGAGGCTTGTCAACGCCAAGGCACATGATTCTGTCAAAGCCACTTCTTCCTCTTCTTCGCCAACCCTCAAAACGTCGTCGTTCAAGCATTTTCTTCACCGTGGATCCAACAAATCCTCCTCCGCCTCGTCGCCGCCGGCTGATGCTTCTCCGTTGCTGAAGGAATCCGATATCTCCGAATCGATCTCGATCGCCTCTTCGCGTCTATCGCTCTCCTCCTCGTCTTCATCTGGCCACGAGATCGATGACCTTCCCAGGCTCTCGCTCGACCTCGACAAACCCAGTCCCAATCCCTTCGCTCCCTCTCGGACCCATTTGCGCAACCCTAACCATCCCAGGACCAGCTTAGCCAAGCCCAGGCGTCCCTCCAATCCTTCCGTGGATGGATCATCGTCCTCGGCCGCCGGCGAATCTCGGGGTGTCACTGTGACCGCCGATAGTCCCAGACTCAACGCCTCCGGTAAAATCGTGTTTCACGGACTGGAAAGAAGCTCGAGCAGTCCCGGAAGCTTCACCGGCGGACCGAGAATGAAGCAGCACCATGGAATGCCGAGATCCTACTCGGCTAATGTCAGAGTCACGCCGGTGCTCAATGTCCCGGTGTCTTCTCTTAAATCTGGCCTCTTCTTCGGCCAGCTTTTTTCTTCGTCGTCCTCGTCTTCGTCAGCATCGTCTTCTTCGTTTTCTTCTCCGTCTCCGGGGAACAAATCGCAGTTACAGAGCAATGGCAAGAACCGGGTCAATCGAACCAGGCTTGAACCGAAATGCGAGCAATAAGAAGTAAACCGGTTCGAGTCAGTAGGTAACCGCTATGGTTTTTTTTTAGGCAGAAGATGGAGTGGGTGGAATCTTTACGTTTTTGTTTTTGCGGGGCTGTCTTGTAAACTGAATTATAATTTGAGGGCAGAATATGTAAATACGGTTTAACTATTTTTTTTCTCGGTTTATCGCATTAATCACACTCTTAACTTCTCTCATAACCTCATCGATCGACTGGTTTGATTTTACTCGGAAATATCAAACAGCAATAAAATAGTAAACGATAAGTTCGATGAATATTAAACAACATATCTGACCAAAAAGGATGATGTGCTTGCCATGTTCGGAGATCGCTTCAAAAGATTTCTGAATGTTTAAAAATATTTATTTGACAGAAAAACCAAAAATTGTTTAATGGAAAGATAAAAGGAAACTGAGTGATTTGTAATTACTGGTTAGGGGAGAAGTTCCTGGTTTAAATTATTAGAGCTTTGAAAAGAAAAACAAAGGGCCCGAGGCTATGATCACCTTTTTGTTTCCCTTTTTCCTAGTAGTGTAATGTGTTTGCATGTCACTGTCTGTGAAGATCTTTATTGCAAACTCTCCTCAGTCTTGGGCATTGTTCGACTTGAATATGTGGTTTATTATATATAGGAAAAAGACAAGCTTTTGATTTTAAAGTAACAAAAACATAAGTGCAATAGTTTAAGGAGAAAACCTAGAAAAGACAGCTTTTAATTTGGTTTAAATAGGAAAAAAAAATGTTTAGATAAGTAGTAATTGAAAGTGCATGTGTAGTTAGTAGAGTAGAGAGGATAGACTGAAATTGGTCGGTGCCGTGGTGGACCGAATCAAGAGGATCACTAATGTCTTTACATATCACTCTCTTTTACCTTTTGCAATGTTCAAAAAGTTGACATCGTAGCTAATCACACTTTTAAAGGATGCTAAGCATTTAGGGTTTTAATTACTCACTGTTGTATAGATTTTCTTTTGTGCAAACAGGATCTACTACTGATTATAAATACTGAACTAGTCCCCTAAGCTCCATTAATTCTAAAATCTAAAACAAGTTAATTGATTGCCTAGACCCAACTAGATGGCAACTCCTTTTTTTTCTTTTCTTTTTTCAACAACCGATTGTAAAACATTGATATGCAGTTGAAACCTCAGTTACATATCATACTCTTATTGAATATGTTGCCTATATTTTGTTCAATATAATACGTCAATCTGAGTGTTTGGAGGTTTCAAGGTGCTGAAGAGGCAATTAACGTATAGATATAAAGTAAATTAAGGAATAGATCTGGGATTATTGTTGATTATATACTGTTAAGGGTCAAAGTGTGAAGAGAGCTGTCATTCGTAGTAGCTAGCTGCAGAGTCAGACTATAAATCAAGTTCGTTCCGTCGAATAATTTATTAGTATTACTTTTTCAAAAATATATAAAACGAACAAAAATTTAAAGCTGCTCGTGATTCTGGAACATCGTTTCTTAAATCCCAGCCGTTGGATTCTTCTTCCTCAATCGGCCACTATATGACGACAAGAATACATGCAAACACATATTATTATGCATTTATATAAACCTTCACATTTATATTCTTATCAATTACTGTAATATTTTCTAAAAATATACTACTATAGAATCGTGAGCATCAAGAGAGTTATCATATCAAATCAAACACAGACAATCACTTCATTTTGTCACACTTTTAAAGTGAGAAGTAGCCGCTAGGTCAGTAATATGATCTATCAATATCTATTTATAAGCGACGCAACACAATTATTTAGCCTATAAATCTATTGCTGGCTTTATATAAACAAACCATCTAATTAATGTACTTTTTTTCCCGGACCTAGCTATCTTCACCTTGTCGTTTGTTTTCGCTATAGCAGATTCTAAAATCCAAATCGAATCGCATTCAAATGGTCAAATACATTGTCCTAGATCATTAAATATATTGCATTTAACCCATCAGTATTACATTATGTGAAATAGACACATTAATAATGAAATAATTTATGAACTGAAAATATTACAAGAAAGGTAGAGAGGGAAATGAATGAGAGAACGTGATAGTTCCCAGTGTTGTTTCATCTCTCTCTCTCTCCCAATTGATTCTCTCACTCTGCCCTTTTTGCATCTGTCTTTCTTTTTCTCCCTCGGTATATTATACTATACATAATGTCACGACAAATGGCTTAAGTAGAAAAGAGCCGACAAAGAAGAAAAAAATTAGTTACAAAGTATCGGTTCCAAAATTATTTTAATGCCATGATACGGCGATTAAAGTAGTATATTTAGACGTGAGCTAATTATAATCAATCATCCCTTTTTGCTTATCATGTTTAGTTTTCGTTTACAGAGAACGACAAGACCTTCTTCCCTTAAATAAAATATACTTATTACCAAAAGTATGGCGCTTATGCTGAGTTTCCTTTTATGTATTAGACTCGACACGTAACAATAATATTTGATCACTTTACCTGACATCATCAACATATATATATAACTCAAAAACTATATTTTCTGATTGTTATTATTTGTAAAGATATATTTTTGAGTGAATGATATATTTGTGCTACGGAACATAGAGACTAGCTGCAGAGAAGAAAGGACAACTTGAGCTGGGTTCTTAGCTGTTTGTAACAAAGAACCAGATGTAACACTGAATAGTAATAATTGAAAGTTACTAATAAAAAGAAGTAAGAAAAAAAAAAAATAAACAAACAAAAGTTTTGAAAAAGTTTGTCTTGTAGGTGAATATACAGTGTATAATAAGTATATGTATATGTTTTGGTATAAACAAGTTGCAATGATAGAGCCAATATTGGAAGTTTATTGACCGATGTGTAAACAAAATCTGCAGGCCATGTCTTGTCCTCTTCCTATCTTCCTCTGTACATCTACGTACTTTCTTGTTCTTGTTCCTCTCTCACTTTTGTCTCTCTCTCTCTCTCTCTCTCTCATTTATTATTCCCCCTCTCTCTCTCTAGCTCGTTTTATAAAAATATGTAAGAAGATATTCAATTTTAATTACGAACAGAAGTCATTACTAACTAGGTTGAAATGATAAAAGTATAGGAGTCCTACGCTTGTGTCCGGTCAGTGATTAGGGCTTCGTTATTTGTTACAAGCCTGATTTCATTTTAAGATGGAGTTTAAATGGAGCAAATAAGCTGGCGTAATTATATCGAAATCTGAAAAACTATTCCATTACAAGAAGAGAGATATCAAGAGTCTGAAAGAAAGCGATCAAAGAGGTGTGTAACGTCACATTGTCCGTTCGTCACGTGATTTTATTATATTCATTCATTGCTACCGAAGAAAGGGAAACATTTGTAATATTTTGGGTTGCTTTTTATTTTTTTTTGGTCTGTTGCATCTTTGGCTTTGCATGGCGTTTTAGGCGTGTACAAAAGCACCATTGTCTTCTTTACCGTTCTGAGATCAAATGGCTTTATGTCCATTTTCGGCTATCTATAAAAGCAAAACAAGGCCCGGATTGAGACACGTACGATCCGGTAATGAGGCTTACGGTTCACTGGCTATATATTATGATTATGAAATTACAATATGGATTCAAAACATTTCAAACAAGGCTAAGAAATAGTAGAGTATAGGCCCAAAATCAAATTACCACTAAACTAAACCGGATCGAATGATTCCAAATCTTAAATTGCAGACCGGGAACCATTGTACCTGCGCTTCAAACGAATATTTTCATGTTCATTTTCAAAGAATACGCGCTTACAGTTCAGTATTATAAATGATCTTCATGAAAAAAGAACTTGGTCTCGAATTGTAGAGTGTAAAAACTGGATCACAAATTCAAGCAAGGCTCATAGAGAGACGACTCGTGTGGCCAACCGGTTTGAAAAGCAGGAAGAATCAAACAAATTCCTCAATCGCAGACCGGAGGGCGCGGTTAGGGATAAGGGTACGATGAGAAAGCTTGAGATTTGTCATGGGCGACGTGTCGTGACCCGTGCTAAGCCATTTCTTAATAGACTCTGCTTCGTATGTAAATCCATCCGCAGCAATGTGTGGATCTTCCATGACCTCCTGCAAAAAAATAGATAATTAGATTGAGTGTTGTGCAAGTTATGTAATTGGAAAGGATATGGTATATTGCCTGTGTAATAGGGCATGAAAACGATGATGGAGGCTGACGCTCTTCCGATTGCTTTGTTGTGAGCTCTTGGACTGTTTTCTGAGCATCGTCCCTCTCTTGTCGCATCAAAGCCGCTGCTTGGCTGAATGATTCGAGCAGTCCTTTGACAATCAACAGCTCTCGTTTTTCTCTCGAAAGAGCATCCTCTGTTTCTTTCCTCAGGCTCGACTCTTGCTCGTATTTGTCCTGCCAAGTTCTGACCTGCGAGGACAGGTTCTCTTGTTCAATTTTGCAAGTTTCAAGCAGTTGCTTCATCTCCTCCAAGGCGTTCATCTCTTTTGCCAGCGCAGTTTCTGATTCTTTCCTGAGAAGCAGCTCGCCCTCGTACTTGCTCTCGAGCTCCTCAGCTCTGGAACACATGTTATCATGTTTAATTTCAAGAGTTTCCAGTCGAAGCTCAGCCTTATCAATCGTTTCCCGCTGTATAGCAAGCGCACATTCAGTCGCTTTCCTCAGAAGCAGCTCCTTTTGGTGGTTTTGCTCCGATTCTTGAGCTTGCAAAAGCAGAAGACCTTGTTCTTCCTTGTAAGACTCAAGTAACCGTTTCATCACCTCTAGCTCTTCGTTCTTTCTAGCAAGCGCTTCTTCTGCTTCCTTCTTAACCCTAGCCTGTTCATCGTATCTCTTCTTCAACTCAGCACCCCGTAAATCAAGCTAGGGTTAATTTACTGGAGAGGGATGGTTATGCATTTGGATTGGGATATTTACCTGAGAATTTTGGAGTAGCTGCTTGAAACTTTCATCACAAAATTGGAAGTCTGCAAGTTTGCCAATGGAGGACAGGAAATAATTCATAGCATCGGTGTTCCTCTCCGGTGGGAAGATCGGATTCATAAGCACCTACACCAACATCACACAGTTAAGTAGAAACTTGAAACCTTAATTTGCTTCTCTTGTTTTTCTTTTGTTCATTACACAATCTTAATGAGAGCTACACAATATGTATAAAGAGAGTGAAACTAACCTGAATGATGCTTTGGCGAGTTGATTCAGTGAGCATCCTATTCTTGAAAATTTCAGCCAAAAGCCGGACGGTCTTGATGAATCTCCAACAGTCTGACTCCTCAACAAACACAAGTGGTGGTCTATCTGTTTCAGGAGACGATCTCTCGAGCTCCATGCGGCACTTGCGAAAGAAGAGCTTCCCAAAAGTGGTAATCTCGCCGTCTGATGGAAAAGAGGGAAGCGCATGAAAAAGCTCGACGCAAAGACGAGCGAATAAGACATATGCATTGTCCACCATTGCCATGTCGAAGATGCAGCACACAAGAGACTGCAGACTTACCATTAGGAAATGAATTAGTTGGACTAGAGATATATATACTGTGTGTATGTGTACAAAAGGTAAAGCAGCGTCAGAGAGAACCTTGATAACGAGAGCGGAGGGAGATCGTCTTATAGTCTGGACAATCTCATCCTTTATCTTCTCAAAGTTCCGTTGCGTCAACCAGTTGAGCAAACTAGATCAAAGCAGAATCCATTCTTGAAATTATAGTTTACCGCAACAAGAAAAGAAACAAAAAACCAAGAGTAGTGCAGAGTTTATTTACCTCCTTGATTTATCCAAAACTCGTTTCTCCTCGTCTCCATGCGAACAACGCTGAGAGTTCATCTTGAAGCGAGAATGGATGAGAAGAAATGAGGAAAGAAAGGGAGAGGTGAGACGAGAGACGTTAAGTCCAGCGAGAATCCATGAATCAATGAATAAGAAAGACGATACTCCTCTTCTTCTTCTTCTTCTTCTTCTTCTTCAACTCTTGACTTGATTCCTTCTGTCCTTTGGTATTCCGCGCTTCTTGAGACCAGCGTTGTTTGAACTTCTTTTGACATCGAAACTCTGCACAGCAATTATGATCAATTTAGTTAGACTTTCATTAAAGTCGGCCCAAAAGAAGAAGGAAGTTGGACAGAACTGGGTCCTTGGGCCCATAAACCAAATATATTTGGAAATCCCAAGCTTTCGCTTTTCTGTTTTCCTTTTCTGTTCGTGGGATATATAAGAGCTTTGCATTGCCGCATTCACTTGAGGTTAAAACAGCATAAAACCATGTTGTGAGTGTGAAAACATCATCAATACCATACTTAAGAAGTGATAATTGCAGAGCCGTGACAACAATTGAATCTAAACCGGAAAATATTGGGAATGGTTAACGTGAGCCGGCTCACCGTAATACAATAATAATATTTTAAAATTCGAGATAATAAAGATAGAGAGAAAAGAGGCAAAGAGAGACTTAGAGAGAAGTGTTTGTCCCCTCTTGACATTATTCGCCGCAGACGATGGCGAGAGCAGCATGTAGCAGCGTCGTCACGGCTCTGTCTTTGCTGCCGTCCAAGACGACTCCTCTCCTGAGAAACCATTTCCTCCTCTCCGGCAAGTCCAAGTTCGTCGGGGTTTTGACCCTCGAGAAACGGTGCTTTTCCTCCAAAGTAAGCATGAGCTTGAAAGCTGGAATCGTCGGTCTTCCCAACGTCGGCAAGTCCACTCTCTTTAACGCCGTCGTAAGAAGTCCACCGACGTTGACACACATTAGTTTTCCTCTTTCTCTCACAGGCATTTCGTCAAACACCTTACGCTCTGTTGGTCCAATTTCTCCAGGTCGAAAATGGAAAGGCTCAAGCTGCTAATTTCCCCTTTTGCACGATTGAGCCGAATGTTGGTATTGTCGCAGTTCCTGATTCGCGTCTTCAAGTGCTCTCAAAGCTCAGCAATTCTCAGAAACTGGTCCCTGCTTCCATTGAGTTCGTCGACATTGCTGGTCTTGTCAAGGGAGCCAGTCAAGGCGAAGTCTGTTTCTTTTCTCCTCCTCTCTTCTCTTCTCTCCTCTCTCTATCTCAATTGAACTCACAAGTTTGATTTTTTTTTGTCCTGTAGGGTTTAGGGAACAAGTTCTTATCTCACATCCGAGAAGTCGATTCCATCCTCCAGGTTTCATTTTTCTCTCATCTTTCGTTCCCCTCAGTGACTGCTCCTCTTCCTGTGGCTATCTGTAAACCATTTTGCGTCTCAGGTGGTGCGCTGTTTTGAGGACAACGACATTATTCATGTCAATGGCAAAGTTGATCCCAAGTCTGACATTGATGTCATCAATCTCGAACTTATTTTCTGCGACTTGGATCAGGTACGTTGACACCCATTCTCTTCCCTTTGTTTCGAGTTTTGTTTTTCTTCTTCTTCACTTTTGATCTCAAACAGAGTTGATAAAGCTGACCTTTTTCTTATAGATTGGTAAAAGAATCGAGAGACTTAAGAAAGGGAAGGCTAAGGACTCGCAATCCAAAGTCAAGGTAAACTACTGAGCTCTCCAACATTTCAAAAAACCGGTCTGCTCGTAACTCACGAGAGTATGTGACACAGGAGGAAGCCGAAAAATCTGCTTTGGAAAGAATCCAGGAGGCCCTTCTGGACGGGAAACCTGCACGGTCAGTTGCATTGACTGACCTCGAGAAGGAAGTCGTAAAACATCTCTGCTTGCTTACGATGAAGCCTATGATCTACGTGGCAAATGTTACTGAAACCGATCTTGCTGAGCCTGAGAAGAATACTTACGTCCAAGAAGTCAAGGGTCTTTCTTCGGATTTGCAGTCTGGACATGTGGTTGTTTCAGCACAGGTCCGGATCATTGTCTATTTACTACATCGATTTCATCCCTGGATTTTACTTGAATAAATCATCCATTCAATGGAATCAGGTTGAGTCTGAGTTAACAGAACTTCCTCTTGAGGAAAGGATAGAATACTTGAACTCGCTAGGTGTCAGCGAAAGTGGCCTTGGGAACCTCATCAGGGCAACATACAGCCTGCTGGGTTTGCAGACGTACTTCACTTCTGGTGAAAAGGTGAAGAACTAACACATACAGACACAAAAGCTTGTTATCAAAACATATATCCCCTAAAATGTTCCTTCTCTGTGGCAGGAAACAAGAGCGTGGACGATACACGCAGGTTAGTTTCCAATCAGAAGGGTTCTCAAAAATGCGTTATATTTCCCTGTGAATATGAAGTAATTTGGTGGAAATATATGTGGATACAGGCATGACTGCGCCACAAGCTGCTGGTGTCATTCACTCCGACTTTGAAAAGGGTTTTATTAGAGCTGAGACTGTAAGCATCTTTGCCTCGTAATGAATCTTTATTCTGAAAATAAGCTCATCATCATGGTCATGAAACTTGGAAATTGAAAGCTTCAACTGTCTTAGTATTAGCTTTTCCTTATGAAGCCGGATTGTTGTATTCAGGTTGCATATGAAGATTTTGTCTCTGCCGGGTCTCTTGCCGCAGCGAGAGAGAAAGGACTTGTGAGTTTCTTCCCGATGTCCATTGATTTGAGCTCGGCTGCGTAGCAAAGTATCTCGTGATTCTCTTGCTTACTCGAAGTATACCTGAAATAAATTTGTTTTGCAGTTGAGATCAGAGGGTAAAGAGTACATTGTTAAAGAAGGAGATGTGATGCTTTTCCGCTTTAACGTCTAACAAAAACCCAAGATCTCTCAGTCACTTTTGTTCACAGAAACATCACAGGTTGGTCTTTCATAGCATCGAGTTTGATTGCTCTTGGTTTTGCAAAATATAGAGATATCTTTGTTTTGTTTTTTTACACTCGAAGAGAGTAATTTGTTGTGAAACAAAAGAAATGAAAAAACCCCTTTGGGATTCTCTTTTGAAGTGACACCAATTATGGTTTACAAAGGATACAAATTCGAGCTTGTTTTTCTTTTAGTTGATTGATAGACAAAACGGGCGGGCAAATAACAAGAAAGTTATTAAACTGATTCAGTGGAATGTAATTACAAATACAAGAAACAATAAGAAATGGCGATTAACTAAACAAAATATACAAATGAAACATCAAAAGACAAAAGAGATGCCAAGACTAGAAGACACAGTCCAAAACGCAGCAGGACAACATTGCAGCCGAACTGCAAAGAGAAAGCAAAACACAATTGTTGAATGATAACCCAAGAAAAAGGAAGATTTATATAAATGGGTGAAAAAGATTTAGATAAAAAAAAAAATATACCATCCACTTAAAAAAAGTGTAAAAACACCGCTGCCTTTGCTCTGCGTCTGAGGAGACTGCTGCACGGTCTGGGGAGAGTCATTCATCACCGCCGGGTAACCCATCGGTGGCGGCGCCGCCACATACGGTGGCTCTGTCAGTGTCTGCTTCGTTTCTGCATATTTATACGAAACAATCCGACAGACAGTCCAACTAATTTATTATGCCAAACTACTAAAACCTTAACATATGTCAACAGCACTTGTATAACAACACTTGACTCACCGTGTTGCTGCTGATGAGCCATTTTGTTTTGTTTATGTATTATATGGAGCTTGGAGAGCTGAGGATGAACATGACTTTTGAAATTATATAATCTCTCTATTTATTCTTTTTTTTTTTTAAATGATAGAGTTGCCTATCCGTTTTCTTCGTAGAAACTTCTGATTTCAGACCGAGCAACGGCCACCGAAACGCGTTTCAGAGTAGAAACGACGACAAATCGCTGATTCTGGTCGTCTCCCAAGTTTTCCAGGACGACGCGTCTGCGCTCGCCAGCATTAATTTTAATGATACCATATTGCTGCCTACTTGAAAGGCCCATAATTAATTGTGTGGGCCTGTATCCAAATTCCGAATGATAAGAAAAAATATCGAGAGGGCACGCAATCTTAACTAATATAAACGCACTAAATGCATTGCTAATTATATAATGCTTGCACATCAACAATGAAATGAATCGGATGAACAACAACAAAGAAAAACAAGTCATACGTTCTATCCGCCGGCTGGTACACACAATCAATCTTGACACAAAAACGATTCATTGTATCAGGAAATTCAGACCATAAACACCAGACAATCTCATATTCTTTGGCCATATAACTATCACAAACCTAACGTTTTGGCATGAAAACAAAAATTCTCGTGCTGGCATTATAAAGCCTATACGAATGAATAAAGTGAGCAAACAAAAATAAAGAGGAGAATATTTGCGAAAACCAACATTAGAGTAATAGTTCTCAACTAAAAGTAGACCACATTAAAAAGGGGATGGCGAGAGATAAAGTCATCAATCACGCCACCATACCAAAATAGTAAACCGAAAAACAAAGACAAAAATACGGTAGAGATAGAGAGAGAGCAAACAGCAAAAGGTATTGTCCAGAGTAGAGAGAGAGTGAGAGAGATAAGAGAGAGACAAGAGGTGGTTGCTGCTGCTTAGAGCTTGTCTTCGAAATCAGACAAGGGAGTCATCTGTTCCTTCATACCCTTCCTCTTCCTGATTTCAGCCACCAGCGTTGAAGCCTGCGATCCCGCCTCCAGAGGGTCAGACGACATCATCTCCCAATGATCAAACACGCACTGTGGGAACGCCTGTCCTGAGGTTGCTGCCCTTAGCTGACTCGAGAATCCAAACGACTCCACCACCGGCAAGTACGCCTTGATGTTGTACAGCGGTGTTCCTGGCCTCTGCATCTCCTCGAAAACGTGTCCACGCTTCTGATTCAGCACGCTGTAGATTCCTCCAAGGGCTCCTTCTGGTGCTTGGATCTCCACCATGTACACGGGCTCCAACAGTCTGGGCTTGGCTGTGAGCTGGGAGGCGTAGATAACCCTCCTCGCCGTTGGGATAACCTGACCACCTCCTCTGTGAATAGCATCAGAATGGAGCACCACATCGCATACCTCAAAGCAGATTCCTCTCATGTTCTCATCACAAAGAGGACCTTCCTTGGACGCCCACTGGAACCCAGCAACAACTGAATCCTTTATCTCATTCAGGTACTGGACTCCCTTACACATGTCGACGACCATGTTAGGTCCCGTGGTTTCAGGTCCAAACGCCCAGATCTTCTTCGCCAGATCCTTGTCCCATCCGAACTCCTCGGCCAAAATCTTGGATCGGATCTTGGGGTCATCTCTTGGACCGATACGGCCATCATCAATTGCCTCCGCTAGACCTTCCTCCAAGGGCCTCGCCTCCATGTAGAGACGGTTATGCTTGTTGGGGGATTTGCTCATCACTGTGCGGACAGACCTCTCCAGGACAGTCTCACGGAATGAGACAACAGGGTCTGACTTGATGATCTCAGCACCACCCATGAAATCATCCTGAAGATCCTTCAGACAAATCTCAAGATGGAGTTCTCCAGCACCAGCAACGATGTGCTCACCCGACTCTTCCATTGTGCACACAACCATAGGGTCCGACTTGGCGAGCCTCTTGAGTCCCTCAACGAGCTTGGGAAGGTCAGATGCGACCTTGCACTGAACAGCAACACGGACAACAGGGGAAACTGAAAACTTCATTGCCCGAATAGGGTGAGCATCGACTTCTTTCTCGTTGGTCAGGGTCGCGTTCTTGGTGATGTACTGATCAAGCCCAACCATAGCGACGGTGTTACCACAGGGAACATCCTCAACAGTCTCTTGCCTCTTACCCATCCAAATGACGGTTCTCTGAACACTCTTGGTGTACAGATCTTTCTTCTCGCCGGGCACAAAGTTGGGACCCATGATCCTGACCTTCATTCCAGTGGAAACCTTGCCGGAAAAGACACGGCCAAAAGCAAAGAATCTACCCTTGTCTGAGGCGGGAATCATCTTAGAAACGTAGAGCATGAGAGGACCGTTGGGATCACAGTTCCTGATGGCTGTGGCATACTGATCATCGAGGGGACCTTCATACAAGTTCTCAACACGGTACCTCTGGGCAGTGTGAGGAGACGGAAGGTGAAAGATCATCATTTCAAGTAGTGCAGTACTTGCGGGGAGCCATGTCTGCATGACACGCTTCATCAGAGGCTTACCCATAAGCTCCTTCTCGTCAGACTTCATCGAGACACCAAGCTTCGCCAACATAGGCCACAACTTGTCCTTCTGGTCATTCATGCAAGTGGCAATGATTTGCTTGATGGGTTCGTAACAGAACTGGACAAACCCACGCTTGCAGGTCGCGGAACCAGTGTTTTTGCTGCTCCATTTCCTGGTGGCAGGGTCGAAGAAGTTCTCACCCCACAGCCTCTCCATCATCTTGGTCTCGTCAACACCAAACTTGGAAGCGTACATCTTAGCGAAGTTCGTCAGAGTGAAAGCCCATCCGTGAAGACCAGCGGAGAAGGCAACGGTTCCCTTCTCTGGGTAGACCTGAACATCACCAAGGAGAGGATCCTCATAGGTTGCCATGATAACATTAGCATTCTCGATGACTCTCTGGAAAGTCTGGTAAGCCTCCTCACCATCGACCTGAAGCTCGAGGAAACACCTGTCCATCTTGTTAACAGTCAGGACAGGCCTAATCCTTTCACCAAGAGCCTGACGGAGCACGGTCTCAGTCTGCACACAGACACCCTCGATACAGTCGACCACCACAAGAGCACCATCGGTAATACGGAGAGCAGCAGTGACCTCAGATGAAAAGTCAACGTGCCCAGGGGAGTCGATGAGATTGATAAGGTACTCGTTTCCATCTCTTGCCCCAGTGAAGCTCTTCAACGAAGCATCAGTCATCTCGTAGTAGAGAGAAATACCGGTGGACTTAATGGTGATACCACGCTCTGCCTCATCAGCACGAGTATCAGTCATACGAACATCACCAGCAACTTCTTGGGCAATGATACCAGCAGCAGCAACCAGGGAATCAGTGAGGGTGGATTTCCCTGTCGATAAAGAAATAAATAAACGTTACTTCATGTTTTGATTTAACGTATGAAAGCAAAGAGAACAACTCAATAACTCTGGCAAATAATAAAAGTGAGCTCGTTTGAACATATGATTTCTTTTTAAAACTGATGAGAATAATAATAATAAAAGAGAGCTAAAGTTGGTACCATGGTCGACGTGAGCAATAACAGACATATTACGGATGTTGTGTTTGTAGTCCATAATCCTACGAAGCTCATCGGATGTGAACTTCACCTGAAAGTGGATAAAGATGTATAAAGATTAGATTCCAGTCAAAAAGAAGCCATATCAACGTAAAACATAGAGATATAAGAAGGCTTACCATTTTTGCTAGCTTTTGATTTTCTTGTCACCTACAAATTCTCTGCAATCACAGACACAAGCAAGTGAATAAAACAATTAGAACGTACTAATATCAAAAAGGTTATAACTAGAAACTTCAGCTTTCCTAAAGAGTGAACCTGAAAGATATATTGATGATTTCTTATTTAAAAGTTCTATCAAGATATTACTGGCAGTTCAACGGAAAATATCAAAAATATTTCTTCTAAACGGTATCGAAATTCGTTTATTGCAAAATGAATATATACAGAGACGGACAAGGAGAAATTTCCAAAGATACAACCAGGAAAGAAAAAGTCAAGCGATTCACATTTATGTAATAGTCAAAAACGAAGAGCTCATGATAACGAAATAACAGATGATTTTATCAGAAAGATTTCGATCTTATCGTAGTTTCATTTTTAAAAGATCTCTAAGATCAGATCTAGAAAGTAGTATATAACAGACCTAGTACAAGAAGCAATCAGTAGTCCACAATCAAAAGCGATGTAAGCATAGATCAACAACAAAACTCAATGGTATTGCTAAGCTAAACATCAAAAAGACGAAGCTAAAGCTACGCAAATCGAATAGAAATCAACAATCGGAGAAAAAGTCATGGAACATCGAAACAGAGCCGAGAACAAATCGAAGAAGCGGACTAACCTTAAAGAGGGAAGAGAAGAGCGAGAGAAAAGTGGTGCAAGGAGGCGTTAGAGCAGCCGGATACTAAATATATAGTCGCGAACGAGATGCCAAGAGTATATGCTTTTCCTCATTTAGGGTTTTCGCTGTATTTTCGTGGGCCTGAGAGGCTGCGGCTTAGCCTCGGCCCAATATTTGTAATTTTGTTTATTCGTCCGTTGACTTTTTATTACATGCAAAAACCAATCGTCACAAGCCCGCCCATTCTTGTGGGAGCCTAGTTTTTATCGCTTCAATTTAGTTAAACGATTTATGAAAGTTTTGGAACTCTTTTCACTCAAAATATCCTCCATAGTCATTGCTTTTGTGTATTGTTTTTAAGCTGCTCAAATTTCGTCTAAATATGAAAGAAACCTTTGTATTTCATCTAACCGCCTTATGTTGATTTGTTCAACTAAAGCGTCGATAATACATATCTAGATCTTCGTTTGCACTATGCGAAAACAAAAAAAAATCTGTGAAGCTTTTTCATAGAGAAATCAGTCATTAGAATCTACATGTGTAATGTGTAGGTAAATCACATTTCTTGGAAGAAACGTAATGATTGTCTCTGATTCAACAAAACTGTAACTCCTTTTGCTATTGAAGCCGATCATAGATTCACCTAAACAGAGAATTCTGAAATTTGTACTGTTTTCAACCGATACTTCATAGTCACAAGTGACAAGAGAATCAAAAGAGAGACCTTTGTTGCAGAAAAGATTTCGAGAAGATGAGAATATCCTCAGCTGAATACATTTGGTAAAATTTGTTTTTTTTCCTTAACAAAAAAGAGATAGAATATAAACTCTTGGCGAAGAAGGAACTGAGCATCATGATAAAGAAAGAAATCACTTATACAATCAAAATTCTCTTATTGATCAACAAGATTCATGAAACCGAAAAGAAAAAAGCGATCCTATTCAACGCCCGCTTGAGAGAAGTCCTTTAAACGATATGTAGAGATCATTGTTGTCCGCCCCGAATATCTCCTCCGCTTTCCCTAACGTTTCCTACAGAATGATGCTTCCTTTTTTAGGGATTCAGATACAGGAAACAGTAAGTATATACAAAATGGTCACTATTACCTCCCGGCTCTGCTTCCTAGCGTTTAGTTCCTTGATGTTAGCCAGAAACGCGCTGAACTGTTGGTAAGACAAACGGCTCCTGCAAAATAGAATGGGAATGACATCTTTACTAGGCTCTAGGGGTTTCAGAGTCTATTGAATATATACATACCTGGCTTGTCTAAAGAACTCTTTCCCATCGATCCGCGGATGGCGAGCTGTACAAGAGAGAAGGTGAGTTTGGGGGTTTGAGAGACATATTAAAAAAAAGGGGTTAGAAATGCTCGTGAAACCTGAAGCAGAATGTGGGCGAGGAGGAGAGTTTGCTACAGAAGACTGCTGGCTTGATGAAGACCACAGGCGTATATCATAATGTGAAGTTGTTGGAGAAGCGGCGCCGGAGAAGAGCTTTGGCGAGGAAGTAGCAGAGTAGCTTCTCGGAGACCCACCAGTGCTGGATAACATCTTTGGTGGAGTCAAAGACACTCTTTGCCTTGCTTCACTCAAACCTGCTTGTTGATCAAACACATCACAATATATTCTTGCTTGATTGGCTATTTTGCTGTGTACATCCATCTTACCTTGGTTGTTGGAGAGAGAATCGTGTGTGGAAGAGCCATTTGAATCCTCAACTACAGAGCAAATAACATCATTGAGCTTGTAGTCATCCGCAAAGAAAATGCCAATTCCAAGGGCGTATACAGGGAAAACAAAGACAAGTGAATGTTATAATACCTCTGTCTCGAGGAACCTGTCTGTTGTCGGTTTGCTGTAAGAAAACAAATAACATGAGATTTTGGTTTCATAAAAAAAGAATTGCATGTGAAGTATGAAGGAGGAGGGGTGATGTTGAGCATACAGATGGACTCTCATCATTCAAAGACTGCATCAGTTGTCTCTTGAATGCTTCCAGCTGCAAAATACAGATGGACTCTCATCATTCTAGGAGGACGAGTTTCTTCTCAATTCTAGTCCCAAATTATGTATGTACAAGAAAAGAAGCACCTTTGCAAAATCACGACCGAGTTTCTTGGCAGCGATCGCCAGTGAATCTCGCTCTTGAGTTAGTTTCATCTTCACATCCAAAGATGAACCAATTTGAGTTATGACTACTTAAACACAAGAGACAAACACACAGTTTCTGTTCAATCGCTTACATTATCTTCGAGGACATTCTTCAAATTGGAGTCAGCCTCGTGGTAGAGTCTTTCCAAGGAAGATGCTCTGCCCTCCAGCTCGCAGACAAGCCCATCTTTCTCGGCAAGCTTCCGTGTGAGAAGGGAGACTTGGGACTCCAGATTCGAGACCCTTGACGCGATCGCCATGGAAGTGATCTTCCTCGCCAGATCGAGTTGATCGTATGGGTCCGTCGGGATCACTGCCAGAATCTCGTCGGAGAGGCTGAAGTCTGGCCCGCCGCTTTCGGACATAGCTGTTCGCTCGGGATCTGCCCAAAATGCTACGTGGCCGATTTTTATTGGAAGCCCTTGCACTTTTAATTGGTCTTGTAATTTGTTTTGTCGGCTTCTTGCTATAAGAAAGAGAGAGAGAGAACCATATTTTTATATATTGACTATGAAACCCCTCAACTATTTTTTTCTTATCCAAAAACTCCCAACTTCTGTTATATCACCATTAAAACCCTCCGCTAGAAAAAAAAAAACGTAACAGAGTCCGTCGTTCAAAATCGTCGTCACTCTTTTCAAAACCTAAACAAAATCTGGAAATCTCCTCTCCACCAAATCCCTAGTCGAGGATTCTGAAAGAGACAAAGAGAAGACAGACGCGCTTCGGATCGACCTGCTTGTACGCCGTTTGGTGTTCCTTCTTCCTCGCTCTCTCTCAAAATCGCACAGGTAAGATTCTTCTATTTCGTTGTTAGATCTTCGCCTTCGAGCTGTCGTTTTGGTTGGGTTTTAATGTGAGTGGGGTTAAAATTTGTCGCTGGCTTCTTTTGCTTGTACCACCATATCTAAAGCGTAATACTTGCTTCGGTTTCAGTTTGTGCAGGGAGGAAACATGTCAGTTCTTATCGTTACGAGTCTTGGAGACATTGTGATTGATTTGCATTCCAAGAAATGCCCTTTGACATGCAAGAACTTCCTCAAGCTCTGCAAGTAAGTCTCCCTTTGCCTATCTAGCTAAAAGAAATTTCTGTGTTTATCTAAACATGTTTCAACTCTTGTTTTTTTTGGGTTAGGATCAAGTACTACAATGGGTGCCTCTTCCACACCGTGCAGAAGGATTTCACAGCACAAACGGGTGATCCAACTGGCACAGGAGTTGGCGGAGATTCAATCTACAAGTAAGATATTTTGTTTTCTTACTTTTTGAGTTTTTGATTTTGATCATCCTTTACTTTCATATGTTTGTGAACTATATCCTAACCCATCTGTTATGTTGAATTTCCAGATTTCTGTATGGTGAGCAGGCTCGGTTTTTTGGAGATGAGATTCATCTCGACTTAAAACATTCCAAGACTGGCACTGTTGCAATGGCCAGTGGTGGAGAAAATCTCAACGCTTCCCAGGTAAGCCCAACCATTTCACTTGAATTTCCAAGTTTATGAATAACTATCAGTGTCTTGTGGTGTGCTATGTCCTTATATGACATGTCTGTTTTCTTTTCAGTTCTATTTCACACTTCGTGATGAGCTCGACTATCTTGATGGGAAACACACGGTAAGTGGTCAAACTGATTCCTAATCTGCTTATGCTCTCTTTTGAATGTACCGGTTATTTACGATATTCCTATTTTTTCAGGTGTTTGGGGAGATTGCAGAGGGGTTTGACACTTTGACAAGGATAAATGAAGCTTATGTTGATGCAAAAAACAGACCATATAAGAACATTAGAATCAAACACACATATATACTTGAAGATCCGTTTGACGATCCCCCACAACTGGCTGAGATGATACCAGATGCATCCCCCGAAGGAAAACCCAAGGAAGAGGTCAAAGATGACGTGCGACTTGAAGATGATTGGGTTCCTATGGATGAAGAACTTGGTATTCAACAACTGGAGGAGGTTATCCGTGAAAAAGCTGCTCATTCTAGTGCTGTTGTGCTTGAAAGTGTAAGTGTTCTGGACACAGTTGTCTTGTACATGTATTGATGTTCAATAAATGAGCTTGTATTTGCTGTTGCAGATAGGAGATATCCCAGAGGCCGAGGTAAAGCCTCCTGACAATGTGTTGTTCGTCTGCAAACTGAATCCTGTGACTGAGGTAGGTCCTTGATATTTCGAATTAAAAGCAAAGGCTTCTTGTGTTTGTGACAATTTTCTCTTGTTTTTTCTCTTGTCTCATGCAGGACGAGGATCTGCATACCATATTTTCACGCTTTGGAACTGTCGTGTCGTGAGTGATATTTCCTTTATCCTTTATTCGTTTGAATTGCTCTGCAGTTGTAATTTATATTCATGTCTGAATATGGCAGGGCTGATGTAATCCGGGACTTCAAAACGGGTGACAGTTTGTGCTACGCTTTTATAGGTGAGTAGTGCTACTGATGGGGAAATCTTGATTTTTTGTCCTGTAGAGAAGAAATGTGTGTTTACTGAGAGTTTTGTCTTTGTTGTTGTAGAGTTTGAGGACAAGGAGGCATGCGAGCAAGCCTACTTTAAGGTAAAATGTCAAGAGTAGCGTAGAGATGATGGGAAATGAACGATTTGGAGGTCTTAACAACGTTGTTGGTTTACAGATGGACAATGCGCTGATTGATGATAGAAGAATACATGTGGATTTCAGTCAGAGTGTATCCAAACTTTGGTCACAGTTCCGGCAGAAAGACTCACAAAAGGGTAAAGGTAAATCCTATTTCTTTGACTTCCCCTCCTTAGTGTGTAGTGATGGATCCCATAGACAAAAGACGAAGATGGAACGCTGATATAAACTAATGGGTAACAGGGAATGGATGTTTCAAATGTGGGTCGACGGATCATATAGCCAAGGACTGTGTGGGTGGAAATCAGGCTTCAAAGTTCATTGTAAAAGATCAAAACAGGCAGCACGGGGGAGGTGAAGGCTATGATATGGTGTTTGAGGGTGATGTAGCTGAACCCAAGAGGGAGAAGAGAGAGCCTAGTCATGAGAAGGAGAAGGAGAAGATTCGTAGGAGAAGTCCTCATGGGTATGGTGAAGGCAAAAGACAAGACAGAGATTATCGCCGGGAAGAGCCAAGAGAAAGGGACAGGGAGAGGGAGAGGGAGAGGAGGTATGATGATGGTGTGAGTAGGGAGAAGAAACACAGAGAGGTAAACGAAAGAGAGAGTAGGGAGGATGAAGAGAGGAGAAGAAGAAGACGCCGGGAAGAGACGAGAGATAGGGAGAGGCGTGTTGAGAGTCGAAGAGATCACTGGAGTGATAAGGAAAGGAGAAGAGATAGGTGAAAGCATTATGGTCATGTCATTTGTGATCTTACCTCTATGCACGTTCATCTTCTTTAATTACAGACGTTGGGAGGTCTGCGACTGTGCGGATCGAATCTAGTTTTGGTAATGTTGAAGAACACTAAGAAGAAAACTTTTGCAGAGACATATGTACCAAGTTTTCTTTTTTGCTTCTCCCAACTCTATTCAGTCTTTAGTTGTAACAATCAACAGCAATTGTAATGTTTTTAAAAATTGAAATTTACACCATTCGTCTCTCTCTCTCCGCAAGTAGAATATTTCTCCGATTACAGAAGTTTGAAATCTCCAGCTATGTCTCTCTTTTCTTAAACGGTTTACTAGAAAATCAACTTCCGTTCAGAGTAAAGAGTGTTGTCGCTCTCAACAACAACAACTCTCTCTCTCGGCCTCGTCGTCGTCGTCAAATGTCAAACAACATCGTGGTGCTTGATAACGGCGGTGGTCTAATCAAAGCCGGCCAAGGCGGCGAGCGTGATCCCGTCGCCGTTATCCCAAACTGCCTCCTCAGACCTCTCTCCTCCAAGAAATTCATCTTCCCTCTCCCTCTCTCCGACCTCGACATCGACCTCACCTCCGCCGCCGTCCGCCGCCCCATCGACCGCGGCTACCTCATCAACCCTGAACTCCAGCGCGACATCTGGTCACACCTCTTCACCTCTCTCCTCCGCATCAACCCTACCTCCTCCTCTCTCCTCCTCACCGAGCCGCCACTCTCTATCCCTTCCGTTCAGCGCGCCACCGACGAGCTCGTCTTTGAGGATTTCGGCTTCTCCTCTCTCTACCTCGCTAACCCTCAATCCCTCGTCCATCTCTACGAAGCTAGTCGCCAGCCCGACTCCGTCCTCTCACGGACTCAGTGTAGCCTCGTCGTCGACTGTGGCTTCTCCTTCACTCACGCCGTCCCCGTCCTCCACAACTTCACGCTCAACTACGCCATCAAGAGGATTGATTTGGGAGGTAAAGCCTTCACCAATTACTTGAAGGAGCTCGTCTCTTACCGATCCATAAATGTCATGGACCAATCTTTCTTAATGGACGATGCGAAAGAGAAGCTCTGCTTCGTCTCACTTGACCTTCACCGTGATCTCCACCTTGCTCGGGAGCGCCGAAATGGAAACCGGATAAAGTCCACATATGTTCTTCCCGATGGCGTCACACATACCAAAGGCTATGTCAAAGATCCTGAAGCTGCACAGAGGTACCTTAGTTTAGGGACTAATGCCTCAGATGAAGGAAGTAACAATGTCGTGGATAAGGCTGAGGGGGAGAGGAAGAAGGCCGACATGAACAAAAACGTAGATAAAGCCATTCTCTTCTTTGTCAGTGTTTCTATGGTGGTGGTCGAGTTTTTTTTTTCAATGTTTTTAAAAGCTTTCTTCTTCTGCAGGAGATTGACATGACAAATGAGCGCTTTCTTGTGCCTGAGACGTTATTCCAGCCTGCAGATCTAGGTTTGTATAGTATCAACATGAATGTCGTATTATAATAGATGCTCTAGAGGTTTTTCGGGAAAGATGATTGCTACTTTTGGACAGGGATGAATCAGGCGGGACTTGCAGAGTGCATTGTCCGAGCTGTAAGCTCATGCCATTCTTACTTGCAACCGGTTCTGTACCAAAGGTGGCTCCAACGGTTTACGTTTTCGGATTGAGAGTTGCCCACTGAATGAGTCTAATGTTTGATGCTTTGTGGCAGCATCATCTTAACTGGTGGAAGCACGTTATTTCCGCAACTTAAGGAGAGACTGTAAGTCTAAGTTTATACCATGAATCAGTGTTGAGTAATTACTAACTACTAGAGAGAAGTTGATATGTTTGTGATAATGCAGAGAAAGAGAGCTTCGACCACTTGTTCCAGACCACTTTGATGTGAAGATAACAACTCAGGAGGAGTAAACAAACTCAATCCTTTCTTATCAACTCTCTCTCTAGAGCTCTCTAATTTTGTTTCTCAAACTCTTTTTTGTTTTTGCTTGCAGCCCAATACTAGGTGTATGGAGAGGGGGTTCACTTTTGGCTTCGAGCCCGGATTTTGAGTCCATTTGTGTCACCAAGGCTGAGTACGAGGAACTTGGATCAGTTCGTTGTCGGAGAAGATTTTTTCATTGAAAATATATTCCTTCCGATTGAGTTGGTTGTCCAATCATTTTGTATTGTGTAATGAACCAAACAGCCAGGGACATTTTCTTTTGTCTCGTCTTAAATCAATTTTACACAAAACAGCTATGAACAAGTGATTTCTTAGAGTACAACAGACAAACGTAGTAATGAATACCAAAACCTGTTTTGTTATTGTTCTTCAAAGATCACTCTTGTAGTTTCTGATCAGTCGGTGTAGGGGTGTGAGTCCATGCACAAATGCACCAACTTTCTCTGGTACTGTTGGAAGTATTCGCAAACTGCTGATACTTCATCCTTCCCTGGTTCTAGACCTGGCAGATCGGTCATTACTGTGGCTTCTCCAGAATCCAATTCAGACTCTCCCTCTTGGGTTGACACTTCATTTACAATTTCCGAATGAATCTCCTGACAGGCTAGCACAAACATGGCTACTGTGTCGGGCTGTTGCACCTCCCTGAGAGCTGCAAGCGCCTCTTGCATGGAACCAGCAGCCACATATAATATCAGTGCCCTGCATCATATTGGGATTTTCTTAGACGTCACTTTTCTTTTAGATTAAACAGTATTAAGAAGGTGAGTATGATACAGTACCTCCAGACGTTGTGCTCCGCGTGGAGAACATGATCAGCCCACCTCTGCAATACCCTGAGTAGAGAGAGAGAAAGAGATAGTAGTTTAATCAAGGGGACGAGACTACAACAATTACTACCCAATTCCCGGAAACCAAAATTAAGGTTCACAGTAAAAGAAAAGACCTGGCATAATCCGATCCTTCTAAATGTGTGGCAGCCAAGGTAGCAGCATCCGTCCATCGTCCAGAATCTTGCAGCTGCGTATTACAAAAGGCCTTAAGTATTTAGCGTCTAAAACTTTGCTTACAATTAAACCCAAGCAACAAACGTTCCCTAATAATTGATAAGATGATAATCCTAGTGGAAGCAGAGCATAGTTCAGAGGAATATTACACTATTGTTTAACAAAGGAAACAAGGAAGCTAACCTGTGAACAAGCTTCTTGGTGTCTTCCAACCGCGCATAGAAGATGAGTACCAGAGAGCGAATTGTCCGTCCTTACCATGTTGGCTGCAACGACCTAAGCACGTTTGCAACAAAGGTGATTTACGGATATTCTTTTCTTTTTTTTAAAGGACACAAAAGACTATCAAATATAATAAGACAGATACCTTTAGTGCAAGGTCGAGAAGAGATTTAGACACAGCTGAAGAGAGTGCAACAGCTCGGAGAGCATTTGGATAGAAGTATGGAGAATCTGGAGCAGAAGAAAGCAGCAAACTAACAGCAGCTTCCAAATTCCCAACTGATATCAGCCTGATCATAAAGCTTACTAAGTAAATTCACTTGTCACCGCAAGATCTAAAGCGTGGAAACTCAGATTCGAAACCTAAAATCTTTAAGCTTTGATTTTATAAGTTTTTGGTCAAGTTTCCAAGCAAGACTTTTATGACTATAATTAAAGAAGTTAATTGAAGTTAATTAATGTTCAAATTCAGCCTAAAGCAATACTATTCCAGGTTATATATATTGCACAAACATCGTGACACCTAATTATTTTTGAACTTACAAAGTGCTCTGTTTCTCTAAATCTCGGATACCAGTTGTTAATAGTCTATGATAGCTAATATAATCATGCATGGTGTATCTAGACATATGATATCTAGTCTTCTTTCTATCTTTGAGCACACAAGTGCATTAATATCAAAGAATATGTTTTGCAATTGAAAAATTGCATATTCGGCACCGATACGAGATCAACCCAATTTCTCTCAGCTTAAAATTCTAAACTCTGCATCTGCGCTAGAAAGAGACTTCTAATATATACAGTTTCCATTTCACACAGGAGCTACTATGAAAAGCAAACCAGAAATACAGGTAATAAAATGTAAAGATAAACAATAAAGAGAGCTAAAGGTGAAAACTAACTCATGTACTTGTTTCTGAATGCAATCTTCCCCCTCCAATTTTTCATGCCAAGGAAGACGTTCATTGGCACGTGCCCATAGTTCTTCTCGCTCAAAAGCCATTAGTCTACGTGCACCATTACACTGTTCATGCAAATGTGTAATGTAAGCTCACCAACAAACACTGTGCAAATGAAAATATAATGATCTAAGCAAAGGAACTTCCAATTCCAAAATCAAAAATCTTGAGTCTTGACTAAGAATCCTTGTAGAAGGGAATGGCTAGAATGCATGACCTCTTGGGGTTTGAACGACAAAAAACATTTTATTTTGAAACTGACCGTAGAATCTATATTCCTGGCTTCAGATGCCGATATACCACTAGTTGATATTTTACTCAGCATAGATGCTTCATCAATTCCTGAGGCCACAGCAGGGGAAGGGGTTTTCAGCGGAGACCTTCTCATCAGCTTATTCATCAGATGGCGAATGGCTCGAGGCAGTTGCAACCAGAAAAAAGCTTCTGAGGTTTCACCAAAAACTGCAGCCGCAAAAGCAAATCTTGCAGCACAACCTCTCTTGACCACATCAGCATACAGTTTTGCTCTTTCATCATCAAGCAGGCAACCTAAGGATGAATGAAACTTAGAGCAGGTAAGAAATTAGAATTCTTAAGCACATATCTTGATAGAGAGGTAAGTCTGAGGTGATACTCTACTAAACAAATGAAAACAACCTTCTTTCCGATATGGTTCTAGTATTTTCAGCAGCATCTCTGGCACTACAGGGTCTCCTAAAGGAGGTAACTGAATCATGTAACTCCGAAGATCCTTAGAGGATGAAGCCATTCCACGGATCAAATGAGGCCTTTTCTCCAAAGTGGTGCTACTAGTATTAAACCAAGATGGTTTCACTCCCAACTGTAAAATCATCCGCAGTGCCTACATATATAATAATCAGAGACATTGTCAAGAGTAACCATAATGTAAATTGGAATCTCAATTTTCAGATGCTGTCCTGGACTAAGGTTATAGACAATAGTGTCTTCTGTATTACATGATCCCAGTAGTAAACCAAGACTGAGTACCGCAAAGACTTCAGAGTCAAGAAGTATTCTAAGTAAAGAAAGTTACCAGCGCGTGTGGTACAGGAAGTAGGATAGGGGAGTACATAGGCATAGGACGGAATCTCTCCTTTACAGATTTAGTCTGGGGCGCAAAGCCAGCCTTCTTTTCATTTCTGCAAAAACCAGAAGAAAAAAATTGGAAATATAAGATAGCAGAAGTGACTGTAGCCATCTAATCTTGGATCAATAATAATGGAAGATAAAAACAAAATACTATTGTATATGCCTAACTAATACATGCCTAGCTAACCTGGGGACAAGGGTGGTCTAATTGTCAACCCCGGTACACCATCCAACCTACACGACCATGTGCCAGGGTTTAAATACATTTCTACAGACGTTTAGGGTGCGCAGTCAACTGGTGAACAATATAGAAAAACCTAGACATGCCTATTGTATACAGTTTTAGTTATATAGGAGAAACAACAGATAAAATGACCTAAAACTTTATGTGAACAAGACTAACATTCTGATAAGAAACTAATCATAATCTGAAAGCATTCGTGGGACGCTGAATACGAATATATTTTTACGATGAGCTGGTGTACACATACACAATAACCTCAACGAGCCGGAAGGTGCTATCAGCTCCAGCAATGCATAGAACAAGTGGATCATTTTTATCAGTTCTCAGAGGCAACCAATCAAGTTCTAGTACAAGGGTGCCAGGAATCTGCGGCTGCAGAAGCGACTGGGCTACCGGATCTGGTGAATCCTGCAGCAAAATTCAGTAGCAACTGTCATAAACATATATTTTAGGTTGACAGAGATAGATGTCAAACAACAAGGATCACTAAATTCAGTATTGTCCTTGTTTTCTTTTCACATTGCAGAATATTAGTACACCTTTGAAAACACAAGAAACGTGCACAACTTATAGGATATACTGAATTCTCTTTAAGACTCACAAGATCAAATACAGAGAATGTATTGTCATTAAATAGCACAGCTACACGCCCTCGGCTACGATCGCCAGCAACAACAGGTGAGAACTTGATTCTACGTATTCCATCTCTATGACTATTAAATGCAGATGACTGTCCAGTTGTTACATCCCACCATCTTATGTTTCCTGATCTATCTCCCATAACCTGAAAGAAGAGAGAAATATATGATCTCACATGGGAAAATAAAAGAGACAACTGGAAGGTGAAAAGAGACGAACCACGTGAGGTAAGCGATATGCCATGGCTGTAACCAATCCATCTGAAGGAACAAATGAAGTAGATGGCCATTTTGGTCTAGAAATAGAGGCGGATCATCTATAAGTCAGTCAATATAATAAGAAGATTACACAACAATCAAGGTTTAAGAAGGCGATTGCTAATTCATGTGAACCCAGCTAAAAAAAAATATCAAGCAGTGAATTGTCTGCACTTCTCTGAAATTGGACAACGGGGTTACGATCATCATTCTCACAAAATTTCTTGATTTGAAAGAATTTAATGACAGGAGGCAATAGAAACAAATCCTAGAACATGAATGAAATAAACAGGTAAGCAATAATGTGCAATCAGTATTTCGAATTTTCTTCTCTGACGAGGAGAGAAATTCAGCAGCCCTAAAATATAATTTGCATTGTGACCAGGATTGCTACGAAACGAAGAAATTCTGAACAACAATTAAGTTAATGGAACCATCCGTTTTACCTGAAATCTCGAATCCTACGTCCTTGGACTTCAAATACTCCAAGGGCACCATTTACTAGTGCAAATGCAAAACTCTCTACAGTTTCTTCATGCGACCCATCTGAGCCGATTGACTCTGCAAATAGGTCAATTACCAACCCTTAGAAAAAGATGGATCAAAGACTGCGTTATATTCAGGATTGCATAGTTTGAATGTCATAAACATCTCACTAGAGTCTGCTGAAGCAGTTACTCCTTCAGATGCTGAGAGCAATTGTTTGGAAGGACCGCCTTGACCTGGGCGTGGAACTGCTGGAAGCGTCCATTCTACTACCGTAAAAGGAAGAGCTAATGATCTAAGCTACACAAAATAAGGAACAACAAAAACAAAATGATCGTTAGAATAATACATAACCTCGAAAAGATAATAAACTCTCCAGAACTTAGACATGACGTATTTATTAACAGCCTCAAATGCAAGAGTATAATCTATATTAAGAACACTTATAGTTCCTGTTCGGACCCATTCTCCACATTCACAACTTTGTTCATGTCTCTTGAAAGAATAGACATTGACATGGCTATAAAGACTTTCTAGCACTTGGAAAAGGGGAGATTCAAGAAAATAAGCCACATAGAGTTTGATGCCTTAAACGACTCCTCCTCTAAATTCAAAAGGTACAAGCTTTATACTTTCAAGCATAAGCAATATCATTAGGCATGATGATGTTCAAGACCCAACATGATCATGCATAAGGCGTAACCTGGGCAATCGAATATTAGTTGAAAGTAAACAGATAGACGAAGAAAAAATCAAAGGGATGAGAAATTATTGAATGTAAGATGGGACAACTTAAGGAAATAAAATATGGATGGGAAGTTACTGAAATTTCTAAGCTCATAAACATATGAGAACGACAATCTTGTTGTCACCTACTCAGTAGTACTAAATCCTGGTGAAAAAGCAGAAGATATACTTTGGGTTTGAGCTCACTCACCATGACTGGATGCTTGGTCATTGCCCAAACTTCTACAGGAGCATCACGGAATAAAATTAGAAGATACCTGCAACAGGACAGAAATAAGATTCTCTCAGCATCAGAGGAGGTATCTAAACCAGTATCTTCTATGAGCTACATTTGACATCTGTCATCTCATAGTGGAACTGTGTTTCAAATACCTAAATGAGACACTGCTTCTAAGCTTAAACTATCAATGGGAAACTGATAACTGGAAGTGCACAAAGCCATTCGTTATGTTGCCAATAGGCATTAATTACTAAAGAAAAACGAATTACATTAAAATCCAACCTTCCAGAAGAAGAAGTTCTAAGAGCTCTTATGGGAGTACGTTCTGGCTTTTGTAAATCCCGAAATGGTTTATTTAATCCACTCCTTAGGCAGGTAACAACAAGCTTATTTATGTAGCCTCTGCTTTTGTCATTCACCTGAAACCACAAACCGATGCATGATGTCGGATGTCAATATTAATTTTTCAATAAGCTACTGGAAATAAAACTAAACCTAGGACTTTTCTTAATCCTGGAAAAAAAACAATCCTAAATAGGAAGTCACTAGTAATAAACAAAAGAAAGCAATGAACGCTACATGTTCCACATTTAAATTTATTTACGCACCTGACTGTAAGAAAATGAAACTAATCTTGAATTTCCAAGCCACCGAAGTCCCCTAACCACACCAGCATGAACCGAAGTGCTTGCAGCAACAGCATTTGTCGATACATCAACAACATCGATTGTTCCGTTCTGAGTTCCCAAAGCAACCAAAGGAACAGCTGCCGCAGGAATGTTACCCCCTCCTTCATTTGAAATCAACCCGTAAATCAATCCATTTAGTATTCCTAGGAACACTTTTAGTATTACGTATACAAGGGAGAATAACACTAACTCGCTAATGTTGCTGTAAGAGAAGGAGATGGTACAGCAAGTGTAGAGACAGTGGAAGAAAGAAGCTGAAGCTGTCCAACCAGGCTGATCTGCATTGAGTGATGTAAACAATTAAAGGACCCTAAACACGTATTGTGAAAAACACAACCGTAAAGATGAAACTTCTATCCTACGCAGGAACAGCCATTAAGTGAAGAAGGAATTAGTTAACCCAAAAAAAACCTTCCAGCCACAAACCTTAAATGATAGGTCTGATTTGCCCAACGAGGAACTTGATGTGTGGCCTCTGCTTCGATTTGTAGGTGCACCAACTAGTCCATCATCCAGATCTGAGAGATCTTTTTTCTGGATTGCTCCAGGAGGTGCTGCTTCATTACCCATGTCCAAGTCTGACACATTTTTCAGAGCATATTCAACTCCTTCAGCACTTAAGACCCACTTCCATATTTTACCGTCATCAGAAAGGGAGATAAAAGTTGTCTTAGAAACAAGGAGGCTTTCGTCGTAAAAGTCAAATGGGTTATCAAAATCCACAGATGAAGTTCCATCTGAGTGAAGTTTTGTAATAGTTTGCATGGTGGAGTCCGATTGACTGAGGAGAAGAGCCAGAGCTGACGGAGAAGGGATGGACATTCCAATAGATGGCATAAACTCTTCCATGGTACACATGACATGCACCTGTTCTCCTCTGCAATGAAATGTAACCAGTAGTAGCTTAGATGACATAACATGCTTTTGAATAATGAATATCAGACACTGTATAAAACGAAGCTAGACACTAGAAGATTAAAATGACCAGATGGGTATTAACTTGATCCTTTCCCAGAGATGCAGAACATGATCTAGGCTCCAGAAAAGAACTTTAGAATTTGGAATCCATCACCAACCAAACCTATGAACTGATGACTGAAGAGACTAGAATGGGACATCAAACATGAGCTAGTATAACTTAGGAAGCTCCCTAATTCAGTAAGTTCTCCGAAACATATACTCACGTTTAAATAAGCAAAACAATAAACGAAACTAATCGAAGCAGATAACTCAATTCTATTAACACGCACCACTACCCTGGAATCTAATACCTAAAAATGTTCCAAAAATGAAATACAACTAAACTGTCACATGTGAAGGGCAGCCATATTTTGGTTGAACAAGGAAAAGGAAACTCAATCTGATTCAAGGATTAGCTAAAGCATGGATGAAAGTGATCAGAAACAGCGATATCTTACTCTTTCCGACGCCAAATGCTGAGCCTGCCATCGACGTGAGCACAATAAAGCAGCTCCTTGTTGGGATCCGGCAAGACATCCATAAACTTGGCGCAGCCACGAGGTAATGGCGTGGCCGAGAGAGCCGTCTCATATTGCAGATCGAACACCACCAGCTCCCTGGGGAACGTCACAAAGAGAATATTCTTCCAGTGAGGCGAGAAGGCAAACCTGGCAAAGTACAAGGGAAATGCCGCGGAAGCAGGCGAAGAAGAAGAGGAAGATGAGGAATTGCCATTAGTGGCCGCCTCTCTTTCCAGCCTTTGCAGCTCACTGCAATCCGTGTTTATCTGCATCTCCTGAATCACGACGTCATTCTCGGTGTCTCCGAGTACCTTGATCGACAAGAGGAATCCCTTGAGGCCAAGCACGCAGAAATGGCGGGAATCATAGGGATCGCGGCGGAGGCAGGCGAGAATCTCCGTGCCAGCATCGTACTTCCAGAAAAGTCCGTCGGAGGAGGTGGTGTAGATGGAGAGGAAGGAAGGGCCCGAAATGGTGGCGAGGACATGGGAATCCTGGCGAGCCTGAACCCAGCAGAGGTCCTGGATGCCAAGCTTGGGATCGGAGGAGGAGTTAAGCCAGACGACGACGGAGCGAAGATGGAAGTCAACGAGGGCGACACGGCCGTGGCGGTCGGCAACGGCGAGGAGAAGGTGAGAGGCGGTGGGCTCGGTGGAGAGCAGATCGCGGGGAAGAGGGAGAGGGATCCAGCGGACGGAAGTGACGAAAGGGGAGAGGGCGCCAGGAGGAGGAGGGAGAGGGATAGTGGAGACGAGCTGGAGGGAGCGAGAGTCGACGACGGAGACGGAGGAGCCAGAGGCGAAGGCGAAGAGACCGGAGGGACTGAGATCGGCGGATCCAAAGTTGTTGCGGCTGGGAGGACCAGGGAGAGTGGAATCCCAGGAATCGGTTGGTGATGGCTTGGATGCCGCCATTGTTGCAGCTTTGTACACAGAGATCAAACACAGGTAAGCTTATGCATGCCCCCTCCAAGAATCATCCGATTATTTTGGGGAGAGCGAGAGTGGAAATGGAAGAGAAGCGAGAGAGATGAGAAAAGTGAACAAACATGGGAGCGTTCCTCTTCAGCAGAAAAATTTTATTTTCTTTTATTAATTCTCCATCCCTGTTTTGTTATATATATATACATCATTAATAACAACAACAACAACAACAACAACAAAAACAAAGCAGGGTTTATATTGAATTGCATTGACAAAGAGAAGAAGGCACCATTTTGATATTGGCACATGTATGTATATTTGTGTGTATTACAACTTGTATAGACTCGCACCATTGATTTTGCAGATCAGAGGCGACTTATATAAAACAGAACAAGTCTGCTGCTTTCTAATGCCTTTGTTCCACAAGAACAAGTCTGCCATGCCATTGCCATTGCCTCCTATCTACACTTTCTCACTTCACGGGACGCACCCCGACGGTTCTGACACGGAATCTGTACTGAGGCGGAGACTCCTCACCGTCATCATCGCTGTCTTCATCCTCTTCCTCTTCACTGGAAGAGTCTTCAACTGTATCCCAACGTGCGTAATCCAGAGTCGAATGACCCTTGGGCTTAGGGATAGCTTGCCACCCATTGGACAATGGCCCCCCTTCCTTGCTCTTTTCTTCTCTAACCTCGGGTGTTTTTGGTGCGACAGCTGACTCTACTAATACCCTCTTCTTCTCTCTTGTCTCATCTTTGCTAGTTCCCTTTTCTTCTGTGTCTTCTTCATCTTCTTCCAACTCTGCCTCACACTCAGGAATTGGAGCAAGCGACTTTCCTTGACCAGAGAAAAAAAACAAAAACCAAGACACGATTCTTTAACCCTGCAGGACACAGCTACTTACTATGCAATGGACAGAGCAAGAAAGAGAGAGAGAGAGAGTATACCAACTGCGTCCTCAAGCGAGCCTCGAGGTTCTGATAAACCTCAGAATCAGGGTTCAACTCCATGAGCCTGCTGACATCAAAAAGTGCAGATTGGTATTCCTTAAGTGTGACCAATGTCTGCGCCCTCAGCATCAACGCTCCGCTGTGTTTCTGATCAAGCTCCAGCACCCACGTGCATTCTTCTGCTGCCTGCACATTCCAAATTTCACACGATTGCGATATGTTATACGATTGCTTAATTAGCTCTTGCTAATCATTACTCAAATGCCTACAGAGTCTGATTGAAATCCCCCTTTTGATTGATTCAATTCACCATCTCCTCTACTTTCTTAAACAAATGGGGATCCAGGACACACCTTTTTGAAATCGTGCAGTTTCAAATAACAAGCGGCGCGGTTGCTGTGAAGAGCGATCTTCTGCGGCTTCGCCTTCGCCGCCGTGAGAGCCTCCGTATAGAAGAGAAGCGCCTCCTTGTACTTGCCGTCCCTGTACAGCTGGTGCCCCTTCTCAACCTTTCCCGATGCCGATGCCATACTCCCGGAGACGATCCCAATCAACCCGGAGATTTTATCAAACTACTAAATCGAAGTTCTAGAAAAGAGAGGGAGAGAGATCCAGAGAGGAGTAATAATGGCGAGTGAAGAAGCGTAATAATAAGACCTGGATATGAATCATCATCATCAATGCAGATGATATGATTTTTATCATTAATTTAGGGAATTAGGGCATTTTGGGTTTGTTTATTAATTTCGTTTAGTCATTTTAATACAAAAATGTCAAATTCATAATCCCGCCATGTGGCACTTTTGTTTGGTTGGTGGGTGATACAAGAGGTCCATTTAATAACAGCCCACTCAGGCCCAACCACTCAGCCCATTAATGTAAATGGTGAAATGTTAGCAAAAGAAAAAAAAGATGAGCTACACCATCACATTGTACTAGTCGTAGTGTGGTTGAGGAATTGAGGACTCTAAATGAAAGCATGAAATTAAAAAGCAAAGAAGAAGAAGAAGAAGAAGAACTTCTTGTCGTATAAGTCAAGAAATTTTATTTAAATATTGGGGAAAGGAAGCATAATCAAAGCATGGACAAAGAAAATCAAAAACGATCGATGATTCTCATAGCAGCATCTGAGAGTTGGGCATAGATGTTGATTTGACTATAAAACGAGGAAGACTCAAACATGGCAGTTTGGAGGTTTTCACTGCATTTGAGAGGAAAGTTAAGTGCAAGCTTCACCGATCGGTTGGCTATGTCGTAGTCACCGTTTTTTAGACCCGTTTTGGCATCGGGTACTGCTTTTGTAATTGCCTCCGACAAGTCTTGTTTGCAATCCTCCAGAGCTGTCTTGACTTCATCACCAACTTCTTCTTTTGACAATAGTTTCGAAACGTTGCTGCACAAAATTTAAAAAGGAACAAAATTCATAATTAGATCAAACCTAGTAGTTATAATTTATTAAGGTCGGGAATGTATAAATTGATTAGAAGAAATAAAGTCGAATGATGATGTTTGTATTAGATATAAGCGAAAACTTGCTTGGCGAGGATATGGAGTTGAGAGTCGAGACAGTTTATCAAGATGCCGGCGATAGCAACAGGGTCAGCGGCACGGACGGAGGCTGGGTCGGAGTCGAGGCATTGCATGCATATGGTCGGGACTGGTGCATTGTGGCATTCCCTTATCATCAGGTCTTTTCCGGCGTAAATCGAGATTGGACTAGAGATCACCACAAGTGTGAGCACAAGATACTTCTTGATCATCATCATGCTGACTACGCAAGTTCCTATATTTTGTTCTTTGTATTTTTTTTGTTTGATTGATTTGTATGAGTGAAGTGCTTATTTAAACTAAGAATATGGGAATGTGATTGGTGACGAGTCACTATCTGTTTAATTCTGGTAGCTCTATTGTTACACGTCTTCTGTCTCTTTTAGTCATAATCATACAATTAAACTGCAAGCAGCTCATCTTTCTTTTTCTCCATTTCGCTACAAACCATTTTACATCGGATTCCCTCTGCCAACTACATGGCCTCTTTTAGTTTTTATATAAACTATACAAAGTATTATGACTTCATGTGACATTTTTCTGTTAAATCACACTTCTCTTCTTTTAATTCATAATTTTCTTGTTCACCAAAAATTAATAAATAATAATATCATGTTCCCATACTCTTTAGCACAAAAACAAATATCATATTATTGTTAAATTAAATTCGAGACTCCTTAACGGTTGTTAGCGTTAATTCATTTTATTAGTTTTACAATTTAAACAAAAAAAGCAAAAATTAAAGGTGTACATTGAACCAGTTAATTGCTAAGTGGTGGCAACAGTACGAATATAGTCATCATATACCATACCTAATTACTTTCTCTTTATATATTTTGTTTTTCGGATTAAAAATAGAGAAAATATGAAAAAATGAAAACACTCAATTCATGATTATGATTCGCATGAAACAAGCGGAAGCGGGACTTCAAACCTATATTATAATGTTACCAAATCGTTTTCAGAACAAAACAGAGAGAAGACAGCGTTGCTAGCAAAAACAAAAACACATTTAAAGCTAAAAAATTATAGAATACAGGGTTTGTTATATCTTGCATCATCAATCAATCACCCTATTCGTCGTCATCCTCGCTCTTCGACTTCTTCTTCTTCTTCTTCTTGCTCTGGCCATCATCAGTCACCTCCTCTCCTCCAGCTTTACTCTTCTTTTTCTTCTTCTTCTCTGATTTCTCATTCTCATCTGCTGTCTCCATCTTCCTCTTCTCCTTCTTCTTCTTTTTCTCTGACTTATCCACATCCATTGCCTCCTCCTCTTCTTCTTCTTCACCCTTTGCCTTCTTCTTCTTGCTCTTCTTTGCCGACGCATCTACTGTCTCCTTCACTTCCGCATCTAAAGGAGGCACCCATCAAACACTGAGTCAACCAACAAAACAGGAATTTGTCTGCCAAAATTTTGCTTTTTCCACTAAATACCTTTGTTTTGCAGATTCTCTATCACCTCCTTCATAACATCCACGTTCTTGCGTGGGGCAACACCTTTGTCATAAAAGTCTAGCCTTTCCTCAACTTGCTCGCGAAGCTTCTCGCCATAGGCAGTTGTTGCGCCATCTGCACAAGACGAACCATAATTTAACACTTTTAAAATAAACATCATATAGCCAAAAGCTGTGCATTTTCAGATATTTACCAGCAAAACAGTCGATCCGGGAGGCTATAGAGCACTTGTTTGCAAGATAACGGGCAATACGGCCCTTGTTCTTAGCAGTTGCTCGGCCGATGAAGGACGAATGGAAGATCAAGCCATACTTGGGTGTATTCCCACGCGTTTTAAGCGCCCTGAAACACCACAGCGGTTCAGGTCACACGCAGCAATAAAAGAGACTTTCAAGGAAAATATAAAGACAGCTCCATGATATTGTACCTGAAAAGCGCCTTCTCGGCTCCAAGAATCTGGAGGGTGGAAGATGGGCATTTTGCAAGGTTAGTCAAACTTCCAGCATGTGAAATCAGACGAGCACCAACCATTTCTCCAATCAAGGCAGCCAAATTAGGGGCAATGTCGCTCATCTTAGCAACAAGATAATCATACAGCTTCTTTCTGTAGTCAGCGAGGTCCATCACTTTCTGAGCAAAGGTCTGGACGTTGATCAAGTCAACCGGTGATAAATCCTGACCTGGGGAAGAGGGGAGAGCAACAGAGATTAGAAACACCCATTAATCCGGAAGCTATCAATGAAAACGCAGCTCAAATTTTATTTACCCATGGATGCTTTTCCAGCTTCGACGACCTCCTTTGCCTTATCTTCATCCCCTAAGACTTCAGTAAGCATTGGGATGTGATCTTCAGTCAACTTTGACTTGTCATCAATCATCTTCGAAACGCGGGCGTAAAGATAGTTATCATTAACGATCTTCACTAGCTCGGGGAAGTGCCACGAGTACCATTCCCTGTAAGAACATTATAAACAGGAACATTATAAACAGTTCACCAACCATATTTTTCTCAAGCTAAATTGGCACCCACATAATCTGAAAAGGGAAAGCTGCAAAACAAACCTGACTCTCATGGCAAAGGAATTAATATCCTTGTCAAGCGTGTCGAGGAGGAAGATAGCTTGAATAACCATGTTATCCACTCGGTTAACATTGAACTTCACCTTTGCTCTGCTGTAGCTGTGAGCTAATCCAAGTTGAGATTTTTCCAGATCACCGGGCTATGTAAATTAGATGAAGTTAAAGAGATCATTCATGAGTACACAAAGCAAAGGAACGAAGTAAAAACACGCAGAGGAATGAAACAAAAGAACAAGAGCTCACCTTTAGGTCCTTGATGAACCTGTCAAAATGCTGGCGTACACCTCGGAGAATCTCAAGTATGAACTCATTGCTCTGGCACGGGATTTTAGTGGCTTCGAATATATGCGAACCAAGTTTAGGCTCAGCCAATCCTAAGCTGAACTTGGGTTTCTTGCCTTCTTTGACTTTAGGAAGATTCAGCTCCAGGAAACTTCTAAGCTCGTCAGTCATAACACCTGCCAACAAATGTTCAGACATTTAATCAGAACCTTCAAATGAGACAAGCAGAAGACAAACTGAAGCGTTTTCTATGTAACAACATCTCAAATGAAGTAAAACAAGGAACAATAACGAGGCCACGATAAACTACTTCAGAAATCTAAGGAAAAAGCAGAGTATCATAAGATATACGCAGAAAATGGACACAGAGCGATGTTCGAGTTCCCAGAAACACCACAACAAAAGAAAACATTAAAAATATACCTTCAGAGACGGCGTTGATTTGGTTGAGGGCATCGAGCGCAGACTCGAAGGGATGAAACGCGGTGAGCTGGACAACACGGCCAAAGCGACTGAGGTCGGAGACGGAACTCCGGACGGCCTCAATGTTCTGTCCGATCTCATCAACTCCGTGCGCTTCGAAGAGGGCAAAGCCAGAAGAAGATTCGTAGACAACATACGTAGTAGACATTTTGGGAGGAGAGAAACTAAAACCCTAAAACCTATATGACTATGGGCGAGCGATTATACATGGAACTCAGCTCACTCAGCAGGGGAACTAGGGTTTTCAGGGTTTAATATGCTTCTAAACATGGGCTACAGGTTCAACTGTCCAGGCCCATTTAAAGACGGTCTAAAATTTCATTTATCTTATATAGAACGGTGTAGAAGTTTCAGTTAAGGCCCATTTAACATTTTCAGGCCCATCATGAGGAGACGGACGCATCAATAATTCTCAACACATAAAATCTACTTAAACAGACACAGATGGTTTGTCCAACCAAAGAAGAAAACAGTGATATACAACAAACATGGTATGGGAGACATGAATGTTCATCTCCCCTCATTGATCTTGACTCCAAGCATTGGCTTATAATCGCCGTCTTTAGGGGTCACGAAGCTGGTGGAGTAGGATCCAGAAGCGCCCGTGTCTTTGGTCTGGAAAGCGCTAAAAGAGGAGCCTGTGGTGTCATCAAATCCCCAGTCGGGTAGGTAGCTTGGCTTAGAGGTGACATCACTGACCTCAACGTCTCCAGAAAGCATGGCCACCACACGTGACATTGGTGGTCTCAGCTGAGATGCCTGAGTGCACAGCAGAGCAATGCTTATCACGCGTTTCACTTCTTCCATGTTGAATTCACTCAGCTCGTCATCTATTAATTCAACTTCACTGCTCTTCTCGTGTAGATTCCATGCCTGTGTTGTGTTGTGTTGCGCCACGATTAGACCGGCTTTAACAATCAATTTGTATTATTGAGTAACAAGCAAGCAATCAAGGGCGTACGTACCCATTCAAGAAGATATCTTTTTTCACCATCCAAGTTCTCATCAGAGTTTTTCCTTCCACTGACCAGCTCGAGAGCCACAATACCAAAGGCATACACATCCGTTTTCTCTGTAAGGTGTCCACGCATGGCATACTCTGGCGCAAGATATCCACTGCAAGATTGGTACAAACAACATCACCAAAAAATGTGTTATAAATTCATACAGCCTGGGTTGTCAGAGTTTAGGGATACATACATGGTCCCTGCGACTCGGGTACTTATGTGTGTTTTCTTGTCATCGTATAGCTTTGCAAGCCCAAAATCAGAAACTTTTGGGATCAGATTAGAGTCGAGCAGAATGTTGCTGGCCTTAACATCCCTGTGTACTATGCGAACACTCGCCTCCTCGTGGAGGTAGGTTAGACCTCTGGCTACTCCCAAACATATCTCAAAACGGGTTGACCAATCAAGGTGTAAACTCGTATCACCACCTCCTGCAACATCCAGTTAATGAGTACGTTCAGCAAAGATTATAGAAAAGAAAAAGTAATGTTTATATTCATTACCAAATAGTGCATGATCGAGACTTCCATTTGGGAGGTACTCATATACGAGCAAACGATGGTCTCCTTCATAGCAGCACCCGTAAAGCTTTACTAGGTTGCGATGCAGAACTGCAGATATCGCTACTATCTCTGCAACGAATTGTCCCTTGCCGTGTCGGGATCCAACCGACAACACTTTCACCGCGATCTCTCTTCCATCACTCAGGCTTCCCTGTTGAATGTGTGTTCTAATCATAACAAAAAAAAAAAAAAAAACTTGGAATGTATTATTAAATCATATTTTTGAAATGGGGCTTACCTTATAAACAGACCCAAACCCTCCCTCCCCAAGCTTGTTAGAGGGATCGAAATCTTGAGTTGCACTTTTAAGTTCAGAGTACGCAAAAGTGTAAGGCTTTACTTCCATACCAAGCAGCTCTGCAACAACAACAACAAAACGAACCAGTTTTTCAAAGATGATAGAATGCATATAAATACTCAATAGTTAAGACATCTATATATATATACCTTCATCATCTGTGTAGGGCTTTCTTCTTCTTCGGATGACCAAGAGAACGACACCTGCAACGATGGTCAAAACTCCTACGCCAACAATAGCACCCATAATAGTACCAGTCCTGTTTTTGCCCTTTAATGGTGGCTTGTTACTCACGGTTGGTCTAAAATCTGAACATGCAGCAATTGTATGAGAACCTTTAATTTGAACATGCAGCAATTGTATGAAAACTAATCAGGAAAGAAAAGGAATCTACATTCATTGTGTTACCTGGTTTTGCACTGACGGCCGATACTAGTGGCCCATAAGCACCTTGGATAGGGATACAGCAAGTTCCTTTGCCAGCCCAGAAAAGATGAACCTCGAGGTGGTTTTCTGATACATTTGCTTTATATTCCTTCCGAACTGCTCGAACCGCAGAGTCGCCAGCCGTTCTCCGTACATCAAAATCCTTTTCAACAAGCCTTCCCTGGACATAAATGTCGAAGCTTCGTCTTCCCAAACCCCTCCATGTGTTTGTAGAAGAACCTTTAATTTGAATTTCGGCAAACTGAAGCGTCACGGTGTAGCCTCCATTCTCAAGCCCCAACCCATAATACCTCAGGGAAGATGCAGAGAGCCTTGCTGACTGGAAAATCTCAGTGTCCAAAGTGTTGAGGAACTGTGATTGTGAAGTAGCTATGTACATATTACTGCTGCTCCCGCCAAAAAGCCCTACGCTACTCGCTGCCCATCTCTGAACATCACTCACGACAAATGAAGCTGGTCCAAGATCCTCGTCCTCCCTCTCAAATACTGCTCCGCTCACGGATCGTATTTGTGGGCCTCCGCAGTTGATCGAGAAGTCAGAATCTAGACACACCAGCCAGTTTTCTTTACAGACAAGCAACACAAGATACAAGAACAGTGGAGAACAAGGGTTATGATGAACTCATGATGATATCTCTTTGTCACACTTACATATTCCTTTGCCTCGATTGCAGGGGAAGTTCTTCTGCAGGCAGTCCAGACCTGATAAAACCCTTTTACCAGAGATAAATGATAAGTCTTGTCTACTAAGTTGCAGGATCAAAAAGAATACATATTAACAACAACTTATTTAAGAAAATCACCTCTTGTCTAGACCTCCCAAGGAGAAGTTGTTAGCAACTAGATTGCTGCACAAATAACATACACTTTTGTTTACTATCATCAAATTAACTAAAGGAAACACTTGCATCTGTGAATATAGTGTTTTGTTTCTACTTACAGCTTCAAGTTTGGTAAGCTGACCCATGACGGAAGACTTCCAGACAAATCATTGTACGACACATCTCTGTTATAAGTGAGAGAATAATTAGGGCTTACAGAATATGTTTTCTATAAAATTCCACAACAGTTTCCTAATTATCTTGGCATTCAAAGATGAAAATGATTTTGTTACCCACATATTGCTCAAAGACTGCCTCTTTTGAGTGGGCAAGGAACCATTCAGTGTGTTGTTTCCCAGAAACCTAATATGAATACAAGAAAGCTCTCTTTTTTTTTAATTTCCACAGTGTTCACTGGTACGTAAAGAAGTAGAAAACTTACAAGTGAGTAAGGTTATTTAAGCTGAACAGTGAATCTGGGATTGGTCCATGTAGTTTGTTGAAACTTAAATCACTGGTTTGACATACACCAAGTAGACATTTAATATCATTTGGTATTCTTTCGGAACACTTAACGAAACACTTACACTTGTTTCAGACTTGAGAGTTGTCCAATATAAGACGGTATTGTCCCAGTGAGATTGCTGTTCCTCAACACTCTGCGATATACAATCATCAATACAATGTCAAATATATACACGTAAGGAGGAGACAGAGGGAGTAGAAGTTGCCTTACAATACACTTAGAGATTTCATGTCTTTGATGAATTCAAGAGAAGAGCTTCCATTGGATATATCACCAAGCCTCCTACATTTGATTTAGAATATATATATACATATGATATTACGTGGAGAGAGAGAGGGAAAGAAAGAGAAAGATTCTGAGACCAAATGCAACACATACAGTTCTGTCAAAGAAGTTAAGTTGGAAAACGACGACGGTATCGGACCACTCAAACCAGTTCCGACAATTCTCCTGCAGTAAACAAACACATGTACCAGTTTTTTTTTTTTATTTGAATAAAGAGATCAACGGAACAAATCATCTCCTGTAAAAGTGAAATCTTCTTACAAGGTAGTAAGTTTGGTCCATTTTCCTATAAACTCTGGTATCCGACCTGTAAATTCCACATCCATGATCCAACTGGTACAACAACATTAAGGGGGAAACTAATCACAATCACCCAAATGAGAAGTAGGAGAAACCAATGGGTGAAGCTTAAATTTCGAATTCAGTAAAATCTTACGCGACTTCCAGGTCTACAAGATTAGCAAATGATGAAGGTATCTCCTCAGTGAATCCAGAACTATCTATGTAACTGCAATAGATGTTAGTATGTTACAAACTAATCAATTGCGCAAGAAATGAATACTTTGTAGATTTGATACACACACTCACATTTGCATTAGTTTCGTACAACTCCCAAGCTCAGCTGGTAGAGAACCAGAAAAGTTATTTGAACTAATACCACTGCAGAAAATATACATGTAGGTATCAATATTTAAGGAAGCATCAAAATCGATCATATATAAGAAATGAATGAGTAGATAAAGAAGAAGAAGAAGTAGCTAATTACAGGGATTTTAAATTTGTAAGCAAACCAATTTCCTTGGGAAGAGGGCCAGACAAAGCATTGATCCCAAAAGTCCTATATGTATATATGTAGGTGAGGAGAAACAGTTGGAGCGTGAGAGACAAGGAACTGAAGAGAGAGAAAAAAAAAGGAAGCAAGGTTTAAAATCACAGCCTTACATCCACTCCATTCGAGACAAATTCCCAATTGCTGGAGGAAGAGAACCTGTAAGATAATTCTGAGCCAGGTTCCTGAAACATGTTGAGGTCTCAAGATTTTTAACTTGTGAGTGAAGAAAGAATATTAAAAAGTGGGTAATCAAGTCTCTATACAGATTTGTGAGGTAGATCAAAGTCCAGAGCTGTGGAGGTATAGGTCCTACAACATCTATCGCATAAACCTTGCTGTGGAAGAGAAACAAAAACAACAACATCATCCAAATTAAATAAGCACAACTTATTAATTCAGTGCAGAAAGACAAAGTGGAGCAATTAAGAGAAAGAGGAGGCTTTACAGGGCGGTGATGCGACAGATTGTGGAGTTTGCGAAATAGCATCCGCATTTGATGAAAGGGTTGTAGGCTTTTTCGTCGATGGTGATGCTGTCGTCGATGGCGGCGCCGGAGCAAAGCTCGCCGCTGATGTTCCATTCCTTCGGGGCCTGGATCTCCCAAGTCGCGAAGATGGAGTTCAAAGATCTTGCTGTTTGAGTTTGTAACACAACCGTACGCACGTGTCAATTATAGCCAAACTATAAGCAGGAGAACTGTATACATAATTCAAGTGTTTCGAAGCACAGACAAACAAACCTTCGTCCGGATGAGTTCGGGTTTGAGCTCGAACCAGGTGAACCGAACACACGAGGAGCCAGACGGTGATGAGCAGACACGTAGGCATCGTCGACCACAGAGGTCTTTACTCTTTTCTTGGGATTCAGAACACACTATTTACAACAACAATAATGGTGTAGTGTCTAGTGTCTACTGCACTCAAAGCTTGTGTGTGTCCTTTAAAATGATCCACCCAATAATATAGTACTACTCTTCATTGACTTACTATATATTCATTGACTTGACTTGTATGTGTGTAGTAGACTAGTAGTGTGTGTACCAACCAAAACCAAAAACAAAACCATGATAAATTATGATGGGTGGACCACCGTGTGTTGCACTCGTCACATCGTTATCTCTAATCTCAGTCCCCTTTTCTTTTCATCTACACATTCTAAAGGCTACTGTTTGTGTTTGTTTGGATTTGTCCTTTTTGAGTTTTTTTCGTTCGTCTTTCTTTCCATGCTGATGATATTTTCTTTCTTTTATCAAAGGAAAATCTTGCACGAATGCAAATGCAAGTAGAGAGACTTTTTTGAGTCTCTTGATAACTTTTTCTCTCTCTCTCGTCTCCCAAGTTCTGTCTATATATATAATGATG